ATCGTACTCTTTGTATAATAAAGAAAGGAATAAATGAAAACGATTAATTAACTTTTTTAGTTCACTAAACGACAAACAATTATCGTCAAATAATTATTGTAATTTTAATTTTCTAGTGTTAAAAATTTCCTATTTTCTTGTATTCAATTTTTATTTTCTATTGTTGGCAATTTTCTTATTACTCACTTTGTAAGTGCTTTATGTAAGTCGCGACATTTTATTCCTAGAAACTTAATTATTTAATTATTATATGTGTATATAATTTTTACGTTTTACGGAAATGAGAATAAATGAAATCTAAATAATTATAATTATGATAATTGATTGAATAATAGATTAAAAATTACAAAATTTGTATTAAGTAGTAACGAAATAATTATTGAATAGCTATTATTGAGTAATTATTGAATAGTTTTTCGTTTAAATTTGAATTTCGCGACTTTTTAATTCCATGACGCTTCCGATAGGTGGCGAAAGAGTTGCTTGTTGCTTCTCTGGTCAGGAGCAAAAAAAATGATTGAATACTAATTATTAAATAAAAATATTCAATATTAATAATTGAAAAATTATTTAATAATAATTGTTGAATAATAATTATTAAACAATAATTATAGAATAATTATTCAATAATAATTATCGAATAATTATTAAATATTAAATAATTGTTATCGAATAATTATTAAATAATAACTATCGAATAATTATTGAATACTAATTATCGAATAATTATTGAATAATAATTATAAAATGACAAAGTAATAAGTTACTATTTTTTTCCAAATAACAAATAAATTAAATTTCTTCCTTTGGCAATACTCTTAATCAGAAATAAACTGTATACACAATAGATTGTAAATAAAGTCATTTATTTACTTAAGTATAAAGTTTTACTTTCTTCTAGATTGTAAATTTTACGATCTAGATAGTAAAAGTTTATGATCAAGATTTTAAGATTTACGCGCACTTTTACCCGTTTGTAACCTTATGTGCTGTAAAAAAAATTCACAAATACTTTAATTCTTTTTTAATCAACGAAAATTTTTTTTCGTTTGTTTAATATTTAAAGAAATTGCAATAAATTTTCGAAATGTTTTTTTCTGGAAATTTTTCAAATTATTTCCACTAAAATTTTTATTCAAGTATTTACTTATTTATTAGTTGTTATATTATTATTTATTTTTTTATTCAAAATGCGATTTAATATTTATTTATAATTTTATATAATTTAATCAAATTATAGTTTCATTTTGAAATTTTGTATTTTTTGCAGTGAAACCTCGAATTAGTGTACTCTGGAATTTTACTGCAAAGATATACCTATTTTTTAATAAAAATATTTTTTTATTAGAAAAATATTTTTTTAATAAAATTTTTTATTTTTTCTTAACAGGAAAAATATTTTTTTAGTAAAAACATATTTTTTTAATGGAAAAAGATATTTTTAATGAAATTTTCCATTTTTTTACATAGAAATATATTTTTTAATGAAAAACTATTTTTTTTTACTAAAAAAACAAAAAAACTAACCTGTTTTCTGAATGACTTGTAAAAAGTGAAACTTATCTCATGGAAAAATCTGTTTTTCTATTCTATTTTGACGATAAACAATCGACAATTTTTTTATAGAGATATATACTTACAGGCAAAGATGTGTTTAAATCATTTTTTAAGATGAATCATAAATCAAATGTAAAATCTTCAAAAAAAAAAAAAAAAAACAATTGGAAAAAAAAATTTCCATAATCCCTCCTTTATTCTGATGAATGTTGTTATATGTATTAGTTATACATATATATACTGCTAAATTTTTCAGACTACATATATGTATCAACGCTTTTATAAATAAAAACGACTTGCAAAAGTTTTCAACTTTACGTTGAACATAATATATAATTCGTAAATATGTGTGAGATATCATCTTTTTAAAGACTACTGTACACAAAAAACGTGTGTATTATGTCACTGTCATTATAAGACTTTAATCATTATAAATGCTTGAAAAATTGTCATAAGACAATTTTACAATTTCGTTTACGCACGTAATATCTATTTATTTTTTCACATTAAGGGGGGTACAAATACCAAAAATACACACACATACACACACACAGTAAGAGATGTTATAAATTATATTGGAATTCCTTTTTTGGAAATGAAAAAAAATATATATTTCCCATTCAGCATCCATTATGCAAAATTAAATTTTTCAACATTCCATATATATATAAGTTGAAATTTTTTATCAGTATTTCATCATTCTTGATCTTCATTGATAAATATTAATTAGTTGTCCAAGTTGATTAATATTTCAACAGGCTTTTTAGTATCGGCTTTGATTATCGACAACAGGAGAGAAAAAAAAACTTGTTAGAAAATAATTCGACAAATTTCGAAATTAAATTCGGTAATTTTTCGTTTAGGATTTTTTTTTTAATGTATAATATTAATTATAGCTGTCAATTTTTATAGGTTTCGATTTATTTTTTAAAATCTTTTGAACTCGAAAAGCTTTATTTTTTAATTTTTTTTTAATTGGAAAAATATTTTTTCATTGAATTTTTTATTTTTTTACTGGAAAAAGTTCTTATGCAATTTTTTATTTTTTAACTGGAAAAAGATTTTTTTAATTATCTAGTTATTTGTTTGTTTGTTTGTAAAAATAACAACAAAATATAAAAAAAAAATGAATAATAATTAATCAAATAATATTGAGTAAGATAGTAGTTAATAATAATTTAAATAAATACTAAAAACTAGCAAATAAAAAAATAAATGATAATAAATAAAATAACAACTTATTAGTTAATAATTATTTAAACTTCTAAATTAGTTGGTAATACAAATTATTTTTAATTTTAATATTCATAATAAGAAGTAAATTAATAATAACCTAATAATAACAAGAATAATTTAGTGCGAAATATTTTTTCCAATAAAAATTAAATTGTAAAATATATAGAAAATATTAAATAAGAAACAATTGAATTCAATCGTTTAAAGGGTACCTAAATAATAAATGAAATTAAAATATGTACAATATAAAGAAAATAATTTAAAAAATTGTGAAATATAAGTCAAAGGGACAGAAATAGAAAAAAAAATGAAAAAATATTATTCGAGTTGAGAAATAAAGTGAAAATTTATATAGAAAATAAAAGAAATCGCGAATAAAAAATTCTACAGGAAATTAATGTTTTTTAATTAAATTTTTTCGAGTTAAAAAGAATTCTAAAACCAATTTCTCAATATCGATTACGATTGAGAATTGAAAACATTTTTATCTATAAAAATTTTTTCACATTGCTTCTAAAATAAAAATTCATTTTTCGCCTCTTGTTTTTTAAAAAACGAGTTTTTCTTAAATTTCATTGAAATTCTCTTTTTTTATTTTATTTTTTTTTTACTTACTTCTTACTGATATTTTACAAATTTTCATTTGAAATTTTTTTCTTTCCCTTTTCTAGACGTTTTTCAGAAAAATAAAATTTCGTTAAAATTAAATTCACAAATGGAAACAAAAAGAGAAAAATGTTTAATTGAAAATATGAATATAATTAGAGTGGGGATTTAATTAACAACTATGAGTGTAAATTTAAGATCTTTGTCAATTTTTCCTTTTTTGTAAACAAATAAATTTTTCGTAAAGTAACAAGGTCTTAGAAGAATTTTTCCTTTATATAAAAAGAAAAAGGGATTTCAACTCTCTCTGTGATAAATGATCAAAAAGAGAAGAAAAAAATCTGATTCTGTGAGTCGTGTAATTTTTCACTTCATTTTGAAATTCCTTTTAAAGGGGAAAAATCCCCTTTCTCGACTTTTAACAGTACGAATAAGAAAATTTCTTTGAAAATTGACCTGATTGTCTAAAATTGACTTAATTCTTAATTTTTCTTCTTTCATTTCGTCCAATTATTATTTTTTTTTATTGTTATTTTGATCTCATCAGACAAAATTTTAGAGACGGAATTTTATCAATTCTTAGAAAAACGATTTTTTTAATTAATTTATACGAATTAAAAAGGACAAATAATAATAATAAACAAATGAATCGGTTTTTTCTCCATCAATCATTTTTTTCTTTTCCATTTGTCAAAAAATCAAAGACACATTTTTATAAAGAAATCATCAACAGAATTATAATTTGTCCGATAAAAATCAATTGATATAATAATGATAGTTAAGTTTTCTTAAATCGATATAATATCATCTCTGTGAAAAAAAGTTTTCCTTGAATTGTCAATAGTAAATAATTATTCTGCAAATTGATAAGTGTACTATTAAAGAAATTTTCGGAGAAAATTTCTCTTTTCAAAAGAATTAAAAAGAGGAGAAATTTTTCACACTCTTTAGCAAATATTTTGTGATTGTAAATAAATTGTAACTCTTTATTTGTATCCATTGAGGAATTGATTGATTTATTTTCCGTGAAATTTTTGTATTTGTATAAATAAACAAATATTGTATTTGTTTTACATTGTTTGTTAAATAGTGAAGTATCTTTCACTGATTCATAGAAAATTTATTTTTAGTTCTATTTCACCATTAGGGATAGAAATTCACTGAAAAATAAATTACTAATTACTTTTTTTTAATATATTACTAATTATTAATTACTAATTATTTATTTTGACTAATTAATTATTTATTATAACTAATTATTCACTGTAACTAATTAATTAATTACTAATATTACCTACTATAACAAATTAATTAATTAATAATTAAATTAGAGTTAATAATTAAAAATAAATTAATTATTAGTATAATTATTAGATATTATTTTAATTTAATTTTACAGTTAATTAATTAGAGAATAATAAGTAGATAAATGAGTAAATAAAGAGGTAAATTAATTAACTAACAATGGAGTAATAATAAATAATGGAAGTTGCCCATTATTTTAAGAAATAATGACTGAACTAGTTAATTAAGTAGAATTAGAAATCAAACTCTTTGCAATTAATTAAATTAAAATGGGAATATTTGCTTTGTGATTACAGTTTAAAAGGATGTTGAACAAAGAACTTTCACACTTCTCGGAGTCATCCAAGTCTGGCAATCAGATTTCTGAATACATCTGTAGCACTTTCCTTGGTAAGAAAAATCATTAATTATTATAAACTATTAACTAAGCTCGCAAAAGAAAGTAAATAAATTCGTTGTTTCATTATTTTTTCAAACATTTTTGTTCAGTATTTTTATTCTTTGAATTAATTATTGTATTAATAACAATACAATTATTCATAGTGAAATAATATTTATTTATAATTATATATAATTATTTATAATATAATAAAATTATTATTTACTTTTGTACGAAATTTAATGAATAATAAATTAAAATTAGTGGAGTTAATTAGAGTCACACTTTTTTTTCTTTTTTTTTTTTTTTTTTTTGATGATGATTTGATAAAAAAGGAAAATGTAAGAAAAATGAAAGTCTTATCAAAGAAAACGTACGCCACTTTTAATATCTTGACCACTCTGACGTGTTTATTGATAAAATGTATAACAAGAAAACTTGAAATGACACGACAAGACGTGTAACTTGTTTAGTAAGATAAAATTGATATCGCCATCAGTATCTGCTTTTCTGTATAAAAGAGAAAAATCTTTTCTGTGTTTTTTAAATTTTACATATATATTCACTTTCAAAAAGAAGAAGAAAAATTGAAATTAAAAAAAGGGAGAATAAATATTAAAACAAAGAAAAGAAAGTAGAAATTAAAATAAAAAAAGAGAGAATATTAAAATAAATACTGAAACAAAAGAAGAGACAACAAATATTTTAATAAGCCAAAAATTTATATTTTCCCAAAAAAATTTTTAGAAAAAAAATTTGAAAGTTCCAAATACGTGAAGAAATTAAATTAAAATAAATTGTAGAAACAATAAAAAAATTGAAGAAAGAGGAAGGATAAAAAGGACGAATAAAAAATAATTAATCAAAAAGTTGAATTGGCTTTTTTTCTTTTGCCAAAAAAAATAAAAAAAGAGGAACGACGCACTTCACGATGAGAAAATTGATTTTATTTGAGTGTTACAAAAATTGTCAGAATGGTAGGTAAACTTTGCGTGACAAGTTAACAAGCAATTTTGAATATATACATATATATATACGAAACCTTGAATTTGACTGACATCCTTTTGAATGTGTATTTCAACACTTTTCTTCTGTTTTATCGAAAGACGAGAGTCGAGAGATTAAAATTCATTTCAAAAAGTTTTGCTAATAACGTCGAGGAACTTTAATTTTTTTATAAAATTAATAACTTGTCTAATTTTAATTTATTCTGTCAATTTTGTTTTTTTCATTTTAGATTTTATTTTTGTTTTTAATTTTAAACATATATTAATTAATTAGTTATTATTTATTTCCTATTTATTTATTATACATTTCTCTATTTTTTGTCTATTTATTATTTATTTATTGTCTATTATTTTACTATTTATTAAAAAAATAATAAAAAGGGGGGTTTTTGTTTTGTAAGACCGTTGATATTAAATAAGTAAATACATAAAAAATAATAGAACAAAAAACCATTAACTATGAATAATAAACAAATAGTAAAATATTAAAAAATTAAATATTAAAACATTAAAAAAACTAATAATTCAAAGGCGAAAAATTCAAAAATATCGAAAAGTTATTTAAAAAAAAAATTATAATTTGCTAAAAATAATAAAAAATTGAAGCTGTAAAAAAATAGATATCGATTGTCTCATAAGAATCGTTTCGTCGCGCCTAATCTCTTGTCTTGACGATCTTTGAACGGCGTCACTATTGATAAATCTATTTATGTTTTATATAATTAAGTGGACGCGTGTAAAATACAAATTAATTTTCTATATATATATATATACATAATTATGTGTATAATATATTGTCACAATTCAAATAATTATCGATTAGATTAACTGCGTAACTGCAAAAAAAAAGTTTTTTTTTCTTATTCTTTAATATTTTAAGGAGTGGTACATGACCTTCAAATGTCTCATCACATATTTATAGTATAAGACCAATTTTTCCAAGTTCAAATATGCGCAGTTAAAAAAGAAAAAAATATTCCAGTAGTGCAATCAATCGTAACTGTACCATATTTATTTTTACTGTTCCTCTTATTCTTCGAAAATTTATTTCGTAATAGTAAAAAAAAATTGCTCCTCTTCTGAGTACGAAGTGAAAAATGAAAGAAAAAAAATCGAAAATTGTCGGAAATGATAAATTAGAATTTTTTATTTATTATTAATCTGAAGTGGTTAATTTTCTTTTGAAGAAAGTTTTTTGCAGAGATAATTTTATTTATAAAAGTGGGATTTTAAATAATCATATAAAACAATTACAAATTAATTATTAATTAATAGTAATTGATTTTTATTAATTAATAATTAATTATTCTTAATTTATAATAAATTGCTATTGTAATTAATTTTTTATTTATACAGTATTAACGAGTTTCTAAATAAAAGAAAACATTTCATTTCTTTAAATAAACAAATAAAAAAATTATTTTTACAAAATAAGCAAAAAAAAATATATTTTTGTAAATGAAAAAAATAAAAATAGCAAAAAATATTTTAATAATATTTTATCTACTATATTTTATGAAATATTTTTTCATTACTTGTCAACATGTGCGTATCTCGCGAAAAAAAATTTATCAGCGACAAAAGTGGAACAAACCAAAAAAAAATAAATGACCATCGAAATCCCGGAATTCTGAAGTTAAAAAGACATTTTACAGTTTTATTGACGTTGATAAAAAATTACGATCAGATTAAAAAAATAACAATAGTCTAACAGGTTTGTTTTTCTCCTCAAAGTAAATTTTGTTTATTACATTTTCATATTTTCTAATACGCGCAATGATAATAAAAATTTATTTTTGATTTCTAATACACAATGTAGTATAGAAAGAAAGGAATAAAATTTATTTTTGATTTCCTTAAATATACCATAAAGTAATAAAAATTTATTTTTGAAACTTGACAAATTCAATTTTTTATCGTTATTTAAACTTGTTAATAAAAAAAAATTATTCTTTGATAGGAAACATTTTTTTTCGATTATTTTTCAATTTTAGCACAATTACAAAATATTATATGTTTTACATAATAATGATTATAAATATTTACTTTTGAATAATAATAACTATTATTGTACATAGTTATAATTTACTTATTTATTAAACAATAATTATTATTATTGTAGTTATAATTTTTTTATTGAATTATAATAATTATTGTAATTATAATTTATTTACTTATTTATTATTGAATAATAATTATTATCATTTTAGTTTATGTGGAATTTTACAAATTCGATGATTGTTTAAATAAAAAAAAATTTTTTTGCTTGCAGATAAACAACAAGAGTTGGATTTACCATCCCTACGAATTGAGGATGCTGTGGCTCCAACCGGAAGTGCGGACGCAAGAGCGGCTAAGAAAAAGGATCGACTACAAAAAGGACCAGCCGCGATGTCCCATATTAGTGGTGTTAAACGACCCTTAACGCATACTAATAGTTTCACCGGTGAACGAGTACCTGTACATGGTGTTGAAACACCTGATGAAGAAAAACTTGGCAAGGTATTTTACATAATGAAATTTTAAATTTAAATATCTCCCTTTTCTCAAAAGTCGTTTATCTTCTTTGCAAAACACAAAAAAATCCTGTTTTCGCTGAATAAGAATAATTTTTTTTATCTAGGGAAATTATTTTTAAAAAAATCTTTTTTAAATCTAAACAAATTAAATTAATTACTTTTTTTTAATTTTAATTAATTAATTAATTAATTAATTGAAAAATTAATAAATTTATAGGAAGAAAATAACTGAATACCTACAATATTGAATAAAATAAAAAAAAAAATTGAATAAAATTAAATGAACTGAAAAAATAAATTGAATACAAAATTAAATTAAAGAAATAGAATTTTTTGTAAGTAAAAAATTTGTTGTTATTCACAATTTGTTTGTAAATTTATTAAATATAAGTTTTACAGCTTCGTTAATATTTCTCTTTAGTTCATAAATTCGTTACAGAATTTATTCATTCAAATATTTCACATATACAGAATTTCATTGTTTCAATTCATTTTTAATTGCATAAAGAAAATTTAATTAACAAAGGAATCCTCATTGAGATAGAACTGTACAATTTATTATAAAATTAAAATGACTCAAATTCCCGGGTGAATAATTTAATTTTGTCCAAAATTGTTCCAAAATTGAAGAAAAAGAATTTAAAAAATCAAAGAAATTTTTTTAATACAGTCTAAAAACTTTTCTATTCGTTAATTTATTTAATTTTATTTAAATTTTTTAATTTACGAATTCGCTTAATTTTTAATAATTTAATAACTTATTAATTTTTTTCGGAAATAAAATTTTTTATTCCATAGATAGAAACTAATTTTCTTTGCAAATAAAATAGTCTTTTGAAAATAAAAATTTACCTTTGAATGTAAATTTACTTTTAAATGTAAATTTACCTTGGAAAGGAATTTACTTTTGAAAAATAATTACTTTTTTTAGAAAGCAATTAGTTTTTATAAATAATTTAACATTTAGAAATTGTTTTTCCTTGAGAGTAGTATAAAAATTTATGTTTAAATTAAGTTTCGAGGAAAAATTCGCTTTATAATGAAAATTTTATTAAAAATATTATTTAGTAGATAATAATATATTTTTCCTTTTCGTTTTTTTTTATTTGAACCGGAAAATTTAGAAAGATTTTTTTGTTTAAAAAATTCATAATAATATTGATAGCAATTTTTTTTCAACCAGAAAATTTTGAAAGTGGAGAATTTCATTTTCAAAAATTAATTTTTAAAAATTTAAATTTGAAATTAAAAAAAAATAATTTTTCTGTTTTTTATATTCAGGAAATTTTTTATTTTTAAATACGGAAATATTTCTTTTTTTCGTTTTTGAGAATCGCATCAGCAAAATATATATATACGCAAATTTTTTTAGCGCCCACGTGAAATTCCCTAATCGGTTTGTTTCTTCAATATTTGCCATTTTCAGAAAGTTTATTTCGCCTTTTTTCCACTGCGCCCACATATTCCATGTCAGTGGCGCCAAACAAAATAATATAATAAACTTATTTTACGGCTTTCTAAAATTAGCCATTGTACAAAAAATATTTTATCAGAATATATATTTAACGACAGAGTTAAAAAAAATTGAATGAAAAATTTATAATTGCATTTTTTTTTTGTGAAATATTTTCAAAAACAATTTGAAAAACTATTTCTAAAAAGCTATAAATTATTTCTGTAAATTATTTCTCAAAAACTATAAAATATTTCTAAAAATTGAAAACTATTTCTGAAAATAAGAAAATATTTTTATAAATATTTATAAATGAAAGAATTAAAAAAACTTTTTTATATTTTTAAAAATGAATATGAAAAGTTCTGAAAAAATTTGTAAGTTGAAACAAAAATAACGATTTTCAGTTGATCAAATAAAAAATCATTTTTATAAATAAAGTTCTAAAAAACGTTTATTTAATATAAAGAAAATGGAAAACAAGTTTTTCAGTTATTAAAAGTAAATGATAAAATATTAATTATTTATTATATTTCCCAAAAAAACGCAGAAGAATTTTTTAATAATTAATCTTACTTGTATTCAAATGATTATTTACCAATAAGATAAAAATGTTCGGTAAAGTGCGTCACGAACTCTATTAAAATTAATAAATTATAATGACAAAATGTTCCTTTTGATTCAAGTTGATTAAATATTTTTTTTTAAATTACATTGACGTACCAAACTTTGTCTATTTATTCGTCTCAACACTTATGGTAGACTTTTCTGAATATATTAATTTTACATATACGAAAAAAAAATGTTTTCTTCTTCTTCCATATCCGAAATTAACTTTCAGGAAAAATTATAATACTCACTGCACCATTTATGGGTTGAGCAAGTAGGGGCTTCTTTTTTTTTTGTAAACACGTGTTCCTATCTGATTCACTTATAAAAAATGGAAAAAAAATTATTTCAATAATACACCCTTTTGTTTATTTTTATTTTTTTTTATTACGTGTCACAAAAGCGGATTCAATATTTAACCATTTATTCGCGATTTATTTTTAACTCTCATTTCTCTCTCCGATTTATTATTTTATTTTTAGAATGGAAAATAATTTTTATTTATTTTTACTATTCTTTTTAATTCATGAAAAGTAATTACTATTGTTTATTTAATTAATTTTTAATATAATAATTATTTTTATTTGTTTTTCTACTTTTAATTTATTAAACAAATTTTTTTATTCCAATTCATATTTTTTATAAATTAAATAATAATAATAATAATAAAAATAATAACAATTTTTGAATTTGTTTATTAATTTTTTTGTTTTATAAAAAAATTTCGTTCCCTTTAAAAAAATAATTGTTTACTTTTTGATATTTTCAAACGATATTAAATGCTAATGAAAAAGTAATTACTTTATTTTCTTTTGATAATTCGTGAAATAGATGTTTATTAACAAAAAATATATTTAACGTCATTGAGGGGAAATTGAAATTGGCAAATATTTGATGAATGGATTTCATTCCCTTTGGCTGATGTTCATGTTAATTACAAAATTTTTTTTTTTTATTTAGAATTATTTATTACTTTCTTTTAAATAAATAAAGCGTTAAAATGCATTTCTTTCATGAGAAAAAAAGATGAGTTTTTAATCTACTGTACTTTATCTGAAAAATCGTTTTCTACAGTGAGGAAATAAAGACACAGTCAGACAAAAAGTGTCTCACTTAACGTTTCCTTATCCACTGAAAAGACTCAATAAATTCACAAAAGCGAAAAACTCTTTTTGTTGAAAGAAAAATGCGACTAAATAAAAAGTCCATTAAATATTTTCATTTAAAAGTTTATTTTTCTTGCGCTAAACATTTGATTTTATTAAAAAAAAAATTGTGGAAAGTGTTTTTTTCGTTAATTGTTTTATTTGTATTTCTTATTATTTTTTATTTCATTTTCTGTATTTATATTTTTTATTATCTTCTTCCTTTTATTTTTTTATTATTAATATTTTTTAGATATTTTCTTTTTTATTATTGTATTTGTCATTATTTTTTTTTTTTAGTTTTTTATTTAAGTAGTAAACGGGCTTACAAAAAATAAATTCCCTTTCGTACGATTGTACTAATTATTTTTACTATTATTTTTAATAATTTTTACTATTTTTCTTATTTCACTTTTTTTCTATTTGTATTTTTTAATGATTTTCTTCATTTCATTTCTTTTTGTTTATATTTTTTAATTATTTTCTTTACTTTATTTCTTATTATTTATATTTTTTATTATTTTCTTCATTTTATTTTTTATTACTCGTATTATTCTAATTTTCTTCATTATTTATTTATTTTTATTTTATTTTTTATTATTCATATTTTCATTTCCTCAAAGGAAAAAAAAATTTTTTCTTCTCAAAAGATCATTTTTATTTGCAATTTTCCTTTAGTTATGAATATTTTTTTTCTTATGTTAAATTTTTTATTGCTGCAAAGTATGTTTTCTGATTTATAATTTACATAAGAGATTTTTGCAAATTTATCTTCATCTTATCAGCTTATTTTCTTTAAATATATTATTACAACTAATATTTAGAGATAAATTATTAATGACACTTGAAAGATAACGTATAAATTATCAATACAAACACCACTCAAGGCTCATTAGTTTTCAAATCCAAATGATAAAAGAAAATTAAAATAAATATTAATAACCCAATGGTAAAATAAAATAAAAATGGTAAAAAAAATGAAAAAATTAGTTTTAGTTGAATCCGTAAAATTTTTCCAAGTAATTAATTTGTTTCAATTTTTTTCAGTTTTCCTAATTATTAATTAATTCATTAATTTGTTTTTGTATTTAATTATTTATTTACTTAGTTATTTATTTACTTATTTATTTCCTTATTTATTTACTTAATTATTTATCTATCTATTTATTTATTTACCTTATTTACCTACTTATTTATTTATTTATTTATCTATTTATTTATCTATTTATTTATGTATTTATTTATTCACTTACTGAAAAAAATGTAAAAAAATTAATTTAAATAACTTTTTCGCAAAAGATTTTTTGTATTTGAAAAATAATGCGCCGATTGTTATTAAGACTGTGGACAATATTGAGGATTGCAAAAGAATACGATTTAGAAGATAATCGGCTTAAAATTTAATCCAGAATAAAATGGATATTGAAATGAGATTTTAGAGAATTTGTATAATATGTAATTATGAATAGAGAGGACACATTGATATTATATCTTGTGTCGATTTGCTTGTGTAAATTACATGAAGATTTGATGAGAACAATCAAAGTTTATAACTATAGAGAGTAGGGACGTATTAATGATTGAATTAACGTTTAATTTGAAATTTGCAGCATCTGTCGGACATTGACAAGTGGGGAATCGACATCTTCAGGATAGGTGAACTCAGTAATAATAGACCGTTGACCTGCGTGGCGTACACAGTCTTCCAGAGTCGTGATCTGCTCAATTCCCTGGCAATTCCTCCCAAGACCTTTGTCACATTCATGATGACCTTAGAGGATCATTACGTCAAGGATAATCCCTTCCACAATAGCCTTCATGCAGCAGACGTCACACAATCCACGCACACTCTTCTCAATACTCCTGCACTTGAGGTGATTTTCAAAAAGAAATTTAAAAAAAAAAATTAAATCTGACGATTTTCACAAATTTGTCATTTTTCTCTTTTTTTCTTTTTTCATAGAATTTCTGTCATTTTTTTCGAAATTCGTCTTTTTCCTGAAATTTAAAGTCTGAAATTAATATTAAGAATTAATTAATTAAGAGACGAAATAGAAATAAATAGAAGAAATTCAAATTCTGAAATTATTATTAAGAATAAATTAATTAAGGGACAAGAAATAATTTTTTTTTTTTGCTAAAATATATTTTTTTAATAAGTAATTTAATAAATTTCAGTCTGTATTCACGCCACTGGAAATCACAGCAGCTCTTTTTGCGGCCACTATCCACGATGTTGATCATCCTGGTCTCACGAATCAATTCCTGATAAATTCAAGTAAGTAATTGTTTCCCGAAGCATTTATTAAAATTTAAGAAAATAATTTAATTTTTTCGAAAAATTTTATTAAAAATTTAAACAATTAATTGAATCCTTTGGTGGAATTTTGTGAAAATTGTATTGAAAATAATTGGATTCTTGGTAAGAATTTTATTTAAATTGAATTAAAAATAAGTGAATTCATATCTATATAAGAATTTTACCAAAATTCTTCAAGATAATTGAATATTTTACGAAGAATTTTATTAAAATTTTTAAATATCTTCATTAAATTCTTTTGAAGAATTTCTTAAAAATTTTTTTTAATAGCGTTTATTTAATACTTTGAACTGAAATTTTGAACTGAAATTTTTTAAAGTAATTGAATTTTATGAAGAATATAATCATTTAGAAAAAGAATTAAATATTTTCAAAGTATTTTCATTACATTTTTTTCTTATAAAGAATTTTATTGAAATTTTTCAAAATATAATAAAATTTTTTCAAAGAATTTCATTAAAATTCTTTAAAGTAATTGAATTTCATGAAAGAATTTTATTATTTATGAAAATAATTAAATTCTTGAGAAGAATTTTTGTAAAAATTTTTTAAAATCCTAATTAAATTCTTTTCAACAATTTCCTTTAATTTTTTTCAAATAATGGAGTTTCTTTAATAGTTTTAATTGCAAATTTTTAAAGTAATTAAATTTTGTGAAGAATTTCTTTAAAATTTTTTAAATAATGTAAATAATAAAATTATTTACATTTTCAGAAAATAATTAAATTATTCTCAGAATTTTATTATAAAGTATTGGAAATAATTGAATTGCCAATAATGGAATTCTTTCAATAATTTTCTTTAATTTTTTTAATATAATCGATTTTGTTAATAACAATTATAATTAATTATTCTTTTAAACTATTTTATTAGTTTTTGTAAAGAATAACATTCTTCTGAAGAATTTCTCTAAGTTTTTTAAAAATTGTTTTTTTAATAATTTTAATTAAAAATTTTGAAAATAATTGAATTCCTGAGAAGAATTTTATTATTCATCAAAATAATTTAATTCTTGCGAAGAAGAATTTTGTTATTCATCAAAATAATTTAATTCTTGCGAAGAAGAATTTTATTATTTATAAAAATAATTCAATTGTTTTAAAGAATTTATTAAAATTTAAGAAAATAATTGAATCCTTTCGTGAAATTTTATTAAAATTATATTGAAAATACTTGAATTCCTCCGAAGAATTTTATTTAAATTTTTGATAGTAATAGACAGTAATAATAATTTTAAAAATTTTCCATCTGTAATTAGTTTATATTTGAAAATAAAAAATATTGTAATTTGCATACAATAATAATAAATTGAATATTTGAATAAAGAAAATTGAAATTATTAATTAATTTATTATTGTTGTGCAAAAGAAATTGAAGAAAATAAAAAATAATTGTCAGTGAAAGAGAATTAAAAAGTAAATTTCTTCTTACAGGTTCAGAACTCGCTCTGATGTACAACGACGAATCAGTGCTGGAAAATCATCATTTGGCAGTGGCGTTTAAGCTTCTACAGAACGAAGGCTGTGACATCTTTGTGAATATGACGAAGAAGCAACGTCAAACATTGAGAAAAATGGTGATTGATATGGTGCTCTCGACCGATATGTCAAAGCACATGACATTATTGGCCGATTTAAAAACAATGGTTGAAACAAAAAAAGTCGCTGGTTCAGGTGTATTATTACTTGATAATTATACCGATCGAATACAAGTTCTCGAGAATTTGGTGCATTGCGCCGATCTATCAAATCCAACGAAACCATTGCAATTGTATAAGCGATGGGTTGGTCTATTAATGGAGGAATTCTTCTTGCAAGGTGATCGTGAACGCGATCAAAATATGGACATTAGTCCAATGTGCGATCGACACAGTGCAACTATTGAAAAATCACAAGTTGGTTTTATCGATTATATTGTTCATCCATTATGGGAGACATGGGCCGATCTTGTTCATCCCGATGCGCAGGAAATACTCGATACTTTGGAGGAGAATCGTGATTGGTATCAATCAATGATACCGCCATCGCCACCATCCGACGATCAGCAATCCAATGAACAGCAGACTGATCGAATACACTTCCAGGTAATTGGAAAAAATAAATTAACTATATAATAATCTTCGTATTCTTTCATTTTTTCATTTTTTCTGTCTGTCCACACTTTGAAGTTAGTTTTTTTTTAAAAAAGCTTTTGTTTTCATTAAAATATATTGCTAGACAAATTGAAAATAAAATTTTTTCACGAATTTTTTCCCGATTTATGATAAAATAATATTTGAAATTAGAAAATTAAAAAAAAATTATTATTAACAAATAAAAAATATACAACTTATAATAATTAAAGACGACCGAGTGATAATATTGTTACTGTAAATTCTTCAAAATTATTTTTTTCAATTTAATTCTAATTCTAAAATTACTAAAAATGTTCGCTAAATCAACTATTTTTAATAATTTTTCAAAAAGTTCTTTGAAAATTTTTAAATCCATTTGTTTACAATTAAATTTTACAAAATAATTTCAATTATTTGGAAATCCTTCAATTAAATAGGTATATATTAGAAAATAAAAAATTCAAATGGATTCAAAAAAAAAAAAATTTATTCTACAGAATTGTTAATTAGTTAATGAAAAATTCAAATTTTCAAATATTTAAATTTGAAAACTTTTCAAAATTCAATTAATTCTAAAAATTCACGCTATAGTGGTTTTAATATTTAATTATTATCTAAAATTTTAAATAAAATCCATTTTTCAATCAATTTTTTTCTTAGAAAGTTGTACGAGAATTAAATTATTGAATTATTGAATTCATAATGAATTTTATCAACAAATTTTTAAATAATTGAATTCTTTTGATGAATTTTAATAAAATTTTTAAGAATAATTACATTATTCTAATTAAATTCTTTTGAAGAATTTCTTTAAATTTTTTTAAAATAATGCAGTTTATTTAATAATTTTAACTGAAAATTTTGAAAGTAATTGAATTTCTAAGAAGAATTTTATTATTTAGGAAAAGAATGAAATATTCTCAAAGTATTCAATTAAGATTTTGTTCTTATAAAGAATTTTATTGAAAATTTTTACAAAGAATTTTATTAAAATCGTACTGAAAATAATTGAATTTCTTCGAAGAATTATATTATTTATGAAAATAATTGAATTCTTTTGAAAAATTTTTTTAAAAATGAATAAAAAAGTAATTGAATCCTTTGGTGGAATTTTATTAAAATTGTATTGAAAATAATTAAATTCTTTGGTAAGAATTTTATTAAAATTGTTTGAAAAATAAGTGAAGAATTCTTAGAAAGAATTTTAACCAAATTCTTCAAAATAATTAAATTTCTACGTAGAATTTCATTATTTTGTAAAAGAATAAAATGTTTTCAAAGTATTTAATTGCAACTTTGTTCTTATAAAGAATTTTATTGAATTGTAAAGAATGTTATTAAAATTGTATTGAAAATAATTGAATCCCTGTAGAGAATTTGATTATGAAGATAATTGAATTATTGAGAAGAAAATAAAAAAAAATTTTAATTGGATTGCAGTGAAATTTTTATTTTTTCTGAAAATAATTAAATTTTTGCGAAGAATTTTATTATTTATAAAGATAATTAAAATTTTAACTAGAATTTTTTATTATTTTTTAACATAATTGAATTTCTACGATGAGTCTTATTATTTGTGATAATTGAATTCTTAAAAGGAATTTTTATTTTTTATATAAATAATTGAATTCTTGTGAAATATTTTATTATTTATGAAAATAATTGAATTATTACGGAGAAAATTATAAAAATTTGTTAATAATTGAATTCCTGTGAAATTTATTATTATTATGAAAATAATTGAATTTTTGCGAAGAATTTTATCAAAAATTTGTTTAACTAATTTAATTCTTTTGGAAAACTTTATTAAAATAATAGTTATTGAAAATCATTGAATTGAGGATTTTATAAAAATTTTTGAAAATAATTGAATTTCAGAGAAGAATTTTATTATTTATAAAGATAATTGAAATTTTGACTACACTTTTTTAAACTTTTGACCATAATTGAATTTCTGCTAAGAATTTTATTACTTTTGAAAATAATTGAATTTCCCCAATTATTTGTAACTTCTCCAAAATTCAATTTTTTTAGTGTTTTTAACTAATATTCTTCTATAAATCTATTATTTTTAATAATTAATTGAATATAGTTTCAAAAATTGAACTAATTTTAGAAGAATTTGAATTAGGGAATTTAGGAAAATCAGAGAACTTCGACAAGGAAATTGGGGAAAAGAAATCAAATTTTTGTGGCAATCTTTGTGTAAAAAGATCAGAAAAAATAAAAAATAGCGTATTTTCAATTTCAGAAGATTAATTTGAATTTTTTTTGCAGGTAACACTGGAGGAAGGAGATGAGAGTGGCGAAGGAGTGGAGGGCGAACAGACAGCAATATCCGGCGAAGAAGGGGGCGGTGAGTCAGAAGAAACTGCCGGCGACGCTGGGATGTGACGGAGGCTGGCCGGCATTTGCAAGAAACTTCATGAAAAGGTGCAACAAACTTGGTGGCGTGTACGTCAGTGACGTCTGTTTCTGGTTTTCTCGTCACGATGACGATGAAAAAAGAAGAGTCTCCTCGAAAAAGGGATTCAGATGTTTTTTTCTAAAAAAAAAAAATCCAAGTCGTCCTTTTACCCGTAAAATACTCGTGAATTAACACAGTAAACAAAAAAAAGAGAAAGCTTGTGGAACAAGCAATGCAAAAAAAGATGGTGAAAAACATTTTTTCGACCTGCAGGTGCTAAACAAAACGGAAACAAGAAAAGTGAGAGAGAAACAAGAAGACAAAAATTTGAAAGCAGAAATCGTTAATTTTTTTTCTCCATTCGGCTGGTCCGAATTGACAAAAAAAACACACAAAAATGGGAACGAAACGAAAGAAAAAAAAGATCAAGAAATAGAGGAAAAGATATCGAACGAGAATGCTCAAATTTCAAGGAAAAGCTCAACGTACGTTCTCAAAACAAAAAGCACATCTTGGCAAGGAAACGAGTTCTGCTTATCAAGAAAAGATTAGTCAATACTCGAAAAGCGATTGGGAATGCGACAATTTTTTTTTGGAGAAGAAAAATCTACGACTTGTACTATTTCTGAAAACGAAATTCCTCATTTTGACATATCAAAGAAGAAAGCGATTAAAAGGTGAGTGTAGTTAGAAAAGATAAAAGAAGGTGAATTTCGTTCAAATCCGATCTAAAAAAAAAGTACGATTAGAAAAGAAAACCGGAAAAGTCCTCAAAATCCGTCGTAAAACTAAAAGAATTGCTTTGACGCGAATTGAACGCTTATCGTGAAACGAACGTACAATCGCACAAGCTAATTTCCCCCCACCGATAATAATTGTAATAATAATCATTTAATCTATACCTCGAGTTTTAGAATTGATTTCCCTTATTTTTCGTACTTGACTGTCCATCAAATTATAATCTCAAAAAAAAAAAAAATTCCCCGGGAAAATATTAAATTTAAAAAAAGTACAGGGTGATAATGTACGTTTTCCAAAAAAAAACGCACACACAAGAGAATTTGCGGAGAGAAAGACAGAAGATTGAACACACAGAAAACACACACACGTACACAAAGAGAGATTCGTTTTTTTATTTATCCTCATAAGTAGTTACCTCAAAAAAAGAGTAAAAGAGGAAAACCTAAGCTTTCGTCTCAATCGCTTACTAGATTAGGGGTGTGACTTAAGCGAGAACTCAGAGTAGTGGCATCTAAATAACGAAAAAAAAAAACACTAACAGTTAGGAGATTATAAATAAGTAGTGTGTAAGATTTTATTTAAAGAGAGAAAAAAAGCAGATATTAATTTTAATATACAACTGTGGGGAAAAAAGCTGGTCTTTTTAAATTAAATAAGGTTTATATTAAAATTGATTCGTGACTCCTGCGAAGACGACGACGACGCTTTTCAACTCCTGCGACGTGTGTACAGTTTCAGCGCGATAATAAAAAAAGAAGACAACAACAACAAAAATAATGAAAAAAATGAAAAAAAAGTGAAAAACCTCGTGGATAGTTGTTTTTAACCAAAGAATAATATTAGCTTACTTTAAGCCAGAAGGTCAAGGACGTCCCATTAAAAAAAAAATATATATATTATATAATATGCGTTTTCCACGACAAAGACACACCGATCATTCTCGCATTTCTCGACTTGTAGCGTCGCTAGAAAAACACACCTATAGAAGTAATTATTATTATAATAATAGACATTGCGAATTTAATGTAACAAAAAAAAGAAAAAAGGAAAAAAGTCCCTCTTTATTGCTTCTGTCTGCCAATTGGTCCGTACAAATCTTATTCTTGCCGTAATGACGACGAAAAAAAACCCTGCCGCTAAAATTGGAAGACGAAAGCCGTTTAAGACAAATAGTTTCGTACTTTTCAGTTCATAATTTCGAAAAAAATAAAATTTGCTTCTTTTTTAATACGGTTCGATAGCTCCAAATTCTTAATTAAATCATTTTTTGTTACTCTTGTCGAATAGATAATTGGTAAATTTAATTTTGCGAATTAGTTCTTAAATTAATTCAATTTTTCTAATTTAGTTTTTAAATTAATTTTTAATTATTCAATTTTGTGAATTTAATTTTGTGAATTTCATTTTTAAATTAATTCAATTTGTTTAATTGTATTATTAAATTAATTTTACTTTATTCAATCATTAAATTTAATTATTTCAATTATTAAATTGAAATTGAAATTAAATTGAATTCAAAAATTAATTTAAATTTATAAATTCAATTGTTAAATTGAAATTGAAATTAAATTATTTAATTTTATGAAATCAATTATTCAAATGAAATTAAATTGAATTGAAAATTAATTTAATTTTCTTAATTCAATTTTTAAATTGAAATTGAAATTAAATTAATTTGAAAACTAATTCAATTTTATGAATTTAAATATTAAATTCATTAAATTTTATGAATTTAATTATTAAATTCATTAAATTTTATGGATTTAAGCATTAAATTAATTTTATTTCATGATTTTTGGTTATAAAATTAATTCAATAATTCTTACGGTTAAATTTTAATTCAGTAATTTTTTATAACAATTTTACGATTAATGAATTTTGTGAATTTAACTTTTAAATTAATTTAATTTCATGAATTCAATTATTAGGAACTTAAATTAAATTGAAATTAACTTTAATTTTCTAAATTCAATTATTAAATTGCAATTGCAATTGAAATTAAATTAAAAATTAATTTATATCTATAAACTTTATTATTAAATTAACTTTATTAATTTGATTATTAAATTAATTCTACTAATTTAAAAAATAAATTTATGTATTTTTACATTTAGAATTATCGAGAAAAGTTGACAATCTCTAGAAATTCTGTAATAAAAGATTTCCAGTAAATAAAAAGTGGAAATATTTTTACTCTGAATACTAAAAATCATGAGAGTTAAAAAATGATTAATTAAGTCACTAATAAAAAATAAGACAATTTTCTGAATTTATTTTAAACAAATAATAATTTATTTAGAACATTTGAAACATTTTAAAGTGAAGAATTTTTACTTAATTAAAAAATTTTAATTAAAATTGTAAATATAAATTGTAAATTATAACCGAAAATTAGAATTCAGCAAAAAGTTTAATTGAACGAAAATTATTAATTGCACGAAAAGAATAATTAAACGAAAATTATAATTAAATTAGTAGTAAATTATATTTAAATCGACAAATTGTAATTAAATTATTTAACAACTTGATTGTAATTAAATTAATAAGTTAATTAACTTATTTATTTATTACTGTCACTAATCGAATCGAAATTGTAAATTATAAATTTGTTTTTAATCTAATCTAATTTTTCTATTATTTCAATTTTAATTATTATTTGTTGAAAAAATTGTTGTCCTATTTGGAGCTTAGAAAATGAAAAATATGAAAGTAAAATTTCGAAGAAAATGCACAAAAAACAAATTGTAATAAAAAAAAAATATATTGACGCAATGAAAAGCGAGATGACACGAGAGTGATTTGAGAAATGTTTCCCTCAAGTCTAACGTAATCGTAATAAATAATTAAAAGAAAAAAAAATATTGAAACTCTGAGAAATCTGTATCTGTGTCGTAGGCATTGATCTAGTAACTGTTTGGTGCTGGTCACCAAGTATAGAAAATTAAGGCTACGATTACGATTAGCAATAAGATGAAACTCTTTTATTTAAATAGAAAAAAACCTCCTATTTATATAGAGAGTAAGCGATGACGATGTTGTAACTCTCTTTCTCTCTCTATCTCTCTCTCTTTCTCTCTATCATGAACCTGGTTGCTTCGTGAGAGTGATAACCAAAAAAAAAAAATAATAATAATTTAATTATATCAACTGATGTATTTTCGCAGTGTTTTCCAAGTAGCAAAACTTAAAACAAAAAAAAATTGTATAACTCTTCGGTAAAAGCGAAATATTGTTATGTGGAAATGTTGAGAGACGCGAATTTTATGTATTGAAAAATCTTGGCTAAATTTTCAAATCGACATTTTTTTCAGTTCTTTCTTTCTTAAATTAGTGTTTTTTTAATCTGACGTCCGATTTTCGATTTTCAAAAAATTCATTTTTCACTTAATTTTGAATTCGAAATACTGATTGAAAATAAAAAATTAGTTAAAACAATAAAAAATTAATTTTTTTGTTGGAAAATATAATAAGCGAAAAAAATGTTCATCTGAAAGTTCCAGCCAGGAAAAAAAACGAAAGAAGCTAGTTTTGTATAAGACGAAATTTTTGAGAGAAAATAAAAAATTCAATTAGAGAGGAATTTTTTCGAAAAAAGCGGAACTTTCAAAAATTGAGAGAAGCATAAAAGATTTATAAAAGCGAGAGAAGTGTTTTTTTTTTTGTTATTAAAAGAAAAAAAAAGTATTAAAAAAGATAAAAAAGCGAGATTGTGGTTATTATGGAAAATGTTATGAAATATATATTCAGGTGAAAAAAAAAAAAATTTTTTTTGCGGATGCGCAGGTACCATTAACGCATAAACAAAAATAAACGGACCCTCCCCCCTTCGCCCCCTATACCATTATTTGTTAATTGTTTGTCAATTGTTCGCTGCAAGCACTGATTCTGACATTATGTAATATTGTATATTTTTTAGTTTTTACGAGTTTTTTTTTGACCCCCTCGCGTTTCATGACTGCTCTAACGACAATGTTTTACAAAGAAAATATGAGAGTATTGCGATTATTTAACGAGATATGTAATAAATTTAAAAGAAAAAAAACAATACGTGTTTGATTGCTGGACAGTTAAATGAACATGTATTAATATCGTGTAACCCTCGTACGAGATATATGTGTAATAAAAACATATTTATTGTCGGAAATTGTCTCTTTTTTATTTGAAACAAATATTTGGTGAGAGGAAATAATTTTTTTTCAGGTGTGAAAAGAAAATTAAATTATTAATAATTAAAATTTTAGTTTTTTAATATATATTTTTATCGTTCAACTTCAAAATTGATAAAGTTTTGCAAAGACAGTCGTAAAAAATAAATTATTTATTAGATTTATAATTAAAAAAAAAATGGAAAAACATTGTACATAACATTTTTTCAAAATTATGTAAAATAATTAACAAGGATAAAATATCCTGATAAATCTTTACACACAAATTCATCCCTACTTCAATAATTCTTAACAATTTGCGATAAACAAATTATATTATTTGATTGACGATTAAAAAATTCACTCCTTAAAATTAAATTTTTAATCTATACAAATTAATTATCTAAGTTCTCGATATCTTTATAAGTTTCAGCAATCCAACGAATTAAATACCTGATTCTCTCTGCCGATTCGTCAGACGCCTTGTAGTCCTCTATTCCTATTATCAGGCACTTCGATAAATTTTGCAGCGTTTCCTGAAGAAATAGAAAAAATACATTTTATAATCAATTTTGTATTCAAAAAATTAATACGGAAAAAAATTATAATTTATAGAAAAAAAAGAATACTTACTGTTGGCCACTCTTGTCTCAAAAGGGCAACGCACTGATCGCTGAGACATTCCAAACTCAAAATCTTTTCTTTTAGTAGTAATTTTATAAATTTTCCACACTTGGTCCAAACAGCATTATTTATGGACTTTTCTAAAATTATCACATTTCTTGGACTCAATATTCTCGATAGAGAAAAATTCGCCTCGGATGTTTTTGTCAGTACAAGTTTCCAGTATTTGACAAATTTCATTTCTATTTCAGTTGTGAGAATTTCCCTTCGATACGTAACTAAAATCAAATAAAATAAAAAATTTAATTAAAATTTAGAAAAATAAAATAAATTAAATTAAAATTTGGAAAAACAAAATAAAAAATTTAATTCAAATTAAAAAAAAATAAAATAAAACATTAAATTATTCAATTAAAATTAGATAAAATATTAAATTAAATAAAAATTAATGAATCAATTCATCAATTAATTAGTTATAAATTATTACTAACTTATAAAAAAATTATAATTATTCAAGATTTAAATTTAAATTGTAAAATAGAAAATAAAATAAAAAAATTATCTAAATACAATTATTAATAAAGAAGTGCAACAAATATTTTACCGATAAAGAGAAACAGATCAACACTCATTGTCCGCAAATAATTTTCGGGTCCGGGAATTAAATCTGCTCGTTCAGTAGAACTCGAATATAACTGATCTAAAACTTTCGATACGAACTCAATTGTTACAGATTTTCCATTATTGTCCAGAAATTCCCACGAGCAAGCCTAAAATATTTTTTAAAATAAAAATAAATGTTTACATGAAAACAAAATAATAAAATAATTATTTTTGTTAAATAAATGAATAAAAAAAAATTATTTCTCACCCGAAGATCATCAAGTACGTCAGTTGGACAAGCAGCAGAAAGATTATGTTTATCTTCATTCTCAACAATAATGGCGTTGTCGATTTCGTTTTTCGCCACTTGACTAATTTTAAATTCCATATCTCGCATAAAAAGCAAATCCCCAATGTGCGATTGAATCCATTGAGCAATGCGATCCTGTGCCATTCTAATTGTAATTTGAATACACGTTTCCTTCACAGTCAATAAGGTGTCGACTGCTAATAAAGAATCAATCGTCTGTGAAATACGAGTCTTACACATTGCAGGAATTTCCTTTTCAATTTTTTCCTTCACTTCCTTTGTTATATTTGCCGCCAAATTATTCATCTCCTTCAACATCAACGTCTAAACAAAGTGTAAAATAGTTTAATTTAATAAAGAAAAATATGTACCTAATATTATTTTTATTTTTTTCTCTAATTTTAGCTAAAAGTTTCAAAAGTTGATAGTTTTTTCTAATTTTAGCAAAAAATTCTAAAAGTTAATTAAATCGATTAATAATTAATACTACTAACTTAATATATTTATTTTATTCATTTTATTATTTGAATAAATTAATAAATTAAATAATACCTTCACCTGTGATGAGAATAAAAAAAATAAATTAAAATTCGAATGAAATGAAGAGTTAAAAAAATTGTAAGGAATTTAATTAATTACCTTCAAGTCATTAGGAGTGTTTTCCAACATTTTACGATGTTTTTCAACCACATTTTGTCGCAATTCATTTAAACAATTTTCTTGAGCCGTCGTTAATAAATTGTTGAAAATGTATTTCACACAAGTCGATGCAACTCTTTCGGAAACAAATTCAATCGTTTTCCTAGTAGAAGCCGGTTGACCGTTGAAAAATGCTTCTTCCAATTGGAGCTAAAATAAAAAATAAATGAATTAAATTATTAATTATTAACTATATTAATCTTCGTATTCTTTCATTCATTCTGTCCGCAGTTTGAAGTTGATTTTTGTGTATGGTTTTATTTTTTTTTATTTAAAAAATATTGTTTGACAAAAAATCGATAAGTATTAGAAATTAGAAAATTTAAAAGAAATTATGATTAACAAATGAAAAATATACCCATTTTGTTTATTATATGCTTCTTTCTATTACAAATTTCTTAATATTTTTGTAGAAAATTCTCAATTTTCATAAGGAAATAATTTGCATAATTTCTATTTCTTAACTACAATTGTTTTAATAAAATTCAAAGTTTTTCAAACAGAAAGGAGAAAAATGTTTATAAATTCTATTTGTTAAATACAAATTTTAATTGAAAATGAAATTAAAAATTTTTGAATTTTTAGAAAATAAAGGAAAAAATTTTACTGAAAAAAATATTCTGTTACATTTATTGACGAATTTCTTTAATTGAAAAATTATTCAAAAACATCAATAACTTCTTTTCTAAATAAATATTTAATTATTATTATTTTTCTATAGGAATTAAGATTTTCAAAAATTTCAAATTCAAACCTTTTTGAAATTAAATAACTTTAGAAATATTTTGTTATAAAACATGAAGATATCCTTTTTTATAATAATTAAAAATGTTCGAGAAATAAAATCATTATTTTATATTCGTTTGAACCCGTGTAAGATTGAATAAATAAATAAATATTATAAGAATATTGTTACTGCAACTTCTTCAAAATTATTTTCATATTCAATTATTATCTAAAATCTGAACTAAAATTGATTTTTAAATCAATTTTTATTAGAAAATTCTACGAGAATTCAATTATTTAAATACAAAAGTAAATTATTTATTGAATAATTGTATGATTTTTAAATAATTAAATTCTTTGGACGAATTTTAATAAATTTTTTTAAGAATAATTACATTTTTCAAGAAATTTGATTAAAATTGTATTAAAAATAATTGAATTCCTGTGAAATTTTTATTATTTATGAAACAATTAAATGTTTGCGTACAACTTTATCAAAAAATTTTTTAAATAATTGATTTCTTTTGGGTAGTTTTATTAAAATAGTAGAGATATATTGAAAATTAATAAATTATTAAAATGAGGAAAATTTTAGAAAATACATTGAAATTTTGACAATAATTCTATTAAAATTTGTGAAAATAATTGAATTTTAAAGAAAAATTTGATTATTTATAAAGATAATTGGGATTTTGATGGGATTTTTTTCAATTTTGAACATAATAATAATAATTTTATAGTTTGTGACGCAAACAAAAAAGGCACAAAAATTCAGAATTTTCTCATGAATTCTAAAAATTTAATTTTTTTAGTACTTTTAATAAAAATCCCGGACCTTTCCCTGAATTGCCTGTGTCAGAATATATGATTATTATAGTTATAATAATAATAAAACTATATTCTAATTCATATTTCTTTTTTATGAAAATAAATTTGAATAAAAAATTTTTACGTACTATTATTTTTAAAATTGCAAATTTTATTTTAAAAAGTAAGTAAAAGTTATCCTCGCGCGAATTGTAGCTAGTTGTAGAAATAAAATTGAAAGTGCAAATAAAAATAGAAATAAAAATCAGTTTCTTGAAATAAATTTACTACTAAAATCAAATAAATTGATAAAATTATTAAATTAATAAAATTGTTAAATTAACAAAATTAAAAGTGCAAATAAAAATAAAAACCAGTTTCATAAAATAAATTAATTACTAAAAAAAATAAGTTTGATAAAATTATTAAATTAATAAAATTGTTAAATTAGAAAAATTGTTAAATTAATAAACTTATTAGTTTAATAAACGTTTTTAGATATATAATTATATTAAATTAATTAAAAAATAAATCAGTACCTCTAAATTTTTCGCATTCGTACTGTCGGCGGCATTCGGAAGTTGACTAGAAACTGGAGTGATATGCCTGTTAGTTTTATTGCCAGTCGATTGTGAATTGCCGGTGAGGAGAATTTTAAACTCCATTAAAAATGGACAACACGAATATAAAACTCTTTCATCAATAATATCCAATCTGTCCAATGTCATATCATTTTTATTATTAACAATGGAAATTTTCATTTGTTCCTTTTCATTCTTGCAAAGTGTCAATAATTTCTTTTCATTGTGATTCGATTGCCAAGTGAAATAGAAATCAGTTGGAAAATTAGGCAATTCAAAGAGCCAACCAAGAGAGAATTTAATGAGAATTAACGTTTGTTGAGAAATAAATTGCTCGAAAATAAAGGGTACGTCTAATTTTGAAATTCTATAAATGCAATAAAGAATTTCCAATAATTGCTTATAGTATGGTAAACGAAGTGAAGCTGTATCTAATTGCGATAAATATTCAACAATCCAGGGTATTGTTAATGTCAATTTTCCCTGGACAATCGACTCCTGGAGGCAGGCTTGTAAATCCAATACGGGCACAATCTAGAAGGAGAAAAATTCAATTAGTTTAAATTAAATTAAATTTGATTTGAACTGAAATGAAATCATTTTAAATTAAATTATTTTTCAAAAAAACCAAATTTCACTTGTTTGGAAATAAAATTAATTATGTGAAGTGCAACTTACTCGACAGCGTAATGAAACTTGAGACTTGACGACCTCGTCGAGTGAACTTGTCGATGATCGATATGGTAACGATACCAAAAAGCCCAAAAATTTGCCGAGAAGACGTAAACTTAATAGACAAATTATAAAATTCTGCTTCGTTCGTTCATCAACCGTTGTTTCTGAAATAAAGCATTTTTAATTATTAAAAATTTGAATTAACACAGAAACTGATTAATTTGTAAGTATTTACTTACAGTTTAATTAATTATAAATTTTAATTCAAAATGATTTTTCTAAATTTGAAAATTTTAATACACACAATAAGTTTCATTTTTATTTTTAATTAATAACAATACAAATTATTTTTATTTTTAATAATCAAAAATTATTTCTAATGTTAAAAATAGAAAATTATTTTTATTGTCTATAATCGAAAAGTATTTATATTGTTAATAATCGAAAATTATTTCTAATGATAAAAATATAAAATTATTTTTATTGACAATAATTGACAATTATTAATAAATAGTAATAAAAAAAATATTTTTTTTCTAAATAAATGTAAAGTTACCTGAATCTCCAATTTCGATTGCAGTGAATTGCATATCGTTTAATTCCAAGATTTCGTGAATGAGACAATCTTCCAAGTGTGCATAAAACATTGGATTGAATGAATAAAGTATAAAATTTTTATAAAATTCCTGAACCCCCTGGAAAGTTGGCTCGGGAACGGGACCTTTTGATGATAAAGGAGTCACTAATCTCTCCTTCAATTGCGTCAATTTTTCCGGATTGATGTCCTTTAGAGATTTAAGAATACTCAAGCTCTCCTCATCAATAGCATCTTCCTAAAAATATTCACATTAAATAAAAATTAGTAAAGTGTCCAAAATTACGAAATTAATATTAAATAATAATAAATTAATTAATAATTAATAATAATTAAATTAATAATAAATATTATTACTATTAATTGAAATGAATAATAATTATTATTAAATTAGTAAATTAGTTTAATTACTAAAAATACAAAAAAAATTATAAAATAATTCTAAAATCCACTTTTTTGCTATTCAATTTTACGAAATTTCAATTATTCTAACATTTTTTAATTAAACATGTTCAAAAATCCAATTAATTTAAAAAATAATTGAATAAGAATTTTTCAAAAAAATAAGTTTTTGAGAATATTCGATGAAAATTAATTAATTAATTAATTCAATTCTTTTTAAAATTTTAGCTGCAATTTTCTTATAAAATTCAATTATTTTTTGAACTTTTAACAAAAATTTTTCTCTAAATCAATTATTAATCAATTTTTAATCATTTTCAAGAAAATTCTTTGATAATTCAATTATTATTCAAACAAAAAAGAAAAGTTTATCTAAAATAATTCTAAAATCAACTTGTTTGCAATTCAATTTTACAAAATTTCAATTATTCTATAATTTTTTAATTAAATATGTTCAAGAATTCAACTGAAAAGTTCTTCTAAAAAATTCTAAAATTCGCTTGTTTGTAATTCAATTTTATAAAATTTCAATTATTTAAAAAATTTAATTAAAGAAAATTAAATATTCAAAAATTCAATTGATTATAAACAAATTTATTATAAACTAAAATTTCTAAATAAAAATCAAAGAAAAAAATAAAATACCTGTTGTCCGCTGTGTATACAGGAAATAAGTAATTGAGATTTAAAAAGTCTAGCAATATGACAGTGATTAGTAACATCACTGTGAAGTGTCAGCATCATTTTTATTTTCTGATTCAACGCCACAGAAAATTTCCAATTACTATTCGAATGATTCTCCTCCCAAATTTTCAATATCTCGTAAAACATGTCACGTTGTTTACGAAACGATTGGAAAGCAATGGCCGTCGGGAAATTCTCCCTGTTGTCAGTATCAATTTGAAACGAAACATTCGGATCGACAAAGCTACAAAAAAAAAGCAAACAATCAGTATAAACAATGAAAATCCACTAAAATTTCAATTTCTAATCTTATTCACTTTTTATATAAAGAATTCTTGCCATTAAAAATATTTTAAACAATTAAAACACTCGAATAAAAACATTTTATTTAAAACAAAAATATAAATTAAAAAAAAGCAAAACTAAAAGGAAACCAAAGTAAAAAATTTCTAGAATTAAACTTCTATAATTGTTGTTTGAATACAAAAAATTATTTATTTATTTAGAAATTTATTTTATACCTACTAATAAATATATTTTTTTGTATTTAATTTAATTATTTACATATTAATAATAAAATAGCAAAAAAATTTAAATACAATTTATCTAGTATTAATAATAAAATAGTAAAAATAATTGTAATAAAATTTTCTTGTACTATTAATATAATTATAAATAAAGATTAAACTCACCTAAATGTATGTTGTTTAGTGTGATTCATTTTACTAAGTTTTGCATCATACAATTCCTGCAAATAAATTTGCAATTCCGGCTGAAATTCAGCGATATGTGAATTTTCCGATAGTAATTTTAATGTCGTTCGATCGAGAAATTTTAACCAATGTCTCTCGCTATTTAAAACATTTGTAGAAAAAAATACACAATTATGAGGAGTTCCTAAATGTAGATCGTCAATATTTAAAATTTCAACATTTTCCTTCTTACAAAGAATATCAGAATTCATCAATTCAGTCTTGTCTTCGATTTGCAATTTACTAACTAATTCTTCATTTTTTTCCATTAATAAAATTTCATCTTCGTCAATTTTCGATAATTCTTCACTGAGCAAAGCACAACCCAAATCAGATTCCAAATCTTGTGCTTCAATATTTAAACTTTCGGTCATATTTCCAGATTCATTATTCGTCGATTTGTTCTGCGCTTTTTGACGATGATATTGTGTGGTTATAAGAGAAATTATAAAATACATTTCAGTCATGGGATTTAAAATTAAATTGTTATCGATAAAGGCGCAATATAATTGTACTAGTACTTTTAAAATTTCCGTTTGATCAATTAATAATAATGAGGGGGTAATGATTGATTTTGATGATGATGATGATGATGATAATTGTGCTCTTGGTGGTCTTGTTTTCAATTGAGAATCTTGATCTCCAATTTTATTCTCAATCGTTATCTCTGGCTTTTTTTGTCTCTCGATGCGCAATAATACTCTTTCCATTTCAAATGATGCTTTGTCAGACAATTGATCGGTTGATTGAACTTCAGAGAATTGTGGATTCGTCGTCGCTGGTCGATTCACTGTTCCAAACACTGCATTTTCCTTGTCACCTTGAAAAAAAAATTAATTTTTAAATTTTTCTACAAAAAAAAGAACAGGGCTCGAACCAGTGAAAGTATTTAAAAATACGGACATAACGGATCAAAAATGAAAAATTACGGATCAATTACTGACAAAAATATAATCAGTCCAAGTCCAATAAGGGAACATTTTACTTAAAATTATAATTCAATTCAATTATTGTTTTCTAGAATTTGTAACTAAAATTCTTCTTTAAATCAATTATTTTTAATAATTTTCGAAAAAGTTCTTTGACAATTTTCAAATACATTTGTTTTCAATTCAATTTTACGAAATTTCGATTATTTGGAAATTCTTCAATTAAATATATATTAGAAAATAAAAACTTGAAATAATCTCAAAAAAAAATTCAATTAAACTTTTCCAAAAAAATTAATTCCACAAAATTATTAGTTAAAAGTATGAAAAATTTAAAGTTTCAAAGATTTTAATTTGAAACCTTTTAAAAATTTAATTATTTCTCAAAATTCACGCTATAATACTTTCCATATTCAATTATTATCTAAAATTCATTTTTAAATCAATTTTTATTAAAAACTTCTACGAAAATGCAATTATTTAAATGCAAAAATAAATTTGTTGAATAATTGAACGTTTCTCAAAATATAATTCTAATAATTTAAAATAATTTGAATTCTGCAATGAGTTTTATTATTTATGAAAATAATTGAATTAATGCAGGCCTCGGATCGACTTTAAGGTGCAAAAAAGTCGCTTTAGTCGATTTAAAATAGAAAAAAAGTCGAAAAAGTCGTTTATTTAATTCAGTGTCATCACAAAATTTTTATTTTTTATTCTTCTGATCTTTAACTGAATACTAAATTTAATTATTTAAAACTTGAATAATTTCGTTAAATAAATATTTAAATACTTCTTGTTTGTTTTTATGTACAGGAATAAAATTTAAAAAATTTCTAATTATAGAAAGTGAATTTATTAATTTTTATTTAAAAAATTTCTATTTAAAACCTTCTGAAATTTAATAACTTCTAAAAATTACAACTTTAATTCTCTAAAAATTCAATTATTTTCTACAATTTTTAATCAAACTTCTTCTCGTAATCAATTATTTTTAATAATTTCCCGAAAGTTCTTAGAGAATTCAATTATTTAAATACAACTTAGAATGTTTTCAGGATTTTAATTTTTGTCAAATAAATCTGTTTATATTTTCCAAAGGACCCAAGGCCACAATATAAACAGATTTATTATTTAAATACAAAAATGTTTTTTAAGTTATTAATTAATTTTCAAAAAATTATAATAAAGAAATTCTTAAAATTAATGTTTCATTTTTCATAATTTATGAAAGATAATAGTTTTTCAATTATATATAGAAATGAAAAATTTCCAAACAATTGAAATTTGGTAAATTCTATTAAAAAAAACATAATTGAATTTTTAAAGAATTTTAATTATTAATATAAACGCGATTTCTCCAAAATTTTAATAAATCTAAAAAAGTCATAATATGACACGGACAGTTAAAAGGGACCTACGATCCGAAAAACAGATTTCTAGAAAAACCACTTTGAAGTTTAGCAAGTTGATTTTGATACTTGTGAACGTATTAATGAATTGAAACTCGTTTCTCGGGGGTTATTGGGGTCGCTGATTACGAATCCGATGTTAGTTTTTGAAAATTCAAAATGGCGGATCCAATATGGCGGATGACTTTTTTAAAAATTGATCGGATTCACTTGAAAATCGTTACTCGGGGGTTTTTGGGGTCGCTGATTATAAATTTTGAATTTTTAAAAACTAACATCGGCTTCGTAATCAGCGACCCCAAAAACCCCCGAGTAACGATTTTCAAGCGAATCTGATCAATTTTTAAAAAAGTCATCCGCCATATTGGATCCGCCATTTAGAATTTTCAAAAACTAACAACGGATTCGTAATCAGCGACCCCGAAAACCCCCGAGTAACGAGTTTCAAGTGAATTTGATTAATTTCAGAAAAGTTTGTCAAATTTGATTTTGTTGTATTTTTTGTCAAAGTACCTTAACTTTGAAGTGAAATTGTGAAAAAACTAATGCAGCTAGAAAGCTGCAGTTTAATGCGTTGGAAAGAGCGGCCTATTTACTATAAGAATCAATAAAAAAATGAAAATCGATTTTTTCGGACCGCAGGTCCCTTTTAACTGTCCGTGTCACATATGTTGTTAAAATGTTAAAAATAATTGTAAAAAATTTTAATGTTATTATTTTTTTTATGCATTTGAATTTTTGGAAATTTGTATTTAAAAATATTGAAAATAATTAAATTTTAAAAAATTAGAATGCAAATATTCTAAGAATTATTTTTATCAAAAATATTTTAATACCTATAATTTTTTTGTAGCTAATTTTCATTAATTACTATTTTGAAATTTACACTTGAAGATTATTCATTAAAATTTTTGAGAAATCAATTATTTTCAAAATTAGCAATTAAAATTCTTTCAAAGTTTATTTTCACAAATTTTTATCAAACACTTTCAAAAAAATCAATTATTTTCAATTGAAAATTTATTTAGTAATTTATAAAAATAGTTGAATATTGTTTCGAAGAAATTATTAAAAATTTTAGGAAATAATTGAATTTTATGGAAATATTTGAATTCTTCCGAGAAATTCAATTAAATATGTTTTGAAAATAATTGAATTCCTACAAAGAATTTTACTATTTATTAAAATAATTGAATTTATTCGAAATATATTAAAAATTGTTTTAAAAATTAAATTCTTCTGAGGAATTTAATTTCAATTATTTTCAAAAGTTGCCATTGAAATTCTTCAAATGTTGATTTTCAAAAATCAATTATTTTTAATTAAATTTTACAAAATTTCAATATTTATTGAAACTCTTTTCTATTGTAAATTTCGAAAATAAGTTGCATTTTATACTAAAAATTATTGTAATATTCGGAAGAAAGGTCGAAAAAGTCGTAATTTAAAAAAAAAGTCGAAAAAAGTCGAAAATGTTATAATATCCGAGGCCTGTAAATGTGAAGAAATTTATAAAAAATTTGTATATAATTGAATTCTTGTGAATTTTTTATTATTTTATAAAAATAAGTAAATGTTTGCGTAGAATTTGATTAAAATTTTGTTAAATACTTGAATTTATTTTGAAAATTTTATTAAAATTGTAGAAAGTGAAAATCATATTGAATCATTGAACTGAGGAAAATTTTTGAAGATAATTGAATTTCAGAGAAAAATTTTGTTATTTATTAAAATAATTGAAATTTTGACGAGAATTTAAAAAAATTTTTGAAAATAATTGAATTTCTGCAATCATTTGACTTTTTTTTAAAAAAAAACTGACTTTTACTGACTTCAAGCAAATTTACGGACCTAGTTCGAGCTCTGAAAGAAATTTAAAAAGAAAAAGAATTTAATAAAGAAATAAGTACCTTTATCACTGGAAATATCCAATTTCGTCGGTTTTATTCTCCGTCGTCTTTCGAAACTCTGTCCAACTTCGGGAAAATTTTCCTCTGACAAAACAGAACTTGACATCATCGGCGATGATGATGAATCATCTTCTTTGGCATGCCTTGACAATTGTGTTTTTTGATTATTTTTTTTCCCACTACTTTTTTTCGATAAACGCGTATCAATTGTTATAAAATCGGCAAGACTGATATTTTGTCTTGACGTTGATTTGACATTTTTTTGCGATGAATTCGTTAATTGTTCCGGTGTACTATGCTTAAAATTATTATTATTTGTTCTCGTTTGTTTATCCATTGAACGATTTTGTGATTTATATGTGTTCTTTGGTGTTGTCATCATACTTTGACTATATAATGGAGAAACTGGATTTTTTAATTCATTATTATAATGCATTAGTGGTGAATTAAGGAGTAATTCATTTCGAATTGAATTCTCCGATGTTTGTGATGAATTACTTGAATAATCGTATTGACTACAATTTTGTGACAAGAGTGATGCATTTAAACTGCTACATTGTTCTTTTGATAAATTAACAAATAAATCATTGCCAGACGAAAATAATCTATTGAAATTTGATAGAACAGGTTCACTATTACGACTATTTGAAAATGATTGATTTAAATCCAATAATTGAGATGAATTTGCCGCTTTTTGTTGTTGTTGTTGTTGTGGTGAATCGACATTTTTTTTAACAATTAAATTATTTTCAATATCAGCGGATTTTTCATTAACACTCAGAAGTGAAATTCGTTTCTTAAATTGTTTATTTGTTTGTGAATTTTTTATTTTACCTTCTGATCCTAAGAGACTATCGGAAGATTTATTACTTTCAAAAATTTGTTTTCGATTTTTTGGACTTTTTATTATTAAAATACCTTTTGTTAATTGGTTAGGATTTTCATTATTAGTAGAAATATTAAGAGTGCTGCGTTTTTCTGATGATCGTGAATTATCGAGTGTATCATTTAATTTGTTAACATCATTCAAGACACTTCCAGAATTGTCAATTATTTGTGTTTCTTTATTAATTATATTAGTCGCTGATGGTTTTGATGTTTTATCCTTAGACGGTGTCTGCTTTATGTTAGTTGCAGCTGGTTGAGCACTAATGTAAGAAAATTAAAAATTCGAAGCTAAGAAATAAAACAAGCGTAAATTACGGAAAATAATGTAAATTGCAATTAAAAAGACTATTTTCTTTAATTGAATAAATAAAGGTAAACTATAAGTTAATTAATTAAAGTTGTTTTAACATTTTTAAAGTATTGAATAAATTAAAGTTGTTTTCAAATTTTAAACTTGTTAAATAAATTAAAGTTGTTTTTACTATATACAATATTTTTAGATAAACAATTTTTTTACTTACACTGCAAATTGGTCCCTTAAAAAATTCAGAAAACAAGCCACAAATTCAGCTCTCGGTAAATTTTGGTTTCCGTTACTCCAATCAAAATTTTGCTATAAATAAAATAATAAATGACAAATGTAAATAATCAAACAAACGATGTAGATTAATAAACAGTTTCTACTTTCAATTGTTCTTTAACAATTGTAAATATATTTATTTCATTATTACCCCTTCCTTTGAAAATTATCAATTAGTTAACAGTTCAATAATTAATTAGTTTGTCTACAACCATCAATTAGATCATTAACAATATCAAATTATATAAAAATGATAAAAATACTTGTAACAATTGTATGAATTGCAACAATCGACATAACCTAAAAATAACTGTAAAAATATCTCACAAAAAGATATACCTGTTGATTATCCGTTAACAACCATTTGATAATTTCTTCTGGTAATATTTTAGAATTAAGTACATTATTTAGTATTTCTTGAGCCATTTTTTTTCCGTTTTTAATCTTCAACTGTTGACGACAAAAAACACTCTTCGAAAACTTTGTAATTCAGAAATAACGAAACACTGAATTATGCGCAAGGACATTTATGTTCAATCACCGTTAAGTTCGAGTGTTAAATTTTCATTTGATTGTCTCGGAAAACTTTTAATAACATAATTTTCTTTTAAAACTTGTAGAATGAAAAGGGAAATTCGAGATAAATCATGAAAAACGATGAAAACAGAAGAAAAAGGTAGTTTGAAAAATTAACGATTATTTTGATGTAGCGCTGTCAACGTCTGAAATGCGCGGGAAAATTTTAAATTGGCCTTTTGTATAATTTTTATTAGAATGAATAATAATTAAATATATGTAAGGTTGAGTCCACAATAGGCACTTTTCTTAAAGCGATGCATACCCTCTACATCGATTTCTATTGTTCGAACAATGGAAATCGATGTAGAGGGTATGCATCGCTTTAAGAAAAGTGCCTATTGTGGACTCAACCTAATAAGTAATTATAAGTAATTTTTAATTTAGTAATTAATAGTTAGTAGTAATTTTTAATTTAGTTATTAATAGTTAGTGATTTGTAATTCAGTAATAATTACATTTTCAATTTATTCAAAAAGACATTTTTCATTCATGTAAAATTAAATTTATTTCTTTTAAATTTCAAAATTTGTTACAATCTCTTTCATTTTGTGACCACAGTATAAAAACATCACTTAATTTCATTCTTAAAATTAGACGAATACAAGAATTACATAAATTATAAGTATTTCCAATTTTTTCTGGAAAATCACAAATTTAATATCAAAACATATTTTCTAAATTAAAACTATTTGAAATAGTAAATGATAATTTAAAAAAATTATTTTTTTTCAAAAGCTGTAAATATAAAAAAGACTTAAAACGATAAATTGTTCAAATTAAAATATGGAATCTCTTTAAATGCTTTGTTCATTTCAATTGTTTTAAATTCCTTCATTGTTCATGACTCATGTGGAATAGAATTTTATCTAAATTAAAGTTTTTATTAAACAAGAGGATAACTTGCTGATGAGGCAATACCGCAATGATTATTCTTGTTTCTTGCCATTTTGATGTAACCTTTCTCACCCCAAGTCTCGCCCCAACTGTTCTTCACTAGCCAATAATCTTGAGGATTTCCATCCTTATCTTCTTCGGTTCCATAACCAACGACTAAAACACCATGATCTAATTGGTCTGATGAGCACTCGGGCTCGTAATAAACTCCTGAAAATTTTAAAACGTATGAGTAAATTGTACCTAATTAAATATTATTACTATTTATAAAATAAATTTATTCAATTATTTTAAGAAAAAAAATTATTAAAATTCGTCCATAGTTGAAATTACAATTATGTACATATTTATAATTAAAATTGTGAAAAAAATTTATGATTAAAATTATAAATAAAATTTATAATTAAAACTATAAATTAAATCTATAATTCAAATTATAAATAAAATTTACAATTAAAACTACAAATAAAATTTATAATTAAAGCAACAAATGAAATTTATAATTAAAATCAAAAATAAAACTTGAAATAGAAATTATAAATAAATAGAATTTTGAAAAAATGTACCTTCAGAGTAAAGTTGGAAGGTTTCGTGAGAAGCATCAATTGCTACTGAAACTGGTCCAATGGTGGCAACGGCAGCCTTCAATTTATCTTCATCACCTTGTGGAATGTCGACGAAGCCCTTGTCATCTGCTCCCTTATTTGCCTTGCTGTATCTATTTACAAAAATAAATAATTATAAAAATTAATAATTGCAAAAATTATTAATTACATAAATTATTTAAGTTCACTTGAATCTAATTTTAGAATTCTAGGAAAATATTTATAATTTCTTTTTTTTTCTTTGAGCGATAAAACATTATTTACCTGCACTTATCATCTTCGGCTTCATATGGATAAGATTTTTCAGTATCAAGGCCGTGATTGTCTTTTATGTACTGGAATGCTTGATCCATAAGACCACCCTCGCAACCATTGTTTCCGTACTTTCCTGAACAATCCACCAAATTTTGCTCACTCAATGATATGAGAATTCCACTTTTTCTGAAATGTTGTCCTTCCAATGCTCCAGTCTAAAAATAAATTCAAATTTTAATCCTCGGTGAAAATAGAAAACATCGAAATTTTTTATACATTTAAATAAACGAATAAAAATTGTAATTACTTCGATTATTTCTTCTTTAAATTAAATTAAATTTTCTTTAAATTATAATTTTTAAATTGTACAGTTCCTTAATACTTTAAACAAAAATAAAACTTTTAATACTTTAATATTTTAAACAAAAATAAAACTTTTAATACTTTAATATTTTAAAAAAGAAATAGAACAAGTTGAGTAAAGGAAAAAGGCTAAAAAATGAAATAAATAAATTAAATTAAAACAAATTAATAGTAATAATTGAAACTATCACTCGGCAAAATTGTAATATTAAATTAAATTCTATATTTTTCTTTAAAATATTTTTTTTTACTAATCAACTTACAGAAGAAAATGCCCAGCATGATCCACAGTGTCCTTGATCCTTAATGGCAGTGACCAAACCTTTTTTTCTCCAATCAACAGTTCCTGGCAATTGGATATTCATTGGTTCGATGAAAGTGGTACCTTCAATTTTCAATTGTTGTCTCAAAAGATGATTGGTACTTTTATTGAAACCATTAAACGTGTGAACGAATTCTTGATGAAGCTACAAAAAAAATTATTTTCAAAAATTGTTTTCAATTAAAAATTAATAAAAAAAAGAAGAAATTTTATTTTCCTACCATATCACTGTACTTGTTGACTTTCAATTTAAATGTTCTATTTCCCATTTCATATTGAGCATTATGTTTCGCAACTTTGTGACGATTTTCAAGAAGAATTTTCAATCTAAAGTTTTCCTCTACATCGCTCTTGTAGATTTTCCTGTGCTCTGCCTGCAAACGAGAAAATAATTTGCAAAACAATTAAATTAAACAATAATACAACAGCAATAATAATAATTAAATAATAAAAGAATAATAACTCTGCCTACAAAAACAAAAATAATTTACAAAACAATAATAATTAAATAATAAAAGAATAATAATTTCAATAATAAATCTGCCTGCAAAAACAAAAATAATTTACAAAACAATAATAATAATATATTTTTTTGTCGAAACGTCGACACTTTTGTCAAGGTACTACTACACTTTAGAAGGCTCTTAAAAGACCAAATTTAAAAAAATTTTTTCTCAGATCTTTTATTATAAATATTTAAAAAACTTTTTTGCCTATATTAGTGCATATTTGGAGAATAAAAATAATGGTTTGTTTTTAATTTTTATTTAATATCATAATCTGCAGACAGTATTCAGATCGAAACTCCAAAAAGTTAGTTGTCAAATTGCGGACAGTTTATCTCAAGATTGACAAATCGGAAACAAAAAATCCAAATTGCTTTTTAAAAAGGAAGGTGTCTTGCATAGAAATCTACCACCAATAATGAAAAATCGACTAAAATAAAAAATAGCAGATGTTTCAATAATTTGTTTAAAAATACACTATGTTTTTCAGTATTTTTCTAGTCTGCAAAAATGTTTTTTTTTTAATTTTTTGACCATTTTCTGGTAAATTGTCACACAGGACATGCTAACAAACAAAACGAGTTATCATTTATTAAAATCGGTTCAGTAGATTCAGAGATAAACTGTCCGCAATTTGAGAAAACGTTATTTTGAGAAAAACGCGTTTAAACTTATATGTATCGTTAGAGGCCATCCATAAATTACCTAAAATTCTTTTGCAAATTGAAACCCCACCATTTTTTTTATTTCAGACACTGTTACATACATTAGCACCAATGTTTCTAGTGGTCGTAACAAAAAGCTGGACCCCACCATCCCCTTAACCTTCGCGCTACCGGATGGCCACCCAGGGTGGCCAAGCAATAAATAATGTTGTAAATCTGCTCGATTTTTGCATCAATCGAATCGCGATTTTAAGTCACTGAACAAAATTTTATCTACTTTCGAAAAATAAAAAAAATAAAATTTTTTTTACATTTCTTCTTGTTTATTTATAACAATTAAAAAACTATGTTCAACACTACTGAAAAACGTTCGGATGTTATTTTGTATATTGCAAGAAAATAAAAATGAAATCATGAAAGTTTCACAATAAAATTGTTTTATGTCAATAAATACAACATATTTTGATGTTACAATGAATTTTCTATTTGTTTAAACAAATTATTGTTGTTATTTACCAACTTTTTACAGAATGCACTTAGAAAGTTGCAGTTTTTTTCTAATTTTGCAATTTATTAATCTTATATGATCACAAATAAAGAGTAAAAATTGAATTATTATTTAAACAATTTTTAAACAAATTATTGTTGCTATTTACCAACTTTTTACAGAATACACCGAGAAAGTTGCAGTTTTTTCCTAATTTTGCAATTTACTAAACCTTATATGATTATAAATAAAAAAATCAAAATTGAATTGTTATTTAAACCATTTTTAAACAAATTAATAATTCGTTTATAAATTGTAATATGTAATAATATAAGGTTTAGTAAATTGCAAAATTAGGAAAAAACTGCAACTTTCTAGGTGTATTCTGTAAAAAGTTGGTAAATAGCAACAATAATTTGTTTTAAAATTGTTTAAATATTCATTCAATTTTTACTGTTTATTAGTGATCATATAAGATTTAGTAAATTGCAAAATTAGGAAAAAACTGCAACTTTCTAGGTGTATTCTGTAAAAAGTTGGTAAATAACAACAATAATTTGTTTAAATAATTTTTTACTAATATTTATGATTCGTTTCAATAAATATTTTCTTTAATTTATTGATTTAATACTAAGTAACGTAAAAAAAAGAAAAGTTTTCAAAAATTTTCTAATCTCTTTGTTTATTTGAAAATTATATGTTTTTGCAATAACAAATTTTTTAAACAATTGCAATATGCATAAAACCTTTATTAAAATACAGCAATTGTATTAACATATAGTTATTTACAAAAAGTTTGATGAATTTTAATCGTTTTTGGAATATAAAAATAAAAAAGCGTTTGGCCACCCCGGGTGGCCATCCGGTAGCCCGCGTATACAAAAATCTTTGGTAGCGCGAAGGTTAAAGACTTACTTAATTTGTCAATGACTTTTTACATTAATTGAATATTTTTTGAAAAATTTACTTTTATTTTTTACAATTGGTTATAAATACTTTAGGAGGTGTTTTCTGAAGTCATAAGGAGTTAAAAAATAAAATAAAAAAAAATAAATAAAATTTTTTTAAATTCTAAAGTGTAGTAGTACCTTAATAAATAAATAATTTTTTAAAAACTTAATTCTTACTTTAAAAAAAACGCGACCGATAAGCCTTTTACTCAAAATATATAATTAATAAGTATACAAATAATAATCATAATAATTAAATAATAAAAAAATAAAAGAATAATAATTCTGCCTGCAAAGACAAAAAGTAATTTACAAAACAAATAGAATAATAATTAAAAAATAAAAGAATAATAATTCTGCCTACAAAAACAAAAACAATTTACAAAACCGCTGCCAAGTTGTATATTTTTTTTATAATTTTGGTGCTCATTTCATGAACACTTTACTTCCACATAGAGATAATAATAATAATAGGAAAATATATGAATAACTTTTTATAAATATGGTAAGAGTGATTGAATCTTGGGTCAATCAATGTATTTTTAAATACTCTACAATATAGTTATAATAGTTTAATAGTTAAACAAAAATTTTCAAACAAAAAAGTTGAGAAAATGTCATTTTCTACAATTTTTGGTTTTTAAAATACCAATAATTTCGAAATTTATTATCGAATTAGGTTCAAAAATAAGTCAATCGAAGCGTTTTTTAATGCTCTACAAGTTAATAACGATAATTTTAAAGTTACTTCTACGTTTTTCAACAAAATTTTCTAAAAAGTCTTTTTTTCCAAAATTTTTTATTTTTAAAAGTTTAATAACTCCGGTTAATATGAACGAAAAATGTTTAATTAGGGCTCAAAAGATGCGTCTAAAAAAACTCTACAAAATTATGGAAAAACATTTATAGGTGTCCTAACATTTTTTTAAAGTTATGGACAAAAAACGTTTTTTTACAAAATTAAAAATCCAAAAAAAATTTAGTTAAACTTTATTAATCTATCTCAAAGTACATACTCTCATTTTATGTCCGCAGGTGAGATCTACAATTTAAAAAAAATTCAACCCAAAAGCTCTTGATGATGTTGAGATATTTATGAAAATGTGATGTTTACACACACACACACACACACACACGGAATGACATTTTTTAAAAATGTCATTTTTGAACTCCTGAGGTCAAATAACATAAAGATATGTCAAAAAATCGAACTCGAAAAATTTCGGTATTACAATACTTCCTCTATGAGGAAATAAAACAAATAGAATAATAATTAAATAGGGGCGGTATCAATTGCTCAAAATTCAACTGTATACAGGAAAACTGCCCACGTTCAAGTGCACACGGGAAAACTGTATACAAGCAAATTTAAAAAATAAAATCATTAAATTAAATTTAAAAACTGTACAAATTTAAACAGCATACCGGTAATCTGACCACAGGAAAACTGCACACTATTAGAAATTACAAATTTCAAAAAACAAATGAAATTAATTTAAACGGTATACAGTTAAACTGGCCTCAGGAAAACTGCACAAAAGCTTATTTTTAATAAATTTAATAGAAAATAAGCTTTTGTGCAGTTTTCCTGAGGTCAATTTACCGGTATGCAGTTTAAATTTGTACAGTTTTTAAATTTAAATTAATGATTTTATTTTTTAAATTTGCTATGGACCATATTAATACTTGAATAATAATTCAACACGAAAATAGGAGCAATTAAAATTTTTCTCTTTTCCAAATAATTTATTTGGAATGATTTTCTTAGTCAATAATAATTTAAAAAAAGAATTGAATTTAGAAATATAAATTAAAATTAAAATTCAATTCACCAAGAAATTCAAAATATTAATAAAAGAGAATAAAAAATTGTCAGTTAAATAATTAAGGGAAATAAAAAATATTACCTTAAATGCTAACCACTCATCCTTAATGAGTTCATAAAAATTAACAGCTTGCGATCCAACAATAACGGCCGCAATTAAAAGAAGAATCTTCATGATTTATCTGAAAAATAGAAATTAAAAAAATTCCATTAAATTACAAATTTTTCGACAATACGCTCTAAAATGATTGAATTTCAAAATGTAATTTTAAACATAAAGCCATGTGTGTTTATAAATCGACACCGATAATCACTGAAATAGTATCAGGTTTAGCAAGACTCAATTATCACTGGAAGTGAAACCAGAGCAATTTTCATCATTTATTTTATCTGTATTGAATTACAAATTATCAGCAAAAAACACGTGTATGACTTCTATTATTTCACGGTGAGAATGACATATTATTTCCGGGAAGTATTTCAAATATTAAAAAAATATTTCTTTTTTTTCGCATTATTTTCTTATTTGCAATTCATTGATTAAAAAAAAGTAATATTTATTATTGTAGAAACTTAAGGAAAGTGACTAATGCATAATGATGGATGACTTATTTCTAAATGGAAAAAAAATAATGATTACATTAAATTCTTTATCCGCGAACAACAAAGAAAACGTTGCCGTAATATATGAGAAAGAAACTGCGTTGTTAATTCCTTCAAATTTCCAATCTTCCAAAATTCTTTATATTCTCTAATATAAGGGAAAGAGATTTTGTAGACGAAATTTACTTTCTATACCTGGTTCCTTTATTAAATGGCTTGGCTCTCGAACAAAGAATTCCAACGAAAGGGAAAAACGTTTCTCTTTCGTTTTTATAAGAATTAAAAATTTCTTTTAATTAAATAAAAAGAAATAAATTTTTCTCTACATGTTCTATATTCAAAAGAAGATTTTATTAAACTAATAAATTGATAATTAAAATACTCAATGAACATTCAATAAAAATTTGTAAATAAAAAATATTCTCAACATTGAGGAAATTTCAATTTAAAAATATTTTTCGGAATAAAAACATCTAATTAGGGTTAATTATCTGGAAATAATTATATAACATAATTCCTCTAAGTTTTCTTTACATAATTCCAAGAACTTATTAATGCCTTTTTATGAAAACAAAGTCAATTAGGATACAAAGATATTTTTTTAATAAGAAAAAAATTGACAAAACGGCAATTTTCTAAATGAATATTTACTACGAAACTAAATTATGATTTTACAAACACTTTAAAAAATTCATTTGTATTCTAATGTGATTTAAAGATGATGAAATTGACAATGAAAGTGAAATGCGTCGTTAGAAACATTGAATGAACGAATGAATTTCAAAACAATCAGAGACTAAAAGAGAAAGAAGTAAAAGAATGAAATTCCTAAAATTGTTAAATAAAACAAATAAAACAGTTGGAATATGAAGAAAACAATTGAAATTGAATAAATGTGACAATGAGTCATTGTAAAATTTACCATTTTCTCATGACAACAAAGAATTAGATGTTTTGATTGAAACTTAAGAATTAAATTTTTTATCATTTTTGATAAATTTATATGTTTATTGTAATAAATTTGTCGATTTACCTATTTGATGACGATACTAGTTGAGCAATTTATTTTGATTTAAAGTAAAATGAGAAAAATGTTCTGCCAGGGTCGACACGGTCCAGTTCTCTTCACTTCTCTTGTATATACTGAGCGTCAAACGCTTGAAAGCTATAACACCATTCGAAAAACGGAAACAAACAAGTTAGAACTTTGCTTTTTTCTTTGTTACACTTCTCCAGTATCCCCCACTTTTTATTGAAACTCGTGACTTCGACAAAATAGGATATAATCTCTAGTCATCTGACAGATAAATTTTCATAAAATTAAGGTTATGTTACTCATTCATTTCAATTTTCGGTCTACTGCGCATCAGCGCAGGGTTGCCAACTTTGTTTACATGAGAATTGAGCGAATTGAGAAAAAATTGGACAAACCAAGCAGTGAGACTTGCATTTTGATTGGTAAATGTATTTTAAAGTACAAATAACCTACACTCTGATTGGTTAAAATCATTTTATCAATTAACTTTTTTTCTTTCAAAAAGTCACGTGTGTTAACTTTTATTTATTTATTTACTAACGGATTGTTTACGAATTAATCAATTAATCACATGTCATAAGATATTAATTTCGTCTGTTGTATCGATAAATTATTATAATTCCTCGTTTATCTCTGGAAGGAAGTAGTATTATATTATTAACAGGTTCAAAAACCGAAACAAAATTGTCAAATCTGTCAAATTGAAATATAACCTACAAAATAAATTTTTTTCAGAAAAAATTAGAATTGTTTCTTGTTTGTGCAATATATTTTTATTGGTTCAAAGTCTAAAATTGTTATTGACAATATTAAGAAATTCTGATTTATAGAAATAAAAACAAAATAGATGAAAAATTTTATCATCTGGGTTAATGTTTTTTTAACAGTCCAGCGTTTATTTCGTAAGAATAAACAAGGAAGCTGCGCGTCATGTGAGATCACATGCCTCCAATTTATCTTAATTATTAATTATTAAGATTATCAATAATATTTCATTAGTCACTATAACAAAGTAAATTCTAGAACTATATTTTGACGAATTAATTAAATTATTCTCTAGCAATTCGAAATAAATTAAAAAATTAATAAAAAAATTCAATTTTTATAAAACTAATTTTTTTTGTTCAAATTTATCATTTACATACAACATTATTTTTAATTATAATTAAAAAAAGTTAATTAATTATAATTAGCTTTTTTTCAATTAATTAATTTCTTAAATAGTTAAGAAAATTAATATCAGAAATTTGAATAATTACAATAATGATTACAATTTAAGTATATATTTGTTTAACATTTTTTAATAAATAAAATCAATAAGGTAGTTCAAGTTGGGTGGGGGAAATCCAATATGGCTGACATCAGCTGATTTACCGGAGGACAAACAATGCATTGAATTCAATGGGACAAATCAGTTTTTTAACCATAACTTTTTAAATATTTATTTTTGAACCATAGTGTAATGGAAAATTATTCTTTATTTATCGAAATCTATTTTTTAAAACAATAAAACCAAAAAATTTAATTTTATTGTTTTAAAAAATAGATTTCGATAAATAAAGAATAATTTTCCATTACACTATGGTTCAAAAATAAATATTTAAAAAGTTATGGTTAAAAAACTGATTTGTCCCATTGAATTCAATGCATTGTTTGTCCTCCGGTAAATCAGCTGATGTCAGCCATATTGGATTTCCCCCACCCAACTTGAACTACCTTATATTTTGAATATTTCAAATTTCCCGGCTTTACAGAATTGTCATGTGACCAACGATGTTGCACGAACGTGAAAAACGAACAAAGTCGGAAGTTCCGACAATTGTCAAGAGTTTTTTTAGGTTAGAAAGAGAGCAACAAATGAATATTTTGTCAAATTTCGTTCTACTATATTAGTAATTATTGTACTTGATAATTACGGCAAATTTATTTACAGAAAAAGTGATTCAACCGAAAATGGTTGGTTTTCGCGATGTTTATGACGTCTCAGCTCGTCAAAAGAAAATAATCGAGGAAAAAGCTGCTCGAAGAATAGAACTCCGAAATGAATATCTCAGAAAATATTTAAATCCCTATAAACCCGACGGTGGAATGATGGTGAGTAGTAAATATTATTTATTATATTGAAAAGTCTCGAATTACTTTTCAATAAAAATTTGCTCTTAAATCGATAGTTTGCGGCTTTGATGTTTTATATTACTTGTTACATAATACTTTCTGTTATTATGATTTGAAAAATTAATTCTAGAATTTAAGACATTTTGACAAATTTTTCAATAGTTGTTTTTTGACAATTGTTTTTCAAAAATTAATTATTAGTTGTAATTTGATGAGAGCTTTTTTTAAAATTTAATTTACAGTTCGATGAGCCAATTCAAAGATTAATATCATTGAGAGAGACACGGAGGGAATTCAATAAACCAACTGTTTTAAATTGGCTTGCTCATATTGGAATGGTAATCGTTCCCTTTACTCTACTAGTTATTGCTGTTAAGCGCGAAAGGGTAAGAAAATTGATTTTTAATGTAACAGAGCTCGAAGCAGTGAAAGTATTTAAAAATACGGACTTTACGACCAAAAATTAAAAATTACGGACCATTTACGGACCTACTGAGAAAAATAGAATCAGGCCGAATCAAATAAGAGAACATTTTACTTAGAACTAGAAATTCAATTTTTCATAATTATAATTATTAATAAAAATAATTTATAATAATTAAAATCATTATCAATTCAATTATTATTTTTAAGAATTTTTATCTAAAATTCTTCTTTATATCGATAATTTTTAATATTTTTCCAAAAAGTTTTTTGAGAATTTCCAAATTCATTTCTTTACAATATTCAATTTTACGAAATGCCAATTATTCGTAAATTCTTTAACCACTTCACTGGCGGGGCGTTCCAAATGGCGTTCCACGCGCCGAGACCCAGACTGGCAAAAACACCGAAATGGCGTTCCTAATAAAACTTTATTTTTAAAGAGTGTACACTACTTTTTACTATTACAAAGCAATATTTCTATAGTTTAGACATCAGGGAACAAGATTATCACAATGAGAATTTCAGTTTTTGAGATTTTCAATGTTTCTTCGAACGTTGAAATAGTCGATTTTTAACACTTTTTAACAAATGGCGTTCCACTTTTGTTATTATTAATAATTATTAAATTTTATTTATTAATTATTTATATTTATTTTTTACTTATTACATTATTATATTATAATGTTTTGTATGTAAATATATTTTTTAAATAAAAAATATGAGTTTTACTGTGTAAAAATTGAAAAAAAGTGGAACGCCATTTGGTGAAAAGTGGTAAAAATTGACTATTTCAACGTTTGAAAAAACATTGAAAATCCCAAAAACTGAAATTTTCATTGTGATAATCTTGTTCCCTGATGTCTAAACTATAGAAATATTGCTTTGTATAAGTTAAAAGTAGTGTACACTCTTTAAAAATAATGTTTTATTAGGAACGCCATTTCGGTGTTTTTGCCAGTCTGGGCCTCGGCGCGTGGAACGCCATTTGGAACGCCCCGCCAGTGAAGTGGTTAATTAAATAAATATTAGAAAATAAAAACTAATTAAATAATATTAATAGAACTCAATTAAACTTTTTCAAAAAAATTAATTACAAAATTCAATTATTTTTTAAAAATCAACCTCTATTGCAATTAATATTCAATTATTATCTAAAATTTTAACTGAAATTCATTTTTATGAAATGAAAATCAATTTTAATTAAATTTGAAAATTCTACTAGAATTCAATTATTTAAATAAAAATAAAATGCAAATAAATAATTTATTGAATAATTGAACGTTTTTTAAAATTCAATTCCCATAAAAAATCGTTATCAACAAATTTTCAAATAATTGAATTCTATCAAGGAATTTTAATAAAATTTTTAAGAATAATTACATTTTTCGAGAAATTCTATTAAAATTGTATTAAAAATAAATAAAATAATTGAAATTCTGCATTAAATTTTATTATTTATGAAAATAATTGAATTCTTGCGAAGAATTTTATTAAAATTTTCAAAAATAATTAAATTCTTGTAAAAAAATTGACAGGAATTCAATTATTTTGAAAAAATTTTAATAAAATTCTTGGCATAAATTAAAAATAACAAAATTCTTAGCAGATCTTCAATTACTTTCAGAAATTTTAATAAAATTTTTCGCAAGAATTTAAATATTTGCGTAAAATAATAAAAATCTTTGCTGAGATTCAATTATTTTCAAAAGTCTTAATAAAAAATTCTTCGCAAGAATTCAATTATTTTCAAAAATATCAGAATTTTAGCAGAAATTCAAACATTTTAAAAATTTTTGATAAAACTTTTTTTGGTAAAAATTTAATTACTTTGAAGACAATTTTAAAAAAATGTCTCGATAAAATTCAATTATTTTTAAAATTTTAATGAAATTCTTCAAAAGAATTCAATTATTATAATCTTAATATTTTAACTGAAATCTATTTTTAAATCAAATGTTTATGTCAAAATTCTACCAGAATTAAATTATTTAAATAAAAAAATAAATAATTTATTGAATAATTGAATGTTTCTTGGAATTCAATTCCTATTAAAAATTTTATCAACAAATTTTTAAATAATTAAATTCTTTGGACGAATTTTAATGAAATTTTTAAGAATTTTTTCGAGGAATTCGATTAAAATTCTATTGAAAATAATTGAATTCTCCTAAAAAGAATTTTATTACTTTTGAAAATGATTGAAATTTTGCAATGGATTTTATTAAATTTTTTGAAAATAATTGAATATTATTACTTTAAAAAATAATTCAATTCGTGTGATAAATATGGTTAATTATGAAAATAATTGAAATTTTTTAATCAATTTTGTTAAAATTTTTGAAAATAATTGAATTTCGTCGAAGAATTTTGCTATTTATTTATAAAGATAATTGAGATGTTGACCATTTTTTTTTTTAGATTTTTTGAAAATAATTGAATTTTGTCGAAGAATTTTAATATTTCTAAAGATAATTGAAATTTTGACGAGAATTTAAAAAAAATTTTGAACATACATAATTGAATTTCTGCGAAGAATTTTATTACTTTTAAAAGTAATTGGCTTTCTGCAATCATTTGTAATTTCTCTAAAATTCTCAAAATTATATCGTACAATTTACGAACTTTTCATCCTTTTTGAATGAAATTACGGACTTTACGGAACTTTTTTCAAAAAAACGGACTTTTACGGACTTAAAGCAAAGTTACGGACTTTTTCAGGATTTACGGTCCTACTTCGAGCCCTAATGTAATAATTTGATTTCAAATTTGAAAAAAATAATATTGTCAAGGAATAAATAATTATTTTTTTCACAGGATGCTAAAGAACGTCAATACCGGACTGGTCAAATTGCATATAAAGATAGATTCATGAAATTCGCTTAAGGTTAAGACATTATTGTAGATAAATGTGGGTGAAAAATCATTTAGCTTAAATAAAGAATTATATATAAATTTCGTTCTTTATTCAATTTTTTTTACTTATTTTTATTTCTTTCTATTTCTTTTCATTTCTTTTCCTTTTATAATTTTTATTCTTAAAAATGTATTTTATGCTATTTGATTATATTACCTTATTTTGTATTATAATTAATATCAAGTGTGTTAAAATATTATTTTATCTGTCATCTAATTGCTTGTCACGAGCAATGACAGCTTCATCGAATTTAATCATGTAGGTTGTACCTTTATGCCAGTGTGCCGTAACTTTAGCAGGCTAGAAGTTATAAATATTATTTAAAAACTATTTCACCCTGGTAAAAATTGAGAATTATTAATTTAAGAAATAAATATAGGTAAAGTTACTTACGAATCCACTGTCACATAAAACAGCTTCAACAATTCCAGCGACAAATGACGCACAATTCAAACTACCTTTGTCCTTTGGAACGGAGACAAATTTATTGACTAGGGATTCTTTTTCAATAATGTAATAAGTCCGTTCATCATCATTAGCGTGCTCCAATTTATCCGCTTCACGGCCAAATAATGATTTCCAAAGTGTACTTTTCACAAAGAGAAGAATATTGAGTAGTTTTATTTCTCTTTTGCCACCTTTTTCCCGCACAACAAGAAGATCTGTTACTCGATGTCCCACCTCCATTCCCAATTCAGCTAATCTGAAAAGAAAGAATAATTTGTATATTAGAAGCTACACTGTATTTAGATATATTTATTTACTTAGGCCAAGTTTTAATACACTGTCTTTTTTTACAGTGTGTATTTCAATTATAACTTTTTTCTAACATAACCTATAAAATGGTTCATAAGTCTTTTGATTAATTTGGTTGTTATAATTTTTATAATTACACACGTGAATGATATAATTAGGAAACATACTTGTTTTGAAGTTCCGGTACCGTATAGACGCGATTTTGACAATATTGAACAAGTTCCGAAAAAAGGAGAGCGAAACAACTCAAACTAACTTCTCCCTTGCCTTTGCTTAACGATTTATCAAGAATACTAGTCCTTGGACGAACGGCACTTATCGTTATGGTAGACATGATTTAATGAAGAATAAATATTTTCCTGTGACAAAAAGTATACTTGAAACTTGAAATGTATGAAATGTATTATCAAATATCAAAACCAAAACAATTTTGACGTTTTGACATATGATTCTAGTGACATTTAACCGAGAGGGAACAGTACTGCCAATAGCTTTTACTAGAATAACCAACAATCAAGTATTACCAACGTTATCAAAATATTTTAAAAATAACACTATTAAATTTTTAATTACGAAACAGGAAAACCCTAACAAATTATTTTTAAGATAAAAATGTTCAAAAATACACATTCGTTTTAAATATTAATACTCTTGTGTATTTATAATTCATTTCTCTCGTATATTTTGAAAGTCGTTTTCAAACCCGGCGCTTCTCGCAAAGCAAGGTTGGGACTTGTGTTTGACAGGTAAGGTTAGGTAAAGAGGGTAGAGATCAATTTTGAGGTTAGGTCTGACGCCTATATGATAGCCGGACAGCCGGATAAAACCTTTATAATTATAATCATTTGTTATAATAACAATAGAACGTGAGGACTAAACTCTTAAGTTAAGATTCAAATTACTTTAATTAAACGCTTTTTTTATTAAAATAGTTCAAAAACACTGATTATTTCGGTAACAGTGGATATTTCGTCGTCTGCTGTAGTTCGAAGTTCATGTTGCACAAGTTTCGATGAAAAACGTGCTCCTCGTTAGTTACTAACACGTGAGTAGAAGTATTTCTTTTAATAAAAAAAAAGTTTCGAGTTTAACTAAAATAACGCAAATAGTGTCAGTGTTTGGTGAATATAAATAATGTCGTGGTTACTTGGAAATCGTTATGCACAATCGCAAGACTTTACACAATTTATACAACCGCCGGCTGCAGGAGGTGGTGATGGCGGCGGTTCGAACGATGGACCTCCATCGAAAAATCCAACAAAATCACAAATGGATGCCTATAGATTTGATTCCAGTGCCTTGGAACGTGCAGCTGCAGCGGCCAAAGATTTGGAAAAGTCAGGTAAATTTTTCTGTCACCATTTCTCCTCTGTAAACGATCCCCCACGTTATGTAAGATTACGTAAGCCGGACATTTAAAGGGTTAGAATTTTCTCCACCTCCAAGAGTATTTTTTCACTCAGAATGATGCAATTTAATTATTAATCACGATTTTTGAGTATTTACGATAATTCTCCCTTTTGTAGAAAAAAATTTCTCTTTTTTCATTTTTTTGGCCTTTTTGTTTGTCAATGAAAGGAAGAATATCTAATTTTCGTTTTTTTAGCACACGCTCTGGAGGCATTGGAACTTTCGAAATTACAAGAAAGAACAAGACAAACGGAATTACAAACTGAACTGAAGAAATATGAGGCGAGTATTGAACAAATGAAAGTTGAGCAAAAACGAGTGGACGCTGAGGAGAGGAGAAAAACAATGGCTGAGGAAACTAAACAGCATCAAATGAGAGCACAATATCAAGATCAATTGTCAAGAAAAAGATATGACGATCAACTTGTACAACAGCAAAGAATGAACGATGAGAATTTGAGGCGACAGGAAGAATCAATTGCCAAGCAGGAAGCAATGAGAAAAGCCACAATTGAACACGAAATGGATTTAAAGCATAAAAATGAAATGAAGAAACTCGACGCTAAATTGCGAGCTCAAGCGAAAATTGATCGCGAGAATCAGGATTTGAATTTGGAAAAAATACGACTGCAAGCTGCCGAGAAACGAACGACTGTCCTTGAGTCCATTAAGTAAGCTTTAAAATTAAGCAAATCAAAATTCTTTTTTATTTACTTTAAATTAATTTACTTTAACAGGGTTACCACAGGTCAGGGAAGTCAGGGAAAACTTAGGGATTTTTATTAAAAGTACTCAAAAAAATTAAATTTTTATAACTCATAAGAAAACTCTGAATTTTGGAGTTTTTTTGTTTGCCTCATAAACTATAATTAAATGACCAAGAAACCTTCAATTTTTTCTATTTCTGACAATAATTTCTAATTAAATAACTTCATTCATAAATAGATGAGCTTCAAAAGGTATTAATTTGAAATTTTATAAAACTTAATTTTGAATGAATTTAATTAGAAATTGTAAAGAACTTATAGATTTTTAAAAAATTGTAATATTTCAAATTCTTCTGAAATTAGTTAAATTTTTTAATATATTTATCTAATTAATTATTAAAAACAATGGATTTATAGAAGAACTTTATTTAAAAACACTAAAAACAATTTGCATTTTGGAGAAGTTACAAATTATTGCAAAAATTCAATTATGTTCAAACTTTAAAAAAGTTCTCATAAAAATTTCAATTATCTTTATAAATAATAAAATTCTTCTCTGAAATTCAATTATTTTCAAAAAATTTAATAAATTTCTTAGCAAAAATCCAATTATTTTCAAAAATTTTCCTCAATTCAATGATTTTCAATATCTACTATTTTAATAAAATTTTTTAAAAGAATGGAATTATTTAAAAAAATTTTAATAAAATTCTACGAAAACATTTAATTATTTTCAGAAATAATAAAAATATCATAGAAATTCAATTATTTTCAAATTTTTTCGTAATAATTCCATTATTTTCATAAAATAATAAAAATTTCACGATTTAATTATTTTCGTAAATAATAAAATTCTTTTTAGGAATTCAATTATTTTCATAAATATTAAAACTCATTGCAGAATTTCAATTATTTTTATTTCAATTTTAATCAAATTCCTCGAAAAAATGAAATTACTCTTAAAAATTTTATTAAAATTCGTCAAAAGAATTCAATTATTTAAGAAGTTGTTGAGAAAATTTTATTATTAGAATTCAATTTTGAGAAACATTCAATTATTTAATGAATTATTTATTTTTGTATTATTTAATGATTGTAAAATAAAGAAATAAATAAATAATTGAATTCTCGTAGAATTTTCTAATAAATATTGATTAAAAAATGGATTTCAGATAAAATTTTAGATAATTTCTTCGCAGTAATTCAATTATGTTCAAAATTTTTTTAAAAATTCTCGTCAAAATTTCAATTATCGTTATTTATTATTATTAAATTTAATTATTATTATTATTATTATTAAATTTAGTTATTTATTATTATTCTTTAAAATTCCATTATTTTAAAAAATTTTACTAAAATTCTTGGCAAAATTTCAATTATTTTCAAAAATTTTCCTCAATTCAATGATTTTCAATATCTTTACTATTTTAATAAAACTTTTCAAAGGAATTCAATTATTGAAAAAAAAAATTCCAGAAGAATTCAATTATTTACAAATTTCTTATAAATTTTTTTGCAACTATTCAATTATTTTCATAAATGATTTAAAAATTCTCGTCAAAATTTCAATTAGTTTTAATACAATTTTAATCGAATTTTAGTTAAAATTTTAGATAATAATATTAATAAAATATTATTTACAAATAATTTAATTTTGAAAAGGTTTCAAATTAATATGTTTGAAAATCTGAATTTTTAATACTTTTAACTAACAATTCTGCAGAAATAATTTTTTTTCAAAAAGTTTATTAGAATTTTTTTTTAAAATTATTTCATGCTTTTATTTTCTAATATATAATTAATTGAAGAATTTTCGAATAAACGAAATTTCATGTAAAATTGAATTGTAAACAAGTGGATTTGAAAATCATTAAAAATAATTGATTTAAAGAAAAATTTTAGTTAAGAATTCTAAAAAATAATAATTTAATTGAATTGATGAAAATAATTTTGAAGAAGTTAGAGTAATAATAGTTTTTCTCTCTTGTTTTTGGATTTTTTTAAAATTTACTAAAGATTTTGAAGGCTGTTTTTGTTAAGAATCCACATTTATTTCAATTTAAAACTGTTAAGCTTTGTATTTAAATAATTGAGTTCATCTAGAATTTTCTAATAAAAATTTCAAATTAAAATCTTTAAAAATCGTAATTTTCCATAATTTTGAATAACAATTCTGTAGAATTAATTTATTATTTAAGTTATAGCTGTTTTCGAAAAATTTTACAATTAAATAAATTCGCAAATAAATGTAATAGAACATTTTTTTGAGTATCTATAATAATTTTTGGAGTGAAACAGAATATTCTTTAGGGTCAGGGAAGAAGACAAAATTTTGTCTCGAAATCAGGGAAAAGTCAGGGAAATACAAAATTAAATTTTTGTAGCAACTCTGTTTAAATAAATTTACTTTAAATAAAATTTTATGTAACTAAAATTGTTTTTTTCCGCCTTAGAACTGCGGGTTCGGTTTTGGGAACGGGAGCAACGGCACTTTTAGGCGACTGGGATAAAATTTTGGCAGCCGCTGGTGGATTATCGCTATTGGCACTTGGTGTTTATTCAGCGAAAGGCTCAACGGGAGTGGCGTCACGCTATATTGAATCACGTCTCGGTAAGCCGTCACTGGTTCGTGAGACGTCACGATTCTCCGCCCTGGACACAGTGCGACATCCAGTGCAAGCTGTGAAGAAATTATCAGAAAAAAAGAGTGACGCACTGTCGGGCGTTGTTCTTGCGCCAAAACTCGAGGAGAGACTTCGTGACGTTGCAATTGCGACAAAGAATACAAAACAAAATCGTGGAATGTATCGAAATATTCTAATGCACGGACCACCGGGAACTGGTAAAACAATGTTCGCCAAAAAACTCGCGCAACATTCAGGAATGGATTACGCAATTTTAACAGGTGGCGATTTAGCGCCATTGGGTCGTGACGGTGTGACGGCAATTCACAAGGTCTTCGATTGGGCATCAACGTCAAGGAAGGGTCTTCTTTTGTTCATTGACGAGGCCGATGCTTTTCTACGTAAACGATCGAGTGAACATATTTCGGAGGATTTGCGAGCAATGTTGAATGCATTTTTATATCGTACCGGTGAGCAGAGTAATAAATTTATGTTGGTATTGGCGTCGAATACGCCGGAGCAATTCGATTGGGCGGTGAATGATCGTTTGGATGAAATGGTGGAATTCATTTTGCCGGGACGTGAGGAGCGCGAGCGTTTAGTGCGCTTGTATTTTGATAAATTTGTTCTCCAGCCAGCGACACAAGGCGCAAAGAGATTGAAGGTGGCGCAATTTGATTATAGCGCTCTTTGTACGAAACTTGCGGAAATTACAGAAGGTATGTCGGGTAGAGAAATTGCAAAATTAGGTGTTGCTTGGCAAGCCGCGGCTTATGCTTCTGAGGACGGCATTTTAACGGATCAAATGATAATTGACCGAACTAACGACGCTATTAAGCAGCACAAACAGAAGGTTCGTCTTTATTCAAAATTCATTTCGTTCTTTTTCAAAGTATTCTTTTTATCCAAATCTTTTCTTAATCTTGAAACTACAGGGTTGCTACGCAACCTGGAAAACCTGCAAATGTCAGGGAATTTTTATCGAAATCCTGGAAAATTGTTGTTTTCTAAAGTTATTGTGTTTCTTCTTGAAATCTAATTTCACTTAAATATTTCAAAATTAATTCAATTTTAAAAGATTTTGATTTAAAATTTTGTAAAATTTAAATTTTAAATGAATTTAATTAGAAATATAAAAAAACTTCGATTTAAAAAAAAATTTTAAACTAGAATTCTTCTGAAATTAGTTAAATTTTTTAATATTTATATTTAATTGATTATTAAAAATAATGGATTTATAGATGAATTTTAGTTGAATTGAATTTTGAAGCAAATACAAATGATTGCAGAAATTCAATTATTTTTAAAAGTAGTAATTTTAATAAAATTCTTGGCAAAATTTAAATTATTTTCAAAAACTTTCCTCAATTCAATGATTTTTAGTATTTACTACTTTAATAAAAATTCAATTAAAGAATTCAATTAGTTATAAAGAAATTTAATAAAATTCTACACAAACAAATGTTTGTTATTATTTTCATAAATAATAAAAATTTCATATGGATTCAATTATTTTCGTAAATAATGAAATTTTTCTCCAAAATTCAATTATTTTCAAAACTTTTAATAAAATTCTTGGCAGAATTTCAATTATTTTTAATATAATTTCATCAAATTTCGTGAAATTAAATTGTAAATAAACAGAATTTCAAAATTCACAACGAACTTTTTCAAAAATTATTAAAAGCAAATTGACTTAAAGAAGAATTTTAGTTGAAAATTCTAGAGATGAATAATCGTAATGATGAAAATAATTTTTAAAGAAGTTACAGTAACAAAGTAGGAAGTTTTAATTATTATAAAACATGAAGAAGGCGATCACTCCGAGTCGAAAACTCGGAGTGATCGATATCTTTATGTTTTATAATAATATTCTCATATGTTATTGAATATCGAATTTTTGAATATCTTAATTTCTATAAAAAAAATAATGATTAAATATTTATTTAAAAATGAAGTTATTGATGTTTTCGAATAATTTTCGTTTTAAAAACCTGGAAAATTTCCGTTTTTTAACCTGGAAAACCTGGAAAAGTCAGGGAATTTGAAAAGGGCAAAAGCGTGGCAACCCTGTAACTATTTTTTTATCCAAATCTTTTCTTAATCTTGAAACTATTTTTTAAACTTCGAAATATTAATTTCTATTCTTCAATTTTAGGTCCAATGGCAAAGTGAACAAGAGAGACAAGAATCGAAATCAATTTATGCCGAGCATACGGAAACAAGTGATTTAAAATTGTCTAAGAAAGATATCAAATCGATAGAAGCACCGCCAAGAGATAATTTAGCCACTGTATGAAAACCAACTGTATAAATTAAAATACGGCGAAATTTCATTGACAAAAAAGCAGTGTAATTTACTGACAACTCCAAAAACTATTTTCATTTTTTCCGTTTTTAATGAAACTAGTCGTTAATAGTATCGAAAAAATTCCAAATTATTATTAAAATAGAAATAATCCGGTTCGAATATCTTTGAAAAATTATAGAACCGGAAAGCCTACTTTTAAAGATTTAAAGACAATTGCATTTTAAATAATAGAAACAACATTTTACTAAAGAAAAAACTAAAGAAACAAGTAAAACAATAGTAAAGGAAAAAGTAAAGAAAAAACTAAAAAATAAGTACAGAATAAATTAAAAAAAGTAAAGAAGAAATAAAAGAAAAAAAAATGAAAAAATTGAAGAAAGAACTAAACAAAGAAACAAACGAAAAAAAAAATAAAACAGAAAAAATGTGTACAGCGTTAAACAGTGTTATTAGCGAAAAATATCTTTGTGCCTAATTCGCCGTTATTTTTCTTTTTCGCACAAGATTGTAAATAGAGAGTTAACTCTCAGGGATATGATATAAAAATTGAGTTTATTCTCCGTTTTCTATTGGACATTTTTTTTTAAATTACGACAAAAGAAAAATTTATGTTTTCACTAAAATTTCCAATTTGAGAAATTTTACTGAAACTAAGTCAAATTTATACCCTTTGAAATAATTGTTGCGAAATCAATTGTTCACAAATTACTGACATATTTTCAATGTAGTGTTGTCATAAAATTTTCCCTCTCTCAAATATTAAAAATATTCGCATGATTTATTTTCAAAAATAGGTACAAAAAAAAAATAGAAAATATTCTTTCATTTGACATAATTTTCTTTTTAATCGAAATAAATTTGATTCAAAATAAAAAAAACCGAATCAAATATAAAAATTAATATTTGAGATGAAATTTTGTGACAGTAGTCAATTTTTATTACAGACAAAAAATTTTCTTTTTTGTAAAGCGTGTAAAAGAATGATGAATAAATGGAAATTTATTTCATACCGATTTCTTCTTGAGAAAATAATAAATTCCTGAAAAAAAAATTTTAATTTCATTTTAAATTGAAATTGATTAATAAATTAATAAAATGAAAAGTAAAAAAAAGATAAATAAATAATAAAATTTGTTAATAGATTAATTAATATTATTTATTAATAAATCAGGGTTCAAACTAGGTCCGTAAATCCCGTAAAGGTCCGTAAATTTGCTTAAAGTCCGTAAAAGTCAGTTTTTTTGATAAAAGGTCCGTAAAGTCCGTAATTTGATTAAAAAGGACAAAAAGTTGCTAAATTGTACGATACAATTTGGAGAATTTTAGAGAAATTACAAATAATTGCAGAAATCATTTCGATTATCTTTAGAAATAATTAAATTTTTCTCCGAAATCCAATTATTTAAAAAAATTTTAATAAAATTCTTGGCAAAATTTCAATTATTTTCAAAAATTTTCCTCAATTCAATTATTTTTAATACAATTTTAAAAGAATTCCTTCTAAAAAGGAAAAATTCCTCTTAAAATTTTTATTAAAATTGACTTCAAAAGAATTCAATTATTTGAAAATTTATTGATAAAATTCTTTATGAGAATTCAATTTTAAGAAATATACAATTATTCAATAAATTGTTTTTTTGTATTTAAATAATTGAATTCTTGTAGAATTTTCTCTAATAAAAATTGATTTAAGAACGGATTTCAGTTTAAATTTTAGATTATATTTGAATATTAAAAGTATTAGAGCGTGAATTTTTAGAAATAATTGAATTTTAAAAAGGTTTCAAAATAAAATCTTTGAAAATCTGAATTTTTCATATTTTTAATTAATAATCAAAAAATGTGGAATTAATTTTTTTGAGAAAGTTTAATTGCGGATTTTTTTGAAAATTATTTGAAGTGTTTATTTTGCTAATATGTATGTATGTAATTCAAGAATTCACAAACAATTTAAATTTTATAAAATTGTGTTGTAAACAAATGAATTTGAAAATTCTCAAAGAATTTTTGCAAAAATAATTAAAAATAATCGATTTAAAGAAGAATTTCATTTAAAAATTCTTGAAAATAATAATTGTAATTTTTCTTTTTTGGTCCGTAAAGTCCGTATTTTTAAATACTTTCACTGGTTCGAGCCCTGATAAATAAACCTGAATATTTTTCTTTCAAGAGCAATGTAAATAATGAGACATTAATTTCATTTGTTATAATTATATTGATGAGAATGTTTCATAATATAAAATAACATTACATTTAATATTTAAGGTATTTTCATGATAATCACAATGGATAAAATTCTTTTGGGAGCAATGTTGCTTTTAAAACTAAGGGTTACATTTCATTTTTTTTCATAAATCATCTCAACAAGGCACCTGGTAAAAACTGAGGATAAACATTTTTTTGGGGATTGTGTGAAAAAAAAATGATTGAATCGTGCAAATGAAATCATGACAAATTTAAAAGTCGATAATTTCAATATTAAAATATAATACAATTTTTAGTTATTCAATTTTCAAAGGACAAAAAAATTTAATTAATCTGATAAATGTTAATTTATATAATTTTTTGAATTATATGATCAATTTTCGTGATAAATTATTCTTAGAGACAATGATTCATTTTTTTAAAAAAATAATAAAGTTACCCTTAATGCACAGCCTCAGAGAACAATGAAAAATTAACAAGTCTCTGTGCAATACTTCAAAAAATATATAATATATACAAATATTGAAGAAAATCTAAGAAATAATGAAAGTAAATACCTGATTCATTTTTTTGCGCGATAATTTTTTTACTTATCACGTTTGATTTTTTTCTATACTTTTAAGTATTTGAAAACTATAATAAAAAAAACACGAAAATCCATTCAATGTTTGGCAAAAAGAAGTTCACTTAAATTATATTTAAATTATGTGAATTTAGAATTTTTTCGGATTTTCAGTCTATATAAAAAAAAGAAAGAGTTATTAATTCTTCCTTTTTTTAGAAAAAAAAAATTGTTTTTCCTGATTATGTTAATTTAATCTCTGACTCGCAGACCCCAAATGCTTGTTCTCCTCACTCCAACTGTTGGCCTGGCAACCGAACTATATAGGAACTTGTTGATTTCAGTTTCGTCGCAATTAGCCTGAAACGATTGTAGCATTGGCTCGGTCATTAGACCAAACAAATCCAAATACATCAGAGACGGCATGTATGCTAATCTAATATACATCGAGGTTGGAATACTGTAGCAGCGACTCAACGACAAATGCTCCAGGTGCGTAAATTTCAGAAGACTGTGGACTGTGTTTATCGTTAACAATGTGCAATCACTCAAATCTAATTCCACCAGATCGGGACAATTTTTCTGTAAATCTTTCACGTCTGAAAATTCGATAAAAATGTTTAATTCAAAATAAATTTTATACAATTATTTCTTTTAAACGAATATTAAAAGTCTAGTTTTAATTTATATTTAAATTTATTGAATGAATAAATTGAAATAGATAATCAGGGTTGCCGCACAAAAATTTAATTTTGTTTTTCCCTGATTTCCAGACAAAATTTTGACTTTTTCCCTGACCCTAAAGAATATTCTGATTCACTCTACACATTATTAGGTACTCAAAAAAATGTTCTATTACATTTATTTGTGAATTTTGTTAATTGTAAAATTATTCGAAAACAGCAATAAGTACATTTTTAAATAAATATTTAATCATTTATTATTTTTCCGTAGGAATTTAAATTTTTCAAAACATTAAAATTCAAACCTTTTGAAATTCAATAATTTATAAGAATATTATATTATATTACAAAACATGAAGATGACCGAGTGATAATATTGTTACTGTAAATTCAATAATTTATAAGAATATTATATTATATTACAAAACATGAAGATGACCGAGTGATAATATTGTTACTGTAAATTCTTCAAAATTATTTTCTTCAATTCAATCTTAATTCTAAAATTACTAAAATCCTTCTCTAAATCAATTATTTTTAATAATTTTTGAAAAAGTTCTTTGAAAATTTTCAAATCCATTTGTTTACAATTCAATTTTACAAAAAATTTCAAATATTTGAAAATTCTTCAATTAAATATATATATTAGAAAATAAAAACTTCAAATAGTTTTAAAAAAAAATTTAATTAAACTTTTTCAAAAAAATTATTTCTACAGAATTGTTGATTAGTGTGAAAAATTTAAATTTTCAAATATTTTAATTTAAAAACTTTTCAAAATTCAATTATTTCTTAAAATTTACGCTATAGTGTTTTTAATATTCAATTATTATCTAAAATTTTAACTAAAAACGAGAATTCAATTATTTAAATACAAAAACAAAAAAAACGGGTTCAAAAACCCGTGTATTTTGAATAAATAAATAAAACAAAATAAATTGAATAATTGAACTTCAAAATTGAATTTTCATAATGAATTTTATCAACAAATTTTTAAATAATTGAATTCTTTTGACGAATTATAATAAAATTATTAAGAATAATTACATTTGTCGAGAGAAAATCGATTAAAATTGTATTAAAAATAATTGAAATTTTCGAGGAATTTTATTAAAATTTTTGAAAATTCTAATTAAATTCTTTTAAAGAATTTAAAAAATTTTTTTTAAAAATAATGCAGTTTATTTAATAATTTTAACTTAAAATTTTGATAGTAATTGAATTTCTACGAAGAATTTTATTATTTACGAAAATAATTGAATTCTTGGTAAGAATTTTATTAAAATTGTATTAAAAAATAAGTGAAGAATTCTTATAATAAGAATTTTAACAAAATTCTTCAAAATAATTAAATTTCTACGAAGAATTTCATTATTTAGTAAAAGAATATAATGTTTTCAAAGTTTCGATTATTCGGAAATTTTTCAATTAAATATTAGAAAATAAAGCTACATATAATTTTAAGAAAATGCAATTAAACTTTTTCAAAAAAATAATTCCACAGAATTGTTAATTAAAATCACAATCATGGAAAATTCCGATTTTTAAAGATTTTAATTTGAAACCTTTTCAAAATTCAATTATTTCTAAAAATTCATACTGCAATGCATTTAATATTCAATTATTATCAAAAATTTTAACTAAAATTCATTTTTAAATCAATTTTTATTAGAAAATTCTACGAGAATTCAATTATTTAAATACAAATTTTTAAATAATTGAATTCTTTCGACGAATTGTAATAAAATTTTTAAGTTACATTTTTCGAGAGAAATTCGATCAAAATTGTACTAACAATAATTGAAATTCTGCGATGAGTTTTAATATTTATGAAAATAATTGAATTCCTAAAAATAATTATTTTATTATTTATGAAAATAATTGAATTGTTGCAAAGAAATTTATAAGAAATTTGTAAATAATTGAATTTCTGTGAAATTTGAATTGAGGAAAGTTTTTGAAAATAATGGAATTTTGAAGAAGAGTTTTATTATTTATAACGATAATTGAAATTTAGACGAGAATTTTTAAAAATGTTTGAATATAATTGAATTTTTGTGAAGAATTTTATTACTTTTGAAAAAATTGAATTTCTCCAATTATTTGTAACTTCTCAAAAATTCAATTTTTTTACCGTTTTTAACTAAAATTCTTCTATAAATCCATTGCGTTTAATAATTAATTAAATATATATTAAAACATTTAACTAATTTCAGAAGAATTTGAATTATTAAAATTTTTCCATAATCTAAGTTGATAAAAATTTCTAATTAAATTCATTCAAAATTGAATTTTTCAAAAATTTCAAATTATAACCTTTTGAAGTTGATCTATTTATGAAAATTGTAAACGAAACTCTTTTAAAATTCAATTAAGTTTGAAATATTTAAGTAAAATTATTCATTAAATAATTTCTAAGTATTAGAATTCGTGATAATTTCATAGTTTATGAAGCAAACAAAAAAAGACACCAAAATTCAGAATTTTTTCATGAATTCTAAACATTTAATTTTTTCCATTACTTTTAATAAAAATCCCTGACTTTTCCCTGATTCCCGAACTTCCCTGTCCCGTGGCAACCCTGATAATAGATTAAAATAAATGAAAATTATAGTAAAAATTAATTTTTCGAATAAATATTAAATTAATAGGTATAATTAATAATTAATTATTAAATTTAAGATTTAGGTTTTTTTTTTTTTAAGAAAGAATAAACTTACTGTCATCGAGAAGAGTTTTTCGACATCCGGCAATATTTAATCGGGTGACGGTTGGAGGTAATGATTTGCAAACTAGTGTCATACATTCATTGTCAAGGCAACACCAAGACAAATTAAGGGCAGTTAATCTGAAAAAAATTCGTACTATGAATATTTCGACTATAAATATTTCCAATAATTAAATTAATAGTAATATAGTAATTAAATAGTAAACTATGAGTGAAATGTTGTAATTAGCGTAAATGGAGATTACCTTTTTAATTTCATTAAATTACGAATACATTCAACGTCCATTCCCTCGCACATTGTTAAATTTAATACTTCTAAATTTACATTATCGCCAATAGCTGCACAACACGATCCATCCAATACGCATTTTTCGAGTGATAATTTCTTTAAATATTTACATTTTGAGATTAAAATTGCTAAGTCCCAAGGTGCAATGACTGACATTGAGAGATCTAAATATTGTAATTTACTAGTGTAATGAATAGCAGATGCCTCGCTATTCAAATGAAAGACCGGCGAGGCAATTTCTGCCTGTGCCAGCCTCAAGATTTGTACTCCACGGGGAATTATATGACCTAAGTTTCCATCACTCAATACTTTACTTCCCAAATCTAAGCGTGTCCACAGCGCCTCGTCCCTCGCTATTTGACACCATCTTTTACACACCAGCATCGAACGCACCTGAAAGAAACAGAGGAGGAATAATTTTCTTTTGCAACTGAAAGAGGGAAAATTTTCCTAAACAAAGAATAGGAAATCTTTTGCTACAAGAAAAGGAAAATTACGAAAAAGAAAATTGATAGTTACCAAACATTGCTTTGGAAGCCACTTTAAGATCATCAAGATCATTTCGTCGGACAATTTGTTGAACTTGTCTTCGCCGACGATTGACGGTTTTTTTCTCCGCCTCAAACCGAATTCTAAATCTAAACTATTACTTTTTTCCGAAGTCGTGTTTAATTCATCTTTTGTAAAACTACTCTTCGCATCGACGAATGCCTCCATTTCTGCCCTTGAGCCATAACCGGATTCATTTTCCGTCGATGTGAAATTCGTTTGATTATCAAAATCTATTAAGTCCTCCAGCCTTTAAAGAAAAATTGCGGAATTACAGAAAAATTACAGAATTAAAAGGGACGTTTAAAAAAACATTTAGGAAATCATTTAGAGAATCGTTTAAAAAAACGTTTAGAAAAATATTTAGAAAATCGTTTAGAAAAAAAATACAGAAAAATGTTTAGAAACAAATTCAGAAAAAGGTTTAGAAAAATATATTCTTTTCTTTGTATGATTAATGAATTCAAAATGTAAATTCTCAAATACGAGACCAATAAAAAAGTATCTCTCGAATTTCTTTTGAGATCGTTTCACAAATTAACAATAGAATAAAAATAAATTTTTCTTTTTTTTGAAAATTGCTTTGAAGATAAGATAAAAAAAGCAGAAATAAACCTGTCATATTTGTCGGGTACAACAGTATCGAAACTGGAATGCCTGTAGACTCCTGATTCCTGACTGCTGCAGACATTTTTAATTTGTGATTGAGTTGGAGATGGTTCCTGTAGTCGTGGTTTTTTCAAATCATTCTCACAACTCTCCTCGTCCTCCAACATACTGACACCCATGTCTTCTAAAATTTCCGGTTCGACAAAACTTGTGTCACCCGAACATGACCAATGAGTCGCATTGCTTTTTGACGTTTCAGTGATTTCATTTAAATTATTATTACAGCCATCGTCTAAGCGTACTCGTTTACTGAAAATAAAGAGAACAAATCACTTATTTATCTGACAAAAATTTATTAGAAATAAAATTTAATTACAAAAATTACAATTTAAAATGTGGGAAATTACAAATAAAAATTAATTTATTACAAAAATTACAATTTAAAATATGGGAAATTAAAAATAAAAATTAATTACAAAAATTACAATTTAAAATATGGGGAATTAAAAATAAAAATTAATTACAAAAATTACAATTTAAAATATGGGCAATTACAAATAAAAATTAAATACAAAAATTACAATTTAAAATATGGGGAATTAAAAATAAAAATTAAAATAACGAAAATTGCGAATAAAAATAAAAGGCGAATGACAAATAAAAATTAAAATAACGAAAATTGCGAATAAAAATAAAAGGAATTACAAATAAAAATTAAAATAATTAAATAAAATTGCAAATAAAAATAAAAGGAATTACAAATAAAAATTATAACAGAAATCACAATAACAAAAATTTCTCAAAAAAAATTATAAACAAAAATAAAAATTAGAGACAAAAATTAAAGCCGAGTTTATAGCTAAAATAAAAAATCAACCTTAAAAAGATAATGGAAAATAAATATTCTTAACTTGAAAGATAAGAATTTAAAAAAAAAGAATCGCTTTTTGACATCTTTAGAAAAAATAATGGAAATTCTCAGCAGTTTCTTTTCATTTTAGTTTACACACTTGTGTAAAGTAAAATATTTAAATCATAATTATTGAAAAATTTTCTACACTCTTACACTTTTCTTACCAACAAAAAAATAAATATCAACTTACAAAACTTTCTAAAATATTAAAAATTGAACAAATGTTGAACTAAAAATTACACAAACTACAAAAACTAAAATAAAAGAAAAATAAAAAATTTGAAATGCTTTTAAAAAAGTTGATAAACAATTTGAGATGTAAAAAATAAACAATGCCTAGCCTAACAAAACCTGAGCCATGTGGTTACTTGAAACTCAAGAAGCCAAACAAATAATAAACAAAAACTTTGGAGTAAAAGTGTAGTAAACGAAAAAATCATCACTCGAGTGTTAAAAAACACTTGTTTTTTTCAAACAATATTTGAACTAGCCACTAGAAGAAAAATAGTCGAGAGAGAGCGTCTGCAAACATCGGCATTTTTCACACATAAGCACTCAAAATTCAGGTTAAAATCCATATTTTTGTTTATAATCGAAACTTTCCGAAATCTAATAACTTTATAGCAGACTTTTTATTCTTTACCTGTTATACCAGCATGTTTCGGACATGATGAATTTAAAAAAGTAAAATAAAAAAAAAGTGTTTACAAATTATTTAAAAAATAAGCGTCACACACACAGAGGAAGGGTGACTCGTGTCGATTCGGGGATGAAATGAAAACTGTGAGGACCAGGGGTTCTTAACCTTACCTGACCGCGCGGAACACTACCTGCTCAAGCAGGTAAATGTGTTATTTTTCTTATACCTGAAAAACCCAAAAATTTTCGACAAAAACGTTTTATGTAAATGAGTTTTTGACTCTTTACCTTTCTGGTGGCGATAGTTCCTCCGAATTTTCAATAAACTCGTCGCTCAGCCTTGTGTTCTCGTCCATGCCGGGATTTCGTTTTTTGGCGGAATATTGATGCACTTTTTTTTCTTCTTTTTAATACACTTTTTCCTTGTCACTAAGCACACGTCGTGGTAAATCAACAACCGACACTGGCGGGCTTATGATTGCTCTGTCCCATCGAATTCTCTTTGAAAGCAATTTTTGATTGGTTGTCATTCGAAATAATCCAAAGATGCGCGGCCTTTTAAACATGAGGCGCGCATGCTCCGCGAAAAAGCGGGTAGATTGCGCGCGAATATTTAAACTACGTTTAGAATTTTATTTTTATTATAACTAATATTTATATTAATAATTAAAAATAATATTTACGTTTAATGCAAATATTCAATTTTTCAAATTTTTCCTATTTTTTCGCTATTTCTAAAAATTAAAAAAAAGATACAAGAAATAATTATAATGACAAATTTGTTATTATAAATTTTTGTTATTATCATTTTTTTCATTCTACATAAAAATTGTTCGGGATCAATAAACTGAATTGTATACTTTCACATATATAAAAATGGAAGAATTTGCTGAATGGCAATAAATCAATTTCTTGTGTTCCAGTTTCTTATTCTAAAGAAATAAACGTATTGCGTATAAAAGGTGAATGACTTACCGACTGCTGTAATAGTACTTTACGATCGTAAAACGAAGCAAATTGTGTTTAAGAAGCATTCTCTTAGGGATAAATCTTTATATTATTTTCTTTGTCTCCTCAATTGAATCGAAATTTTTCAATTTTTAACACTGTTTATTAATTTTCTTTTTAACAAATATTATAAATGTACTTTGAAAACTCCTGTACAGGCGGCAACCTGTGGAGCGTGAGATGCCAAAAAAAGTCCTTACACAGGAATTTCTTTTTTGATTTGTTGATAAAAATTTTTTTGATAGTAAAAATGATAAATTTTTCTAAATGTAAATAATTAATAATGAAAATTAATTAAATAAATGGAAAATAAAGTGAATAAAAAAATTAATTAAATTAATTGGATAAAAAATAAGCAAATAAATATAAAACAGAGTAATAAAAATTCATTAACTTAAAAATAAAGTAGATAAACTAAGTAAAAAATAAAACAAACAAAATAAGAAAAAAATTAAATTAAACAAAATAAATACGTCTAATAAAAATAAAATAATATGAAAATAAATAAAGCAAATAAAATAAATTATACTAATAAAATAAATAAACTAATAAAAAATAAGTAAAACAAAATGAAAAGTAGTAAAATCCAAATTTTAATTTCTTACTCAATAAGAAATATTAAGAAATAAAAAAACAAAAAATAGACAAAAATAAATAAATATATACAAAATAAAGTAAACAAAGGAAGTAAAAAATTCAAATAAACAAAATAAATTAAACAAGTAAAATAAATAAAAAATTAGAAAAACAAAATAGTAAAAAAATAAAATAATGAAAATAAATAAAGCAAATAAATTATTAAATTAAATAATTATTTTACATTTAAAATAATTAAAACTGATAAAGTAAAATAATAATTAAAAGAAGTAATTTTTACTTTTTGTCAGTGGTCAAGTCCCCTTATTTTTCGATCCTCGGAATATATTTTCATTTGGAAACTTACGAGATCAGATGTTTTTTTATGGAAATTAAATTTTCCATCAATCGGACGAATTCCTTTATCATGCCACCAGCCATATCTAATAAATATGATTAATTTATTATTAATTTATTAAATGCACGGTTAATTTAATTATAAAAAATATAAAACAAAATTGTAATAAAATAATTTTTCATTTCAATTTTTCAATAATTTAAATAAAAAACAAAATTTTTTTATTTTATTTAAAACATTTTTTTCAATTCAATAAAAAATAATTAAATGAAAAAAGTAAACAGTCATAAAACAAAAATTTTTTTCACTCCATAAGAGAAAATAAAAAATAGAAAAAATAGACAATAAAATTTTTCAAATAAGTTTTATATAGAATTTACAAAATATACCATATATTTTCAATAATAAATATTATTGAATATATTATTATTATGATTATTGTTAGTATTATTATTATTTATAAACTTGTTCGATTAAATATTTTTTTTAGTTATAATTATAATAAAAATAATGTTGATAAATAAATTTATTAAGCAACAAAATTTATGAATAATGCTAATAAAAATGTTAGAGGATAATTTTTATTTATTATTATTTTTTTTTGTTGAAAATTTAATTTCTGAAAAAAATTGAGAAAATATTAAATTTTTTGTAACATGTAAAACATATTTGAACGAATTGCGTTTCAGATATTATATTTCCGTATATGAAATTGAAATGTTAAATGTGAAGAGAGAAAAAGAAATTACACATGACTGGTTAAAACTGGCCAACGATAGAGTTTCTTCGGTGTTTTAAATTCCTCTTTTGCTATTTCTTTGGCTTCCTCAATGACATTCTCACTCGGAGTACAGTCCATTTCTCGTGAATAAAATTTCGGTGTGATAAATTCAGCTACAGAGAAAAGAATTTTTAAAAATTCAATTTTAAAATTAAATTATTAATAAAAAAATAGTTTAATAAATTTTTAATAAAATTTAAAACATTTTTTTTCTTCCATTTTCAATATTATAATTAAATTATTAATAAATAAAGATTTAATAGATAAGGAAATTTTAAACATTTTTTTTCTCTCGTTTCTTTATCGATTTTTTATTTTATATATTCATATAATTAATTTACGAATAAATAATAGTAATTTGATAAATTATTAATAAATAATAATAAGTTATTTAATTTAAAACATTTTTCTTTCTTCCATTTTTTTCGATTTATTGTCATTCTATTTCGAACTGTTTTTTTCGACCATTAAAAAATAGAGAAAAGAATCACTTTTGCAGAGAATTTTTATAGGAATTGAATTTCTGAATTTAAAAATGAATTTAAAGGTCAAAAAGAAAGGGAGAAAAATGAATTTAATAAAGAATATATTTGAGAACAAAATTCACGAAATTAAAAAAAAAAATTGGTAATTAAAATTATTTGCCATATCTTTTATTGAAATTGGAAATTGAATTTTATTTTTTATTTTTTGCGCAAGAAGAAAAAAGGGAAAAAAATTCATATTTGAAAAATCCTCTGTAAGTGATATCTGGTATTTTAACGGTTTCAAATAAAACGCTTCGTTTTAAAAATAAAAAAAATTCTCTTTTTGAAAAAAGAAACTGAAATTAGATAATATAAAATTGTCGAAGCGACTTTTTTCGTTTAAATAAATGAATAATCAAATAAATAAATAAATAAATAAAAATTGGATAAAATTATTGAAGCAACTTTTTTTCTTTTAAATAAATAATTGAATAAATAGTTAAATAAATAGCTAAATAAATAATTAAATAAACAATTAAATAACTAACTAAATAAATAAAAAACATGAATAAAATCAAATAAATTAATAAGAAAATAAATAAATAAGAAAATAGATAAAAAATCATAAATTAAAAACAAAGTTTTCTTTAAAGAAAAGTACTTGGGAAATATTTATTCTTTTTTGCGCTCAAAAAAGAAGAATGTAATTTAAAAAAAATAACGAAACTTGAAAGATATTTATTGGTCCAATTATAATTTCTGCAAATAATTTTCGAAAAAAAAATCTAGAACGGAATTCAAAAAAATCCCCTCGAGACATAATTACATAATTGTGAAAAATGGTCCGCTTATATATGTATAATATGAAGTCTCGGGGAAAATTAAAAAATAATATTTATATCTATATATATATATATATATGGTATTTTAACGTAAAGTACACATATAGGAAAAAATTGGGTAAAAGTTTTTGAGCAGAGTAAAACTTTCTGTCTCGATTGAATATATTATTAAACTTTTTCAGTGCGACCTCAAACTTTGTCTACTTCAGCTAGAAATTGTTGACGACAGTCAGATGAGTTTCCACAGCGTAGAGTAAAATTTTTTACTACACTGGTAATAAATTCTCAAACAGAAAAACTTTCTTTTCGTATGTATATACATACGATAACTCTATTCCATTTTCCTATATAGTATATATACAGATATATATATATATGCGTGTGCGTTTAGTTTGATAGAAAACTTTTATTTTGCCTTTATTTTCTTTCAAATGTAAACCCAAAGTAAAATATAAACCCCCCCCCCTCCAATTTCTAAACTGACATCGATTTTTTAAAGGATTTATTTCTTTTCTACTGCTATTATACTTTTAGAAATAGCACATTGTACAACTAGTGGCGAAAGTGTGATTTTTCGAGAGTGTAGTCGAGAATCACTCGAGAAAAATCATTCTTTCACCACGAGTTGTGCACTACGTTTTCTCCAACGCCTTGCGAGGAAAGGTTTTTTCGTGAGTTTTGTATAATTTTAATTTAACGTGTGCTTATGTTTAATATAATAAAAGACGAATGTTTTTAGTGGGGAAGAAGTTAGATACAAAATAAATCCCGGTCAAAGAATAAGAAAAAAGAATAAATTCATGATTTACTTTCGCCACGCTCTTCAGAGCAGTTGAGAAAAGTTCTACTTTCGCCACACTTTTCTACCAAGAAAAGTACTCCTTTCAGAGCAAGTGTTGGAGAAAAAAATTTTACAGGAAAAAATTTTCTATAGAATTTTTTAAAGGATTTATATATAATTTTTTTTATATATATAATTTATTTGAATATAATTATTTGAACGAAAAATAATTTTTGTTCAAAATTAAAATTACATGCATAAAATTTCTGTTTGTCCCCCAATTCGGAATTGCGACTTTAATGTATGAAAATTATTTCCACACGCAGTGATAATGTAATTACATTATTGCGAATTATTTTCCATCTCGTTGCGTTATTTGATGTTACATTATAAATTAAGATTTTTTTTTACATATAAATTTCATTATCGTTGAATCGAGTGTGAAATATGAAACAATTATATAATTATTAATTATTAATTATCATCATTGTAGAGATTAAATTTACATTTTCAATTGAATACTTAATTTACTTGTGTGTAATCATAAACCTATATATGTAAATTAATAATATACTCTCAGTTAAATATTATATTCACTTCGAAAATTAAATTTTTATTTTTTAAAATTAAATTCCAAAATTTTTTTTAATTTCGGAATTAAAATATTTGTTGTAATTATTTTCGTCACTATTCTATTTTCTTGTTTTGGAAAAAAAATTATTTGAAAATTATTATTCGATCGTCTCGAAGAAAAATTTATTTTGTTGTTAAAAAAGAAAAAAGTTTAAAAGAAATTAAAAATATTCAAAAAATTTTTAAAAAATTGAAAAAATATTGAAAAAGGTTGAAAAAAATTGAATTTTAGCAAAAAAAAATTTTTTTTCTTCACCTGATAACACACACACACACAGACAGACACAGACAAATTTTAAACATTGAAGTGGATAAGAAGGGAAACCCTAATAACTTCTGATGAAATTCAGAACCTCGTATAATTTTCCTCTTCCCTAATCCGGATCGGATTTGTGCCTCTGTAATATGAATAAATGAAGCTCTCATGCTTAGGAAATGGAAATTTTCGAGAATTTATTCAAAACAAATGTATTACAATAGTATTTGCAAGTAATTTACAATTCTATTCTCGTAAATCTCCACGAGATGTAAAATACATATTTCTTATCCAAAAAAGCAGATATATAGTTTACCTAAATAACTGAAGACGCGGAAAAAAAAAATTTTCACCCACACATTGTGAAAAAATTATTTAAATTTATTTTCAATTTTTTTTTTGCTAATTAAGTCAATTTAAATCAATTTTTTCAATTTTTATTGGTTTTATTTTTTTGTTTACTAAATATTAGAGTAATAAATAAAATTAAATATTAATCAATTAGTTTTAATTGATTTCTTATTAGCTTTAAGAATTTACAATTTTTTTTTAATTTACATTTTTTAAATAAAAAATCTGCCCGCCCTTCGGGCGGACACATTGTCATCCGCGCTTCGCTCGCAAGTTTCAGCGCGCCTCAGGGCGCGCGAAATATTGGTCGTCGCGCTTCGCGCTCCGTGGATTGTTGCGCGCTTCGCGCGCAAATAGCTCGTTTCGCTCGCAGTCGTCCGCGGGGATTGAGCATTACTTGCGTTCTTGATCCTTTTTCCTATTATATATGTTTTATAAAATTTTTTTTTCTTTTTCCTACTATATGTTTTATCAAACTTTTTTTCTTAAAGTTACTACAACTTTAAGGATAACATTCTCATCACATATTTTTGTTTGCTGATGATTGCAAGATTAAGTACACTTTTAAAAAAATTTTTAGTCCTGCTAATTAAAAGTGTGAAATTATTCTTAATTACTTACTTTCTTCGCAGAAACATGGTTTGCTGAATTTTCGTCTATAATAGATTTACATGAAAAAATAACTTTAATTTTTAGAAAAGTTGCAGGCTAAACATTCAATAAAGTGGGACATGTAAACCTTTACACAATTAATTTTATAATTTGATAGTAAATAATACTACGAAGTTTGCATGTAAATCTTTAAATAATTTTTAGGAAGTATTCAGTACGGGCTCGTCACCTTGTCATCTTCACAACTAAACACGTCAGTCACACTTAAACTCCAGCCAAACAAAATTTCATTTTTCTAATAAAGAAACCAATATTGTCTGAATACTGACAAAACATGTTGTGATATTAAATTGGTCTGGACCAAAAACTTAAAAAAAAAAAATTATTAAAAAATGTTATAGAGAAAAGTTGTTTGTATTTTTCTAATATAAAATAATATAAAGTTAAAAATTTTGAAACTACTGTAGTTTTTGTAGTTTTCAACGAAAATGGCTGGTTAACGAACTTAACCTTCATTTTTACACCAACTTAAGGTGTGTTAAATTTAAAAACGATCAGATAAGATTTTCAAAAGTTATTGTGTCAACAACATTTTGGTCTACAGACGGACATACATACAGACAGACACACAGACAGACGGACTCGCCGGACCATGTTTTTCGGGTTCAGGGGACCCCAAAACGTAAATATTTCATAAAATTAGCAAAAGTCAATTTTCGACCAAAACTAATACTTTCTCATGTGATAAGAATGTAAAAATTAAAGAGTAAATAAATATTAATTAACAGTTTTTTAATTTACAATGTTTCTTTAATTTACAAATTTTTTAATTAACTCGTTCTTTTTAATTAACAGTATTTTTCAATTTACTCTTTTTTTTATTTTACAATTTTTTCTTAAATTTACGTCTTGTTTTAAAATTTACAGTTTGTTTTATGTTACTTACAATTTTTCTGTACTTTGCAATTTTTTTAATAAAAAAATTTTTTTAATACAGTTGTTTTTTAATTTTAAATTTTTGTTTAGTTTACAACTTTTGTTTTAATTTTCGGTTTGTTTTAATTTACAATTTTTTAAATTTAATTTTAATTCAAAATAAAGAATATTGACCATTAAAAAAATTATTAAGTATAAAAAATTGTAAATTTTTATTTTTTATAATACAAAAACTTTTTAATTTACAATTCTTTTCTAATTTTCAACTTTCTCCTTAATTTAATACTTTCCTCTTTTTTAACGCTTTTTTCTAGATATTTTGTTTTGTTTTTCTTTATTTCGTCTTTAATTTTTGTCGTCACATAAAATAAAACCATTTTTTGAAGCATAATAACCAGTAAATATTCAGTATTCTATATAATAAATATTTATTTGGAATTTTGAGGAAAGATTTTCTAAAAGAAATCAGTGATAAGTTAAAATAAAAAAAAGAGGGAAAACCAATTTTTTTCTGGAAAAAGATATTTCTTTTGCAACTTTTCCTTTTACTTTATTTTTGACACTTCGAAAAAAATATATATCGAGGATAAATTTTTTACTTGAAAAATATCATTTCATATTTCATTTTTCCTAGAATCAAATGTCTTAGACACGCAAAAATTTATACAATTTCCTTTCGTAAAAATTCCCTTGGCGAAAGAAAATGATTTCTTGTCAATTTTTATAATTGAATTTCTAAAAATAATATATTGTCACACGCGAAATGAAAAAATTTTTTGTCTGACACATCGATTTTTATTATTATTATTATTTAGGAATATATTTTTAGGTTTGATTTCAAATTTTTGAAGATTTGATCCTTTTTCTGTCATTTTTATTCAGGTTTTAAAAATTATTTTGTACATTTTTTTCCAAAAGTATATATACTAATAGTGAAAAAATTAATAAATTCCTCTGAAATTTTTTTTTTATGTAAAATTTTATTTCTAAAAGTATAAATAATAGCAAAAAAATTACTTAAATCCCTTCGAAATTTTTTTTTTATAAAATTATATTTTTAAAAGTATAATATTTAAAAAAAAATTAAATCCTTCTGAAAAATCCGTTAAAATTTAAAATTCTAAAAAAATAGGTAATAATAATAAAAAGAAAAAAAATAAATCCTTTGAAAAATCATTTTAAAATTTTTTTTTCTGGATGAATAAAATAGAAAAATAAATAATTAAAAAAAATTAATAAAAACTAAAAAATCCATTAAAAATCTTGTTTAGAAATTCTTTTTTGTAAAAGTACAATAATAGGTAGTAAAAAAGAAAAAAAATAAACCTTTAAAATATCGTTGACAAATTTTTTTTTAAAAGTGTTACAATATGTTATAATAGTAAAACAAATTATAAAATCCTTTCGAAAATTGTTTTCTTTAAAATTTCATTTCTAAAAGTTATAATAATGAAGAAAAAAATTTTTTTTTGAAAAAAAAAGGATTTGAAAAATGCTTAAAAATTCTAAATTCGAAACATATAATAATTATAGTCCTTTGAAAAGTCGTTAAAAAATTTTTCCTGTACAATTTTATTTCTTAAAATATAATAATTTAGGCAATAAAAAATAAAAAAATCCTTTAAAATTTTGTTTAAAATGAAAATTTTTAAAGAACTTATTTTTTATTTTTTACTACATTATTAGGTATACTTTTAGGAATAAAATTTTTAAAATTATAACTTTAAAAAATGCATTAAAAATGCCATTGTTACTTTAAAAGATTTGTTTTTTTGAAATTTAATAAAAATTCTTCATTTAAAAAAAAAAAAATTTTTGTAAACAGTTTTTCTTTATTGAAGATATTTCTAACAGCAACTTGAACATTTTTGATTAAATAATTGAACTTTCCAGTGGTACTCGAGTACCACTAGAACTATCCTGGTAATATAAGTTTATTCTAAATTTTTTTTAAATTCAATTATTTTCCAAATTTTTAATTAGAATTCTTCAAAAATACGATTATATTTTAAAATAATTTGCAAAAGTAAATAAATAAAATTCATTAAAATATTAAATTCATTTCATTAAAATTTGCCAAAATTTTGAATTGTTTCAATTTTTTAAAATTATTATTTTCGGAAATACAATAAATTATTTAAAAAAAATTTTAATTATATTTTGTCAAGAAACAATTTTTCAGAATTACTGAATTAAAGTATTCAAAATTTCTCGAAAAAATACAATTATTTTTAAAAATATTAAATTCGATTATTCTCAAGAATTTAATATAAATTCAATTATTTTGGACAATTTTGATGAAATCCTTTTAAAAAATTATTATTTTCAAAATTTTTAATGAAATTCTTTCAAAAAAATTAATTTCTTTCATAAATAATAGAATGTTTCGGAGGAATTCAATTATTATTTTTAATGCAAATTTAATAAAATTTCTCGAAAGAATACAATTAGGATTTTTAAAAATATTATTTAAATTCAATTATTTTCCAGAGTTTTAATAAAAATTCAATTATTTTCAACAATTTTGATATAAAATTCTTCGAAACAATTCAATTATTTTTATAAATTGTAAAATTCATTGCAAGAATTCAATTATTTTTGGAAATAATAAAATTCTTCAGAGAAATTCAATTATAATTTCAATACAATTTTAATAAAGTTTCCCTAACAGGTTCAATTATTTTTAAAAATTGTATAATACAATTTTTTTAAACTATTTCATTGTTTTTAATAAATTTCAGGAAATTTTTCTGGATATCATTTATTACAAAATTTCGTCTACACGACGTTTCGTCACCACCACTTGGTAAGGACACCAACCTTGATGACGAAACGTTGTGATGTGGACGAAATTTTATAATAAATGATATCCAGAAAAATTTCCTAAAATTTATTAAATACAATAATAATCTGGAGTACGTATTAATTTGACAACTTGTCAAAAATTTTGATATTTCATTGTTCTCAAAAGTTTTTAATAAAATTCTTTGTAAATTTCAATTAATTTCAAAATTTCCGATTAAAATTTCTTAAATAAATTGAATTATTTTCAAAAATTTTTATAAATACTTTACAAGAGTTCAATGATTTTCCGTAAATTAATTAAAAAATTTTTAACATTTAAAAAGTTATGAAACAAAAAAGAAAACAGCCACTAATTTCAAACTGCGAAAAAATTACCGGAATACAACGATTATTAATATAGAAGATATTATATATACATATAAATAATTACATATTTATAAATCAATTATTACTTTAATTATTTCATTAATATTTATTTATTATTTCTTTCATTATTTCTCTATTATTTATTTCTTTTATTTATTGATATAAATCCTCGCCCGATAAAGAATCATAAAAATAGGCAACGCGAAGATAATAATGAGATAATTTATAATAGTAAATAAATTTATTATATTTATTTCATTATTTTGTATAATTTAAAAATTTAATTTCCCTCTCTAATTAGGAGAAAAAGAAATAATTTACCGTTTATTTTCGGAATACAAGCATCGGATCTTCCAGTTTCCGGATGTTTCGCAAAACAAAGTTTGAATGGCGGTTTCTCGATTATTTTTTTCTGCGATCCTGAAGCAGCAGGACTGACACGGGCACTGCGAGATTCAATTGTATTGAGCTCAGTTGACATCTCCCTTTAAAATTTTCACGAAAATCACCCGCCGCCGCCACCACCAATACGAGAGTCCTTCGCTTTTCTCTCCCTCTCTTTCTCTCTATTTCACTCTCTAAGTCTCTCTTTCACTCTCTCTATCTCTCCCCGCACACGTTGAAATTCGAATTTCCAAGTTCCAACTGTTAACAGCAGATTCGCACTTTGGAATAAAGTTTACTCGCGTATATATACATAATATATACCGTTGGAGACACCCCCATCAGTATTTGCGTGTGTGTGTGTGTGTGGGGGGGGGGTGTATTGAAGCCCACACACCAACTTGTGCCTTCCATATTTGATCGATATCCTTGCGGAAATAAATTGTCGCGAACAAATGTGCACAGGCATTACTTTGACCAGAAAAATGCGTGTCTCGTAGATCAACTTAAATGGAGACAGTGCAATATGCCTGGGGTTTGAAAATTTACGCGCAAAAAACTACTCTGTGTGTGTATGTGTGTATTGGTTGAACAAAACAAATTTTTTTATTTGATTTAAGCGCTTTTTCAAATTTTCTCTTGCAATGGTATTATTCCCTCTATATACACGACGTATTTGTATGTGTGTAAAAGCGCGTGGACCAATTTTGTTCACATATCATATATCGATTTTTTTCTTTTTTTTTCTTTTTGATTTTTATCAATGAACAAAAAGCGAAATTTTTCGGCAGTTATTCCAGTTTACAATGAACAACACTTTTAAAAGAGAGTGAGAGAAAAGAAATTACGTAGATAACTTTTTTGAGTTCTTTTTTGAAAAACAAATATGAAAAAGAAAATCAATGAATTTAATCACTTTTTTTATTATTATTACATGGAAAAAATATTTTATTCAAGTTCAGTTGGTTCCCTTTTCCCTTTTTGTCGCCTTTTTCAATTTTGTCACCTTTTTCCCCTTTTTGGTGATTTGACCCTTTTTCTAATGAAAAATAAAAAAGTTTTTATTTTATTGAAATCTTTTTCAAAGTATAATCATAAATTTTTAAAGAACTTAGATTTTTGCAAAAATTTTCATAATTTAAATTATTCTGAAATTAGGTAAATTTTTTAATGTAAATATATTTTTTAATTAATTATTAAAAACTAGCTAAAAAACCGCGGGCTAAAGTGCGCGAGTAGTTTCTGCTTCTGGTTTCAATATAGATAATTAACAATAATGCCTACTAACAATTCTCAATATTACCTACTTATAAAATAAAACAAATGATTTTTTGATGTAAATATTATTATTAAACTATGTCAATAATAGTAATAATTATAATAATAAATCTTGGATTCTACAGCGGCAAAATTCATCTTCATGTACAAAATAAAACAAAATTCAATTTCCCTTAAATTATTATTTCCTTAACAGAAATAAAACAAGATGGGCGATGTTTATAACATGAACATTTTGCTTCCTCTTTACAATCTGCAAAAAAATTTACAAAAAAGAGTTTTTTTTTAAATCGTGATTAAAAAATTGTAATTATGCAAATTTTTTGACTTATTAAAAAAACTTGAGATTTTGTTAAAAAATTGTGATGAATAGAAGTTATATGTTTTTCTAAATAATATTGTTAAAAATCGTTATTAACAAATACAAATTATGGAAATGCTCTTCCTTTTTTTCGAAAAGACATTTAAAATGTTCTAAAAAAATGTGATTCATACAAATCTTTTTCCTTTATTTCTAAAAAACTTCGAATTTTGTTAAAAAACTGTAATTGAGGAATAGAAATAGTGAAAATTACTTGCTTTTTTAAAACAAGAGAACTTTGTTAAGAAGTCGTGACAGGGTTGCCACGCTTTTGCTCATTTCAAATTCCCTGACTTTGCCAGGTTTTCCAGGTTAAAAAACGGAATTTTTCCAGGTTTTTAAAACTACATTTATATTCAACAAAATTTTTAATTCAACCCTTTTTGAAATTAAAAAAAAAAAAAAAAAAAAAAAAATATTAAGATATCGATTGCTCCGAGTCGAAGACTCGGAGTGATCGATATTTTCATGTTTTATAATAATAATTAAAAATGTTGGACTGATAAAATCATCATTTTATACCTATTATAAGAATATTGTTACTGTAACTTATTCAAAATTACTTTCATTATTTTAATTCAATTATTGTTTTCCACAATTTTTAACTAAAATTCTTCTTTAAATTAATTATTATTAATAATTTCTGAAAAATTTCTTTCAACATTTTTAAATCCTTCGTTTACAATTCAATTTTAGGAAATTTCATCGATTATTCAGGTATTCGGAAATTCTTCAATCAAATATATATTACAAAATAAAAACTTTAAATAACTTTAAAAAAATTCAATTCAACTTTTACAAAAAAATTAAATCTACACAATTTTAAGTTAAAAGTATGAAAAATTCGAACATTCAAAGATTATAATTTGAGACCTGCTTTTCAAAACTCAATTATTATCTAAAGTTTTAACTGAAATTCATATTTCAATCAATTATTATTAGAAAATTCTACGACAATTCAATTATTTAAATACAAAAAAAAATAATTTATTGAAGAATTGAATGTTTTTTAAAATTCAACTCTCATTTAAAGAATTTTACCAACAAATTTTTAAATAGGTAATTAAAATTCTTTTGACGAATATCAATAAAATTTATAAGAATAATTTCATTTTTCGAGAAATAAGATTAAAAATGTATTAAAAATAATTGAATCTCTGTAAAAAAATTTCATTGAATTGAGAAAAGTTTTTAAAAATAATTGAAATTTTGTCAAGAATTTTATTAAAATTTTCGAAAATAATTGAATTTTAGAGAAAAATTTTAATATTTATAAAAATAATTGAAATTTTGACTGTAACTTTTTTAAACTTTTGACCATAATTGAATTTCTGCTAAGAATTTTATTACTTTTGAAAATAATTCAATTCTTGAGACGAATTTTTTAATAATATTTCTTTTTAAATACCTAATTATTTTTAATACAAAAATAAATAATTTATTGAATAATTGAATGTTTCTCAAAATTGAATTCTCATAAAGAATTTTATTAACAAATTTTTAAAATAATTGCATTTGACGAATTTTAATAAAATTTTAAGAATAATTATATTTTTCGAGGAATTCGATTAAAATTGTATGAAAAATAATTGAAATTCTGCAATGAGTTTGATTATCTATGAAAATATTAATTGAATCCCTGATGTAAAAAATTGTATTACATACTTATAAAAATAATTCAATCTCTGTAAACACAAATTGAATATTTTTGAAAATGATAGAATTATTGCGAAGAAATTTATAAAAAATTTTTAAAATAATTCATTTCTTTTGGAAAATTTTATTAAAATAGTAGATATTGAAAATCATTGACTGGAGGAGAATTTTTGAAAAAAATTGAATTCGTTAAAAAGAATTTCATTAAAAGTTTTGAAAATAATTGAATTTTGGAGAAAAATTTTAATATTTGGGTGATTCTACAAACGAAGGACGAAAATCAAGAAAATTTGGACACAACATTTTTTTCTCATTTAAGTTCTGAAAAGTATTTTAACTTCAAGTTAATGGTACTAATAAAGACATCCATAAGTGGCCAGACAAAATATTAAAAATTACAAAAGTTATGGTTATTTATAAACAATTTATCCAGAGAATTAAAATCGTGTCAAGAAAATTCACATTAACATAAAAATTAATGAATGGATTTTTATAAAATTGGTTACTCGGGGGTTTACGGGGTTGCTGATTAAGAATCCAATGTCAGTTTTTCAAAATTCAAAATGGCGGATACAATATGGCGCACGACTTTTGAAAAAACTTATCGTATTCGTCTAAAAATCGTTACCCGGGGGTTTTTGAGGTCGCTGATTAAGAATATAATTAAATGAATTTTAAAAAAATTGTTCGATTTTTATTAAATTTGATTTTGTAAAATATGTTTAAACGTTAAATAAGTTATTAACCTAGAGGAAAAGTTAGAACTAACAATTTACAATTTACCACCATTTTCGCAACTTTTGAATCAGATAGTTCAAGATTATTTAAAATACGGAATACTTGATGCATACGGAAATTTCCGAGGACTGAAAAGAAATCGAGTACCCGAAAAAATCGAATACTAAATACTTTGAATACACCTCTAGTTTTTAACGTTGAGTTTAATTTTGAATTTACTTTTTAATAATTTATTAATTTATTTTTATTTAATTTATTTAACTAATTAATAATTAATAATAATAATAATAAATTGTAATTAATTAATTAATTAATTAATTATGATTATTAAAAACTATTTACAATTTATTTATTAATTTTTATACATCTATGAACTATAAATATAGTAGTAGAACTAAAAAACATAATTAAATTGTTTAAACAAATTGTAAAAGCAATGGTTAATTTGAAAAAAGTTGACCTCGGATTGGTAATAAGCGAAACAGAAAATCACCGAGTAACGATTTTCAGACGAATATGTTAAGTTTCTCCAAAATCGTCGGCCATATTGGATCCGCCATTTTGAATTGAAAAATTTTAAAAACTGACATTAGGTTCTTAATCAGCAATCCCGAAAACCCCCAAGTAACGATTTTTACGAGGATCAATGAAAGTCATCGGTTTAATTAATTTTGGTTGTAATTTAATTAATAATTGTTTTTAACAAATTACGGATGGTGTATTTGTTTCTATTAGCACAATTTCACAAATCATAGAATTGTAAAAGTAAGTTCAAGTGTCTAATAATAAAGAACTACTTTGATTTTAGTGGGCTAAACTTTATTCATATAAAAAAATACTTATTCCATTTGTTTGTTTATGTCAATATAATTATTTATGCGAAATGAAAATTGAAAATTCAGTTACAGCAATTTCTTGTAAATTTAATTAGGATTATTTTAAGACCAGAAAATCGAACAATAGTTGAAAATTGTTAGTTTTACGCTATTTTTAGTGATATAGTATACATCCTATCTCAAAAGTGCCAGACGAATGAGAACCAGACGAATGAGAATTTGGCATTTTTTGTTTAAAAAATACAAAAATAACATTAAATGAAAAAATCCTTCAGTACTATCTTATAGAGAATAATAATCTACAAAACATAAGTCTATAGAATAACCGAAAAATAAAATATTTTTTTAAAAAGTGTATGCCAGACGAATGAGAATTTGTCTGGTCACAACACAATCTCCGTTACAAATTGAGAAATCTTGATTAATAGATTAGAAGATTCAATAAAACCCGATTGGTATCACATTTAGTTTAGTTTGATTAACAACTACAACGAACAGTCACTTCATCAGAATGTTGATTTTTAATAATTTTTACATTTTTTGCACTGCCAGACGAATGATAACAAATTCAGACATCAAAATTCCCTCTTTTGTAGAATCACCCATTTATAAAGATAATTGAAATTTTGACGATACATTTTTTAAACTTTTGACCATAATTGAATTTCTGCGAAGAATTTTATTACTTTTGAAAATAATTGAATTTCTTTGATGAATTTGAATAAAATTTTTAAGAATAATTATCCATTTTTCGAGAAATTCCATTAAAATTGTATTAAAAATAATTGAAATTTTGCGATGAGTTTTATTATTTATGAAAATAATTGTAAATCTATAAATTTTTTTATTATTTAATTATTTATGAAAATAATTGAATTATTGCGAAGAAAAATTGTAAAGGCAACTCTTTTAAAATTGAATTAAAGAAAAATTAGATTTCAAAAATAAGCACAATAACTTTAGAAAACAATAATTTTCCAGGATTCCAATCAAAATTCCCTGACTTTTCCAGGTTTTTTCAAGGTTTATAAAAATTCCCTGACATTTCCAGGTTTCCAGGTTGCGTGGCAACCCTGTGCTTTAAATTATATCACGGAGAAAATTTACTCCTGAAATTTTATTGAATTTAGTTCGGTAAAATTGGGTTGAACTGTCGAAACAGTAATTTTTTAGAACTAGACTGTAAAAGAAATTACAAATTAAGTGCGAAGTAATTTTTTAAAAAAATGTGTAAATAATTGAATTCCTGAGAAATTTGTATTATTAATGAAAATATTTAAATGTTTGCGTAGAATTTTCTCAAAAATTTTTTAAAATAATAATTGAATTTGTTTAAAAAATTTTATTAAAATAGTAAATATTTAAAATCATTGAATTGAGGAAATTTTTTGAAAATAGTTTAAATTTTGCCAAGAATTTTATTAAAATTTTTTGAAAATAATTGAATTTTTTACAATTATTTGTAAATTCTCCAAAATTCAATTTTCTTTATTTGTTTTTAACTAAAATTCTTCTATAAATCCATTTATTTTTAATAATTAATTAAATTTAGAGAATAATATTAATAATAATAAAAATAATAAAAATAAGAAACAAGTATTTGTAGCAGTGGAAGTAGTAAAAGACAGTTTACGTCAGACATAATGATTTCCACTCAATGTTATAGTAAACTAAAAGCCAGAATATGTAACTCGAGAGAGAAATAGCTTAAAAGGATATCATCAGAGGCGCCGCGGAAGTCGATGTGAAATTTTCACCGAAATCTAAACTTAATGGCGCCTCAAGTAAATTCTCTAAAATGACATGTATATATACACAATTCACAAGGAAATGCTATCAAATACTTAAAAGTTTTAAATGAAAGCAATGCGACCCCTAACACACAACCTAAAAGCTTTTCTAACCCTTTTACTCTCTAGCCTTTTTTCTTTTTTCTCCTTTTTTTCTAGATTAAGTAAAAGATACCGCATTAATTGAGTATACAGACTGCAATGTTCACTTATTATAATAAAGAGAAATAAATTTTCCTAGAATTTGTTTTGACAGCCCTAAAAAGCGAATTAATTAATTAATTACCGCACACGCGGTAATCTTCTTCGAGAATTTTCCAGCTAATTATTTCTCAAGTTTATAGTTTCGTTCGTTGTATATGAATAATTGGTAAACTCATTAGTGTCTTATGTTTTTTTTTTGCTTAATATATTATTAAATTATTACAATTATAAATAATTATTAATTATTCTTTATTTACGAAATTTTCACAATAATTTAGAGAAAAAAATATATTTTTGGATAGGACACAAACTTTCGATGTAATTTTTGAAAAGAAAAAATACAGTTTTAAGACAAGAGACAAAATTTTCGAGGCACTTAAATGAACCGTCAATTTTTGAGCGGAAAAAAGAGAAAATTTTGTGGAAAAATTTTTTTCTTATTGTGAAATTGAAATTTATAGTTGAGAATTGAGATTTATTAGGGAATTAGGTGAATATGAACAGTAAAAAGGGGTTTCATAGGAATATGAGGTATGTACATTAAAAAGGAAAAAAAAAGAGAGAGAGATGTGTGATGATGAAGTGGAGTTATAAAGAAAAGACGGTCGGAAAAGAAGAAAAGAGCAAAACGGCAAGAAAGCAGTCATTTGGAACTCATTCCACTTTTCTATGATTCTCTTATTACATCTGGTCCTCAAACTTCTTATTTATTTTTTTTTCTCTCTCTCTCTCGTTTTTTTTTTTGAAACTACAAACCTTTCACAACTTACCCAATTTCACCAGAACGTGATTCCATCCTTTCAACTTTTATATCCGATATAATTTCTATATATCGCTTTTTATTTATTTTTGTGTGAGTTTCTCTGCTATCATCAATTGATCATTTTTGAGAAATCATCAAAGAAAAATTGCAAAAAAATTGTAAATACATGATAATAAAGAAATAAATTAGTAAGTAAATAAATAAGTAAATAAGTAAATAAATAAATAAGTAAATAATTAAATAAATAAATATTATATTAAAGGAATAATATATTATAATATTATTATTATAATAAATAAATAAATAAATAAAAACAGTAACAGTGAAAGTATTTAAAAATACGGACTTTACGATTTGCGCAAAACTTCGTGGGATTATAGTTCTATATAAGAGACTTCTTTCCCCCAACATTTTTAAAAAAAAATTCAAAATTGTTGAAGATACGCCATTTTGAATTTTAATATTAATTTTATAAAATTTTGAATATCTCGGAATATTTTTTATGGATTTTTATAAAATTTTACACCTTTTTCAGGTAAAAGTATTTACTCAAAAATGCAAATAAAGTTAATAAAAAAATTAATTTTTAAATAAAAAAATAAAAAAAAATTTTTTTAAACAATTTTTTGTTTATTTACTCCTCTCTGAGAAAAATGTTATTAACATATTTGGATTCCTTATGAATTCACCTTTAATTTCATAAAAATAAATTGATGGAGACTCAACTGTTATAATAACATTTTTCTCAGAAAAGAGTAAATAAACAAAAAATTTTTTTATTTAAAAATTAATTTTTTTTATTAACTTTATTTGCATTTTTATCCATCCATAAAATATATTTCGAGATATTCAAAAAAATTAATATTAAAATTCAAAATGGCGTATCTTCAACAATTTTGAATTTTTTTTGAAAAAATTTGGGGGAAAAAAGTCTCTTATATAGAACTATACTACCACGAAATTTTCCGAAAATCAGCAGAACCTTTGCAAATCGTGATATTTCTGACGTGAAATGCCTCAAGTGCAATTTTTTATCACTTTATTTAAAATTGTTTAAAAAATAATTTAAAATCTGCGATAATTTTTGTTATTTATGAAAATAATTGAATTTTTTGTGCCCGTAAACATATACAAAATAAAAATTCTTACAACGATTTTTATTAAAAATATTTTTAAAGAACTGAATTCCTGTGAAGAATTTTATTTGTGAAAATAATTGAATTCCAGAAAAAAATGTTATTATTTATAAAAATAATTAATTTGAATTATTTCGAGAAACTTTCTTTTGGAAAATTATATTAAAATATTAGATATTAAAAATTTTAAAAATAATTGAAATTTTGCTAAGAATTTTATTAAATTTTTTATAAATTAAATATAATATATAAAATTATATATATTATATATAATTTTATATATATATATATATATTATATATTATATATATATATATATATATATATATTATTTATATTAATTATATATATTTATAATTATATAAATTATTATATTATTAAATATAATATATAATTAAAAATAAATTTTTTATAAATTTTTTATAAATTTTTTGAAAATAATTGAATTTTGAAGAAGAATTTTATTATTTATAAAGATAACTGAAATTTTTACGAGAATTTTTAAAAAATTTTGAATTGAATTTATGCAAAAAAATTTATAACTTTTGAAAATAATTGAATTTCTGTAATAAGTTGTTCTTAAAATTTTCTACATTAATTTAAATTCATTAAAAATTGAAATTTTCTAAAATTTCAAATTCAAACCTTTGAAGTTCATCTATTTATGAAGATTGTAAACGCAACTCTTTTGAAATCCAATTAATTTTTAATTTTTTAAGTAAAATTATTCATTATATAATTTATAAGTAATAATTTTATGATAGTTCTTTAAGAATTAAGTTATTTAAAAAGAAATTATTGTTAGAAATAGAAAAAATTGAAGGGTTTGTATTAGAATTCTTGTCAATTGCATAGTTTATATGAGTCAAACAAAAAAACACCAAAATTCAGAATTTTCTTATAAATTCTAAAAATTTAATTTTTTCCGGTAGTTTTAATAAAAATCCCTGACTTTTCCCTGAATGGGCTGCCTTTAATGACTTGTGGCAACCCTGAAAAATTGACTAGAATTCGCTTAAGCGAATTGTACTCAATTTTTCTTCACTGACATTTATGCGGATAAAATAAAATTTTTTTTGAACAATATCTGTTGTATATGTAACTATGGATAGTGAAATTACCACAGTAAGAGAGGCAATTTTCATTCGTTGATCGGCGCATATATGTGTATTAGAATATTAGGTAGAGGATAATTTTGGCACGTCCCACGCGATACACAAATGCTCACGTACCATGCCGTGTAGTTCTTAGTTCTGTCTCGAAATCGTTCACGACATAACTAAACGGAAGTCATTCGAAAATATTGCCGTTCATTTCTAATCATCTCACGCTTCGAACTTTTAAACAAAAATTCCAATTTTTAACGTTTAACAAAAAAAAAAAAAAAGAAAAAACAACAAAACTAAATTACTCTTCTTCAATCACCATCATCAATACAATACAATATCGCGAAAAATTGACAAAAACTTCTTTTCTTTTATTCATCGCGTCTAGAGTTCTTTTCTCTTAAAAATTTTTTACCGTAAGATACAAATTACAATTAATCAATTAATCGCAATAAATTACTTACAATTACTTATTAATAATTGATATTATATCTATTATAATAAATAATAATAATATTAATAAATAATAACAGTGAAAAATTAATAAATATTCATAAAAATAATAAAAATAGTAATAATAATGATCATAATAATAACAATAAGAATAATAAATAATAATAGTAATATTAATAATAATAATAATAATAATAATATTAATAATAATAATAATAATAATAATAGTAATAATAATAATAATAATAATAATAATAATAATAATAATAATAATAATAATAATAATAATAATAATAATAATAAAAATAATGAATATTTATAGTTTTATTTAATATTTAATTTATTATACTCGAAAACTAACGCCGAATTATATTTTTCTATTAATCAATTAATAAAATACAATTTTCCCTTTACTCCTTAATGTTAAAAAATTTTTTTTTTAATATTTTAAAAGATAATATCTTTTATTTATTAAAATATTTTATTCATTAAAAAAACATATTAAAAAATAGTATATTAAAAAATTATAAAAATATTACGGAAAATATTAAAAGAAGGAATTTTTGGAAAAAATTGAATCAGCTATGAAAATTACTTTTTCTCTGTTAAATAAGAAAAGTAAATTTTTTATTAAGTGAAAAAAAAATTTCGGTTGTGTAAGAAAAAAAAAATTGTGAAATAGATTTTTAATTTAAAAGTGAATTATAGTAGGAATTCTAATTGTTTTTCTTCTTCTGCAGTGAAAAATAAAGAATGGAAATTGTGTAAAATAGTTTATTTAAGGTGAATTTGTGATAAATAGGAAAATAAATGAGAAAACTAAACACTATGTGTAAGATGTCTATTGCCTCGGTATTTGACAGATTTATAGTTCATGAATAGCGTTCGTTTCAGCAAAACTTAAATATTCAGTATATTTTTAGAAATTGGTGAAAATCTAAATTTATCCGAAAACAAAAATAATAAAACAGTTATAACAATATGTATTGGAAAAACATTAGAAAAAAAAGAACATTAATTTCTTGTAATTGTTGAATTTAAAACAAATTATAATTTTTTCAATTTGAGTAAATTACAATATAATTTTTCCATTTTATTTTATTTTATTTATTTCTGTAAATTTTTAGTTCTTTGTCAATAATCAAATAATTCCTTTTTTTTTCTTTAATACAAAATATTGATTTTAAAAAATTATGTTAATTACAAAAAAGAAATAATTTTGTTTTATTAATTATTATTATTTCTTTAGTTTTTTTATTCAACAATATTTTTTAACTGTTCTTTTTATTTATTAAAAATACATTTATGAAAAAAGTTCAACAATAAAACAGTACAAAATTCTATTTTATTTTTTAATTAATAATATAGTGTCATTTATTTAATAGGTATATAAATATTTTATGTTTACTATTTATTTACTTATTTAATGTAGACGGTAATTAAATAATAAATAATTATTTATTAAAAAATGTTATTAGTTTAATTAATAAATTATATACCTATTTAATTATAATAAGTTGATAATTATAATTTTCCTAATGTTCTACGTAATAAATCTTCTTTTATAAAATTTCAATTCTGTGGTCTTGTTTAGTGACGCCACCGCTAGGTGTCTTCTGCCATTTTATATATTTTTTCTTCACTAAAAAATCAGTCTCTATATTTTTTAATTATATTTCTAAAAAGAATTTTAATTATTACTGAATCCACTTTAGAGGAAAAAATTTACAAATTTTGTTTCTTTTTAGCTCAGGTAAAAGCAATTTTACTTCGCTGACGCCACCGCTAGATGGTGTTTCTCTTGCTTCAAAATTTAACATTTTTTGTTTTAACTTTATTGGCTATATTGTTTTTCTTAATTTTTTAAATTTAATTACTTTTTTCTAAATAAAATTCATTTCACTTTAGTATATTTAATTTAATAAAATAAATGAAATGTTTCATTGGTAACATAATTAAATGATTATTACTGCATTTGTTGTAGATAATAATAGAGAGAATAATAATAAATTAATAATTACTATTTGCCTAACACTGTAAAAAAAGGTTCTAAATTAGAGCTGATTTTGGTATTAGAGTAGAACCAAATTACGATTTAGTACCAAAATTCGTACTAAATTAGTACTTTTATTTTTACAGTGAAAGTTTCATGCAGTTAATGTTCTTTTCCAAAATTGTAATTCTGTGATTTAGTTCAGTGACACCATCGCTAGGTGCTACCTTTTATATTTTACAATGTTTTTGTTTCATTAAAAAAATAAGTGTCTTTAAATTATATTTGTATAAAAGAATATATTAATTTTATTGAATCTGTTTTTGGGGGAGGGGGGGAATTTACAAATATTCTTTGACGTAAAATTATATTTATTTCTAATTCAGTTCAAGTAATTTTACTTCAGTGACGCCACCGCTAGATGGTGTTTCTCCTGCCCCAAAAATCACCATTCTGCTTTCTCATAGATAATTGTATTTTTTTTTATTATTATTTATATTGTTTTTATTAATTTTATAAATAAAATTAAAAATATAAACAATTCTTTATACATATACAAATATAAATAAATAAATACAAATATGTAAAAAATAATAAAAATAAATAGAAGGAACTCTAAAAATCGAGAAAAAATAGACATTTTTTGGTAAACTATTTTTAAACGTGTCACGAAAGGAAAGTGTTGTGAAGCAAAAAAAAAAAAAAGAAGAAAAACTTTATAAGTTGATCTATGCGATATGAATGGAAAAATTCAAATCGAAACGGGATGTGTGATCGTTATTTAAATTTTTTTTCCTCAAACTCGAACGACTACGACGACGTCGACAATATATAAAAAAAAGAAAAAAAAATGCCACCACCTCGACTTGATGCAGTTGATTCGATGGATGTGGAAAAGCCGTCGAGGTGTTTGAGATTCCTACGTCTACTATGGAAATTTTGCAAGTGCGTTTTCTCCCATGTGAGCCTGGTATCACTCGTGGTCGCCTATTGCGTTTTGGGAGCCCACGCTTTCGTACTTCTTGAAGCAACCCATGAGAAAGATGTAAATATATCTATATCTATCCTTTTCTCTCTCTAACAAATATATCCATCCTTCTCTCTTTCTCTCTCTCTGTAACACGAATTCGAAATATGTCTATATATACTAAATCCCCTTAGAGCCTTCAGGCAATACTATATGTGCGGTGAACTTACAACAACCTTTTGCACAATACCAACTTAAAAAGCTTCTCAATACACAACTTACTCTTGACTTCACTATATAACTGACAATAAACACATGTAGAACTGTTTTACTCCGAAAAGGAGTTTCATTTCGTTTTTCATCAAAGAGGGAAATGCTAACACTGAATTTTCGAATCCCAGGAGTGTTATTCGTTTTTGTCTTTGCAAACTAGAAACTATCGTGTCGATTTTAAGGACTGTGCGGTTACAATTCTCTTTTTATTTAGAGGAACAGCATTTATTACGAAAAAAAATTTTATTTAAAAATACTATTTAGTAAACTTTTTCCCAGTCGATATAGAACTATTTCGGTTCTTTTTTAGTCAGAAATTAATATTTTCTAGTCAGTAATTGATCCCCTTGATTCTTTTGCCCCTAGGTGTTTTATTCTAGAAATTCCAGTCTGCGCTTGTGAGAGAAAATGCGCCATCTGTACATCGAAACGAAACTGCGCATGCGCAACTTCACATTCACAAAAGCGCGCGCTTATTTAAATCGATTTCGATTAAAATTTGTACTTTTCGCAAAAATAAAGAATAAAAAAAACTTTTAAACCAAAAGAAAAAAAAGGATAAATTGAAAAATAAATAAATTGATAAAGTAGGAACATTGATTTTAGTTACAAAAAAATGGCAAATTCAAAAATGGTAGTTACCTCGGTAGTTACATATAGTACGGATTCAACAGTAATTTCTATGGTAGTTATTCTCTCTCTCTCTACTCACTATTTTTACGGATTTTTTTCTTCCCTTTTTTTGCGTCATCATTTTTTCCTTTTTATGTTCTTTAACACACCTGAAAGCAAAAACCCATAAATATCTGAATAACCGGAACAAATTCCAATTCTATATGAACTGCTTCACAAGTCTGCTTGCGCCTTTTTCCTCTTGACGAATGAATCTCCACGTTCATGTTTATTCTGCAAATATTTTTCACACTTGTTGTTTTTTTTACTCTTTTTTTTTGCTCTTCATATTTACAACTTGTATGAAAAACAATTTTCAATGTATATTGTTGTATAGAAAATTTGGACTCTATTTAATTTTTTCCATAAACATTATAATATAAATATACAATATATATGAATAGAAATTTTATTTTAAATACAGAATATCAGAAAATTGGAACAAAAAAAATTATTTTTCATTTTGATATTTTTTCGTTTTTTGCAAAACTTGAATAGAAAATTTTTAATTAAAAGTAAATAAATAGTATATTTATTCTTTTGTATTTTTATTCATTGTTTTAATTTTCATACTGGAAAGTAAAACGAAAATTTCTTCCGCATACAGATGAATATAAAAATATATGTACTTTAGGTATATATATAGAGTATCGACAATGTTTTATTATTTTTTTTTTCATTTTAACTGCAATATGTATGAAACTCAGATTTTTCTAATAATTTCAAAGATAATCCCTTGAAATCCCTGGGGTATGTTTCAGAAATATCGCGACTTTTCAGTTTTATCTGTACGCTATCGTTAAAAGATAGAAAATGAATACATTTCCTTTCATTTATTAAAACTTTTAATAAACGAATAATAAATAATACCTAATAATTAAAAATAGTAATAATAATAATAAAAATAAGAATAATAATAGAAAAAAAGTCCCTTTATAATTATGTATTTTTTATTTTATTATATCATTATTATATAATATAATGATATAAATATTTCATTGCTTAATATGTAAATATATAAATAAATAATATTAAATCTTTTTTTCAAATTAATATTTAAACTTAATATTAAATCACTTTTTTATACTTAATTTATGATTCCAGGGAGTTTTTCTATTACCCTCAAAATAAGTCCTTTTTTATTTTTATAGAAAAGAAAATTTAATTTTCTTTGAATCCAGGTGGATGGTAAAAATTTAAATAATAAATTATTTGTACTTACTTAATTGTATCATTTTTGTATTTAGATGCAAGTAATTGTAGTTCAATGACACCACCACTATAGATGATGCTAACTTTTTAAGTAAAATTTTTTCAATTGATCAAAAAATAATTCTCCTAGGTACATTACTTTGCGGAAAAGAATTTGAATTTTCCAAGAAGTTATTTAGCAGATAAAGATTTAAAAACTGAAATTTCTTTTTGTTTCTTCGTTTGGTAGAAGTAATTTTACTTCAGTGATGCCACCGTTAGATGGCGTTTTTCTTTAACCAAAAATAAATCTTTTTTCAACACTAGATGATCCTATCTTTCGAAATAAAACATTTTCTATTAATCAAAAAATAAGTTCTTTACATTTATTTTGGAAAATATTATAAATGTATAAATAAAAATATAAATAAATATTAACAAATACAACTATAGAGGCCCATGAGCTTATCGAGATTTATTTAAGATATTTAATTTATTTGTGTAGATTGATTCGGGAAAATTGTTAACTTCTTTCAAATTTAATATTTAATCACCGAATGATAAATTCACTTCCTTCAAATACTACTATACTTAATAATTATTCTAATAATTTGTATTTTTTTTTTATTGTTTATACTCCTGCCCTATTGGCCTTACGCACTTCGACAAGAGTCCCCGAGAAATACTTTTTTTGGATTAAGCATAACCATTCTACATAAATTTTCTATATATTAACCTAATTTGCGTCTACAGCCGACTTTTATTAGGAGTACTCGCATTGCGCCTGGACCACCCGTCAATGGGTTTTCTCGCCAGAGAAGAGGGAAACTGTAGAAAACCTCTCTGAGTACAACCGGTTTATCGACAGTCGAGTTCTAATGGTGTGTACCGGACAATAATCGACGGTGCACATCATTATACCTCGACGTCAAACCTCCCGCTCAGATTGTCTCACGTGCCGGAAAAATACCAAGCCAAATGGGCGCGAACCAAGGGTACTTATACCCTTGGTCCTTAAACGACCACCAACGCCAGGCACCTATCCGACTGAGCTAATCCGTCGGTTAATTTGTATTTAACTTTATCATTCTTTTTCACATTATTATTCATTTATTCATTATAATTATTTAATCCCTGTTTTCTATAAAAAGAGGAAATAAATAAATAAATGAAACAAAAATAAAATTTACTAGAATGGAAAAACTATGAAAAAAAATTAGGAGAATTAAATATTAATTAAAAATAATAAAACAAAAGTGCAGCGTTAAAATTTTGATTAATGTTGAAGTTTATTTGAATTTTATATACATACATATATGTGTGTGCAGGAGAGAGAGAGAGAGAGAGAGAGAGAGAGAGAGAGAGAGAGAAAAGGCCATCAATTTTGATGGAAATAAACATCAATTGGAGAATCGCGTCAACTTTTCCAACAGCTGGGATAGATATTTTCAATTAATGTATCTTTAGGCGGTTTATAGATCCAGTGAAACTTGTTTGTTATAATTTGAGCACCGCTTTTATCCAATTTAAGCTGTTTATCTTCGTTATTTTCGTCGATTTCAAGCATGTAGATACAGTTTAGTGTATATCGATCGTTTGACCAATTCCGAGGTATACATATATAAACAATATAGGTACATCTAAACATATATATAGTAGTACATAGTATATATTTCGTATATATATAGTATATTATATAATATATAAATGTATTAATATAGTATATATATACAAATTTATATATATATATATATATATATATATAAATGTATATATTTACACACAAAACGTATCGATTACACGATTTATGCACGCTTTGTTGATTAATGTATGCATTATTGAGAAAGACCCATATCCAATTAATAATATCATACATACAATATTCCATTGTTGATTTATTCATTTTCACAAATTATTAACTACCGGTATTTATTCAATAACAGAAAATAAATTGCAAACTCTTGGAAGCATTAGTTTATAAATTGATTAATTAATTAAAACTGGTACTAATGCTTTTGAAAAATAATGTCGCTCTATTTAATTTTGTCGAAAGTTTTGTTTCCATTTTAGATAAATCAATTCTGTTGATTTTGACACGTTAATGCACTTTTTTATTTTTTAATTGTCACTTTTAATTATTTATGAATTCTTTTTTTACTTTGTTAACTTTAATATTTATTTATTTACTTATTATTTTATTTATTAAAGTATTATTTTTCTTCTTATTTTAACTATCTTTTATATTTATTTTTTATTATTTTTTCAATTATTAATTTATTTTTATTTATTTACTTAATCCGAAAGGGCTTAATATTTCTTATTTCATTTTATTCATGTTTATTTATTTAAATAATTTCTTATTATTTTATTTTTACTTAATTATGTTCCTTTCGTGGTTTGGTAAGAATGCTTTTAATTCAGTGACGCCACCGCCAGGTGGTGTTTCTCTTAGTCCGAAAATACACTCCCTTCATTTATTTTTAGAAAAAGAATTTTAATATTTATTTAATCTGCTTTTTCATTAAGAATTTAATCATAACAATTCTTATGATATATAATTTATATTTATATTTCCTTGTAAACGCAATTTTATTTCAGTGACGCCACCGCTAGATGGCGTTTATTTAAATCTATATATCTATTATATTTTATCTCTTTCATTCATTTTTAGAAAGAGAAATTTAATTTTTGTCCTACCTGCACGGAAAGTATGTCATTTCGGGCACTTAAGGCGGGCGCAAAGTAACACATTACGCCCGGGAGTGGGGGAAGCGGGCGGAAAAGTATTTTGCGCCCGCTTGTTAATTATTCGATTTTCTTTATTAAAATGCGACATTTTCGACTTTCTTTTTATGTTGACTATAGAACTGCAAACATTTTCAACTTGTTTTATTTTGTCTATAAAAGTTTGCAATTTTTTTTTATTTTCTCCAAAAAAAATAATGAGACATTTGGTTTTGTTCCCATTTCGTTTATCAAAATTGTCAATTTTAAAAGTTCTTGTTTCAGTTTTGTTCAATTATTAATTACTACGTTCTAAATAAATACTATGTTTCCAGAATACATTGTTTTTATATTTCTATTTTAAAACTTCTATCATTATAGACTTCATTCGATATAATGTTTATATAGAGCTTAATTTTTAACTAATATGAGCGTTTAATCGTGCGTGCCCTCAATGCCATACTTTCCATGCAGTTAGGACAAAAAATTATGTTCGCATCATGGGCGCAAAGGTGATTCCGACTTTGGCGAAATTTCGGGACCTCGTGGACACTTTCGCTTCCTCGGCTTCGCCTCGGGCGCGAAATTGTGTCCCCTCGGTTCCTTCATTTCGCCATCGTCGCAATCACCTATTTTGCGCCCTTGTTACGAAAATAACTATTTCGAAGAATCCACTTCTTCTGGGAAACAAATTTTATGATACATTATTTATATTTATTTCTTTTTCTTTATGGTTTAATGAAAACAAATTTAGTTCAGAAAAGCCATCGTTAGGTGGTGCTTATATTAAACCAAAAATAAATATCTTTAATTTACTTTTTGAAAAAGAATTCTAACTGTAGATAAATTTACTTTTCTTGAAGAGAAGGAGAAAAACTTAATTATACTTCTTGTAGTTTGGCAAAAGCAATTTTACTTCAGTGACGCCACCGCCAGATGGCCAAAAATAGTAATTAAATTGATCCTTTATTTATTCTTTAATGAATTTATTTACATTATTTTATTTTTGTACCTATTATTTATTTTTGTATCTATTATTTATTTTACTATTTCTTTATTTATTTAAATAAATAATTATTCCATAAATAAAAAAATTCAAATGAATAAGTATTATCAAAAATTAATAAATAATAGTTTCTTAAATAGGTGATCCAATATTAGATCTAATATAAGAAAAATCTCAGCACAAAGAAATTAAATTTTTTATCAAACATGAAATGTGTTTTACTCCAATTTAATAAATTTACTATATTGAAAAAAAGAAATGAAGCCATGAAATTATTGAAAGAGAGAGAGAAAGAGTTAGCTACTTAATTGAAAAAAATGTCGAACGAAAGAAAAAGTAGTAGAAGAAGAAGGAAGAAGAGAAAAGAAGAAAAAAGTAATGCACTTAGAAATATGATCCTGTGATTTTTCTTAATTGCAAAAGTCCTTTGGCTTGTTATTCAATCTCTCCAAACCGTGCTTTTCTTGCGTTCAGGGATAATAATAATCGAGATACTTGAAAAGCTCGACTGCTTCCTTCACTCACTCTCTCTCTCTCCAACAGCATGAAAAGTGTCATACGTTCAAGACGTGTTTTTTGTCAGGTTAAAGAGAGCATTAAACATCTTCGAGGAAATATGACGCAAAAGCTGTGGAAAATGACGTTGGACTCAAAGGTGTTAATGGAAGAGAATTGGACGATCGGAGCCATGGATAAGCTCAAGGTAAATGGAACTTTTCTTCATTTTCTTTAGTACTTTTTTTTTGCTTAATTTTTTTTTTTCTCTTGCTCACTGCTTAAATAAGTCTCGTTCTTTCATCTTGGATGAAATTTTAATTGCATCCGGAATTATGATCGTTCGCAGATCTTTGAGACGAACCTGCTAAAGAAAATGAAAGAGGAGGGCTGGGATGGAAATGAGGAGGTGAATAATGTTCAGTGGACATTTGCTGGAGCACTATTTTACTCCATCATTGTTATTACTACCATTGGTGAGTATTCCCGTTGTACATTTCTCTAACATACGTATTTATGGTATATATGTGTCATCATTTATTTCACGTCCCTAAATATTACTCCCTTTGTGTGTATATGTATAGATAGACACATTTGTCCTTATCGTGTATTTCAATATCAAACTTTTGTTTATGCATCGATATTTTCACGTTGAGATGATTTTTTCTTTTTCATTTGGGATTTCAATTTCGAACCTTTTTGTCTCGAAAATGTTTGATGGAAAATTGCGCAGAGAAGGCGAAAAAAAATTAACTAAAATGAAAAATAAACATAGAGAATATTAACTTTTTGATTTTATTAAAAAATTGTGTAATATCATTGTTGAAAAACAAATATAAGTAGTTTAGGAGTGTTTTAGTTCAGTGACGCCAGCGTCAGATGGCGTTCCTTTTGATCCTAGAATAAGCCTCTTTAATTTATTTTTAGAAAAAGAATTTTAATTTCTTTGAAATCTTTTTTTAAATTCGTGTATTTAATATTAAATTACTTATTTATACATGGTAACATTTTTTGTAGTTTGTATTGAAAAAAAATAATAAATATTATTTGTACATAATTGTATTTCTTTGTATTTAGATTGTATTTAGATGCAAGTAATTCAATGACGCCACCACTAGATGGTGCTAAATTTTGAAGTAAATTTCAATTGATCAAAAAATAATTCCCTTACATTATTTTTCGAAAAAGAATTTGAATTTTCCAAGAAGTTATTTAGCAGATAAAGATTTAAAAGCTGAAATTTCTTTTTGTTTCTTCGTTTGGTGGAAGTAATTTTACTTCAGTGACGCCACCGCTAGATGGTGCCCCTTCTCTAATTTTCTTTTCACGATAATATTTTTTTTCTTTTTGAATAAAATTAATTTCAGAATAAAAAATTAATTCTTTCCTTTTTGAAAGGAAATATTGGCTAATAAAAGGTAAAAGATTTATTTTCGAAATAAAACAAGAAGCACCAATTTAATTTTAATTCTCAATAGACTTTTTCGTCGCGCTTGCGTCATCTTTTAGTGGATCTTTATTTGCAGAACGTGAATAAAAATCACCTTCGTCGTGGTGAAGGTTGAAAGGTCGTTGATTTTCGTATCTGTCGGGTCCGTATGGCCTCCCGCCATATGGTCGGCCATAATTAATATCATCTGGACGATAATGTCCGCTTAGATGACCCAGGTAATCACCATGGAAATTGCCTTGAGGTCTACCGTAATAATTCGGTGGCAAAAAGTTCACTGGCCCGAAGTTTGGTCTTATCTAAAAAAAAGCAATTCCAAAATCCACCAAATCTCCATATTTCTCTTATTAGAATTTTTATTCATATCTCAATTATCTGCAATTAATTTTGACAATATAAAGAGAAAGAATTCGTTTATTTTTAAAAACTTAAATTCAGATCAATTTTGAATTGGAAAATTAATTCAGAAATAGGAAAATTAATTCAGAAATATAGGAAAATTAATCCAATAATAGAAAAATTAAATTAAAGTATTTGAAATTAAATATTAAATTCGCCAATAGAATTAATATTTTCAGGAATAGTAAAGAAATAATATAGACAAATAAATATTTGCCTAATTTATCAAAATATTAATTACACGAAGAAAAGAAAACAAAATTTTCTCTGAGAAAAATTCTGTTATGAAAAATGAGATTTAAAAACCTTTGAGATTGGCAAAGAGTAGAAGAAATAATATTTGAGCTTGTTTAAGAAAAAAAAATTCATTTAGCAAAGGGGAATATTTATTATTGCATAAAACTTGTGGATTGCTTTTAAAAAAGATTGTTGTTATATAAGACAAAAAGAAATGAATGAATAAATGTTAATAGAAGCTTTAAAAAAATCTTTCTTCTTGGCATTTTATTATAAAACATGAGTTGTTATTTTTTCCATTTATTATTATTTATCATTTCTTATTAGTTATTATTCTTTTTAACTTTCATTTTTTAATTTTTAACTTATTGAAGTATTTCCAGCAGTTTTATTATTGATAAAACAAAATAAAAAAGGAGAAGAGATAAAAGTCCGAAAAATCACCAATGACTAAAATTGGTTGTAAAATTTACATAAAATTTGTTCGGTTTTTTTCGATATAATATTCATTTTTCTTTTGAGAAAAGAACACTTTGTAGTTATAGGGGATGATGCTTTGCTGTTTTTTTTTTGAGCGCGAAGGAGAAAAAAAGGAAGAGATAAAAAGGGTGTAGTGAAAGGGACAGGGGAGGAGAGGGGAGGAAATAAAAAAGAATGAAGTAAAATATCAAGTCAGCTTAATATGCCAAGAAGATAAATCTGGTGTTGCTGAATCTAAAGCATATAGTAAATTGCAGCCTATAAGCATATAAGCTTATAAGTCTCTTCAGTCACACTCACCGGATAAGACGCGTGGGAGCCATGACTGGGATTTCCTGCAGGCGTTAGACCAGGAAACTTGTTGCTATTGTAACAGCAGTATCGCTTACCTTTCGAGCAAGTGCCCTAGAGACGTAAAACAGTCTCATATATTTCGTGCATTTTTCACTCAAAATTTGAATCACTAAATTTATCGTTTATAAACCCATGGGACATGTCCCGAATTTTCACTCCTCCGCGAATTCCACAATATTTTTGAAACTGGGCATTTATATCTCTTGCTTCTAAATTGTTCATTTTGTTAGTAGTTTGTCAGTACTATTTTTAATTGTACTAATCATTTTTTTGATACAAAATTTATTTGGAATCGTCACAATCGTCAAAAAAATAATAAAAAAGAAAAAAAATAATATTCTTAATTCGAAAAAGTATTTGTAATCATCACAATCGAAATAGTGTCTTGTTAATCTAAATTCATCAAAAGCTAAAAAAGAATACAAAAGAAGAAAAATAATATTCTTAATACAAATATTATTTGTAATCATCACAATCGAAATAGTGTTTTGTTCTAAAACCACCAAAAGTTCAAAACGAATACAAAGATAAATATCGACTTCCTTGTCAATTTTCTAAATAAATATGAATTCAATTACTTGTATTCATCATTTGAAAACAAAAGAACGAAATGAATTTATTCATTATTTATTTTCCTACACAATTACTAAATTCAAAAAGGAAAGAAAATTTTTATGATAGTGTCAGTGTGGTAAATATTTGTTTTTTCCATTTTGGTGCTGAAATTATTATTAATGTGTAGATTTATGATGTAACATTAATGTTGAATTCGAGAGCTTACGAGAAGTTATTAAAGAAATAATTTCGTTCAATGAGAAATCCATTTGGAATCTCGCAGTGGGGTCACGTAATAGATTGTCAGTATAAGCTGGATGCCGATATCATTTAGACATTAGAACGCGATTCGACCCAGAATTCCCAGACAGAAACATGCTTTATTTAAAAAAAAGGGGGGGAAAATGAAAAAAAAGTGTAAAAAAATGAAAAAAAGTATCAAAGAAAAATATTGATGAAAAAAACTCACGAAATTCAAACCAGTCGAGGGGCAGTTGAAACTGTAGCTGCATTTACAAATTTCAAATTGTCGATATCGGAAATCTTCGGGTCCCAGTAAATCCTCCCTTCCGCCACTTGGTCTGAAACACAATTTTTTTTATTAATATTACATTATATTTTAATATTTCTTTTTCTAATTAATTTTCAAGCATTATTTTTATGAGGATTTTCCCTAATTAATTTTTTATTCTTTTCTTATATAATTCATTTTCATAATATTATTATTTTTGAATAATTTTTAAATAATGATAATTTCAGCACCAATTATTATTTTTAATAATTGTATATTAATTATTTTCAATAATAACGTTACTTTTTGTAGCGTTATTATATCAATAATGGTCATAAAAATAATTTGTAATCATTACAATCGAAATTCATTAAGAATATTATATAAATAATTAAACGAATAATTATTTAAATATAGTAATTTTAAACTATTGCATTTACTTTTCGGGTAATTATACCTATTAACAATTCCGGTTGGTCCACCGGGTCCCACCAAAACTTCCTCTCGATTTGGACCAACAAGAGGTTGTCTTATGGGTCCATTTCCATGACCGAAAGACCCTCCGAACTGTGGTCTGTATTCATTAAATGGGTTGTTTCCAAAATTGGAATTTAGATTGTAGTCATTTGCTATAAACCTATATTTGGGGGAAATTAAAACAATTACTTTTTTCTTATTTTTCTAAAATTTCCAAAAATTGTACAGAAAAAGAATAAAAACAAAATATAATTAAAGTATTAGAATTTAATGTAACTTTTATTTAATTCTTTTCATAAATCCGTGTACAAAAAAATATTAAAAGTACATTATTATTATTATAATATTATTGAAACTCTCCAACAGAGTTAGTCCCCCCTTTTTTTCATAGTTCTAATTAATTGTTTAATTAATATTACCTACTATTATTATTTTTAATATTTTTTTAAAACAGCATAAATAATAAAACAAAACTAAATAATTAAACTATTTAAATTTATTAAATTATTTATTTAATTTTGCATCAGTTAAAAAGAATTTTTACAAAAACTAAATTCACCATTAATTAAAAAATAATGAAAATATCGAAAGAAAAACAAAATGAAAATGTAATTAATGAGAGTAGAGATTGTGTTTGGAAAAGCTTGAGCGGAAGTTTTAAGGAGAAAGTTAAGCTGTCAATTGACGTGTTTCTCGTATGTGCGTTTTTTCTTTTTTATTCCTTCTTTTTTTTGGGGCCCCCGTCAGTTGACATGTTTTCATTTTTAAAAAAGTTGTTTGAAAGAAAAAGTAGTGAAAAAAAAATGACGAAAAAACAAAAACAAAAAAAAAACGCAACTAAGAGCTTAGATGTTTTCTCGGGAGAAAAGCACCCTGAGTGGACCAAAAGCGGAAACTGTAAGAGTGCTCACCTCGCTCTCTTTTCATCTCGATTTCTTGGTTCACCGTCGTCATCGTCGTTGTCGTTGCCGTTGCCGTCGTTCCAAACCCATTTGTTTTCATCAGGCAGGGCGATGGTAAATGCGATAGCGGTGAAAAATAAAGCAATGCTGATACTACACATTTTTTTCTCTTTTGCTCTACACGTGCACCTGACGAAAAAATGGCCTTATAAAAATTGTTGACAATGAATCGTGGGGTTAAAAATTAAGCAAGGAGTCACTCTATCTTTTTTTTCCACTTTCTTTACCTATATGAATATATTTTCACTCTAGGGAGATGAAAATTGAATTAAAGGAAGCAAAAAAATTTTATACCCTGGGAAAAATTGTCACTGGAATTTTCTTCTTTTTCTTCTTCTTCTTCTTTGTTTTTTTCTGCTATTTTCTTCTCTTTTGTTTTTCTTTTTGGTCGATTTTCTTCTTCTCCTTCACTTTGTCATTCAGATTTAATTTTCTTGAAAGATACGAGGAAATTAATACCGATTAATTTTTTTAATTTAAATTAAATAATACTGATCACTTTGTTATTAAAAATTTACTATGTACTTGTATTTTTATATTATCAATAATTATTAAAATCCTTCAGTTTTTTTGTTGTTTATTATCTTTCACTATTTTTTGATAACAATTTTTAAAAATGTATTATCCACCTTATTTTTTATTTTTAATTGTTATTAAAAACTTTTGGTTTTCTAAAAGTTTTTTCTATTTTCCACTATATTTTTTTATAATAATTCTCCAATTGTTTAACAATTTTTGAAATCGTTAAAGTTATTATTTGCTTTCTTAAGAATTTGTTACTTTTTTCTTTAGTAATATGTATTGTAATTTAATTCACTCTTTTTATTTATTTTATTTATTATATTTATTTACTCTTCTATTATTCATTTATTTTATTATATTTATTTACTCTTTTATTATTTATTTCTTTTATTTGTTTACTTTTTTAAATTATCTACTTTCTTTAATTTTTGTTTTAGTCCTGTACTTATTATTTTTTAGTTTTGTATTTTATTTTCTAATAAATTTTTTGAAGTTTCGTGTTCAATTATCCATTTAATTTTTTTTCGATTCGTATTTAATTTTCTATTTAATATTTTTAATTTTCCATTTAATTTGTTTTCCGTTTCGTATTTAATTTCCCATTTAATTTTCCGTTTCAATTTTTGTTATAGTTTCGTATTCATTTTTTAGTTTCGTGTACAATTTTCTGTTTAATTTCTTGTTAATTTCATATTTAATTTTCCATTTAGTTCTTAGTCCAGTATTTAACTTTTCATTTAATTAAAATTTTATTTCATAAAATAATTTTGATTGTTTGTTAAACAAATAAAAGAATAATTAATTTCAATAAACATGAATAATAAATTAATTTACAAAAAAAACAAAGCAAAAAAAAAAAAAAGAACTGAATAAAAGCGATGAAACAAAAGAGTAATTGTCACGTGACTCTCTCTTTTTTACATAGTTGATCGCTAACAAATCGGCGAAACGCGACTAAATGAAAGTGAAAGCAAATACAGCTTATATATATATCGCCTGCAAAATTGTAGACGATAGCCATTCTCTGTTCAAAAGACCTTCGTAGGCCACTGATTCATTCGCAAATGAACCAAATCGTGAAGGGAAAAAAATTATATTCTTTTAGTCGTTCGGGGATTCCCCGCATGTTTCTTATAAGGTGGACATAAATTTGAAAAATTATAACTTGAGAAAATTGCGAAAAAAAATTATTATGAATAGATAATGAAATCGGAAAAACCAATGGTCTTGGTTCCCTTGAACTCCTTATTGTTGTCAATACATAAATAATAATTTTTGATTGATTAGCAAAAGAGGTAATTTAAAAAACCACAAAAAAAAAATTACTAATTAATAATTAATTAATAATTTTCTACCTACTAATTAATTACTAATTAGTAACTTCGTATCTACTGATTAATTATTAATTAGTAACTTCGTACCTACTAATTAATGATTGTATTAATAATTAAGTAGTAACTTCGTAACTACTAATTAAAAAGTGTATTAAAAAAATAACTAAGTACTAATTGCACTAATTATAAAGTAACTAATTAACTTTTTTACTGCTAATTAAAATACTCAATTTAATTTAAATAATGTAATTCATATACTAATTATTATTAATAATACTAATAATTAATCATTATTAACATTACCACTTTATTAGTAATTATACTAATTATTACTAATACTACTAATTAAGAACTATTCAAATTATTAACAACTTGTAGAATTGTTAAATAATAATTAAAATTAAAATTAGTGATTTAAATTTTTTAATATCATTATATTAATAATTTAAATGAAGTATTTCATTTACGTAAAATTCTAAATAAATAATAATTATTATAATTCACAAAGAAATCATAAATATTCTCGTATAAATTTTCAAGGATTCTCAAATTAAATTTTAAGTTAATTATGTATTACGTTGTTTTCATTATTAATTTTCCATTTAAAGCCCTTGTTCATAGAGAGTGAGTATATATACACGATATGCTAATTTGTTTAAAATGTTTATAATCAATTCTCAACAAATATTGTAATAAGTCATTTTAGTAAATTAATTTTGCAAAATGATAATAATATATTTCTCTTTCAATATATCCTTTTGTTAAATATTTTTTTTAACATTTCAATTTCAGATTCAGTTGTAATTAAATATTTTTAGATATTTTAGTAATTAAATTTTTTCTTTCCAATTCAATGATAATTTTTTTTATTGAATACCTACTTTTTATATTAACTATTTGATTTAAAATCGAGTAATGGTTTATTTAATTAATTAATTTGTTAAATCATTGATAAGAACATTTTTTATTTAAAATTATTATTGTGTTAATACTTTTATTATTATATTATGCCGTTAATAAAGTAAATAAATTAATAAAAAATTTGGTAATTCCTGGTAATAATTTTATTATTTATTTATTTCACTTATTTATAGAGGGGACAGTTATTTAATTAATATTGTCATTTATTGAATAATTTAGGTATTTATTAGCTATTTAAAATTGAATAGTGGTAAATGTAATTAATTAATTTGTTAATTATACTTAATAATTAATTTATTAATTAGTTAAAAATGTTGATTTATTCCTATTTCTGTTAATAATTTAGTAATTTTTTAATTAATATTATTATTGTTACTCATTTGTCATTCATTGAAAAATTTATTTATTAACTATTAAAAATTGAAAAATGATTAATTGAATTGATTTGTTAATTTGTATATTATTTCTACAAAGGGCTTTTTCTGTTAATAAAATAACAAAATAAATAAAAAATTTAACATTATTTCTGTTAATAATTTTATTATTTATGTATTTTATTTATTTATAGACAGGACAATTATTTATTAATTATTGTTGTTATTTATTGAATAATTTTCTAAGTTTAATATTATTTGTGTGAATTATTTATTCTTATTATGTTCAATTAATATATTTATACAAAATTAATTATTGTTTATTAATTTGATTTATTATAATTTATTAAATTGTTTTATTTATTTGTGATTTTTAAGTTGACTTTGAATATTATTAATTTTTTAACATTTATTAATTAACTAGGTATTAATATTATTGATTTTTAAACAAAATTAATAATAAAAATCAGATTAAATGTCTTGCAGCAATACAATAAAATGAAATAAAATAAATTAAAATAAAATAATAGTAATTCGCAAAAAAATGAATGCAATAAAAACGTGTTTAAATTGCAATGAAAGAAAAGACTTTGAATCGTTTGAAGAGTAATGGAAAAAGATAATGAAATTTTTTTCTGAATAAAAATGAATGAAAATTTTTTTTTCCATGAATAGGGTGGGGGAGAGGAGGGGAAGGGGAAGAGGATTAAAAGGAAAATTGTAATAACTGGAGAGAAATATTGCAAGGAGGGACAAAAGTAAAACGTGTGAAGATGACATGTAATGAGAATTCTCCTCTCCCTCGCACTGTTATAACCTCGTTTTATATATATAATACTACTATGTTTTAAAGCCTATATGTACATTTTCTATAACAAAAGATGCGTGACGCGTGACCGACTTTTTGGACGGAATGGTATCGAACATTTCGGATATCCGGTTCCCTTTTCCCCTTTATATATATTCTTTGTTTAGATTGATCTTCTCTTCATTGCATGGGTGCGGTCTGTTTTACGTGTGATATAAATTGGTTTTTCAATTTTCTTTTCCTTTTTTTTATTTTTTGCAAAACTGACATTTATCTATTAACTATAATCATCTATAATATAAATTTTATTGTAAATGTCAAAATAAAAAGGAAAAAATTTTCCATTTCATAAAATATCTTTCACATATTCTTCTAAATCCATTCACTTCAATTTGTCACGCTGAAAAATTTTCTCGAGAGAATTTATCATTGTATTTGTAAATATTCGCATTTTTGTTATTTTTTATCAATATCTTGAAAATTTATATATATTTGAAAATTCTTATTAAAGATGAAATATTATTTACCTATATATATATATTTTATTTGACTCGAAAGAATGATTTTTTCTCACATATATAAATTTCGACCGAGTGATAAATTCTACTTATAATCTATTTTTTTTTAATTGAAAAATAGGAAGGTTTTTATTATTGAAAAGCAGGAATTTTTATTATTGACAAATAGGAATTTTTATTACTGACAAATAGAAATTTTTATTATTGAAAATTGAAAATATTTACTATGCTATTGAAAAAAATAAATAATACTTAAAAATTACATTTATTTTCGAGAAATAAATAATCCCCAGAAGGATATTTTGTTTCGTTAATAATAATTGTAGATAAGTTTTCTATTTTTATTTTGTTTGTTTTTTTTCTCTATTTTTTGAAATAATTCTCATCTACACCGCATTTATTCGCGTGTTCAATATTTATTTCGATTTTATTTTATTGCGCGGAAGTTTTAAATATCGCAATTTTCATTCTTTCAATGAGAATTTCCTCAACCGATAAAAAAAGCGATGATAATAAAAATTAATTTACGGTTCGAAGAAAGTAAATGTGCGCGTCGCTTCTCTATTCTTTATTATATTGTAATATATATATTGTTTATTGATTTTTACCACAAAATTTCCTTTATTTAAATCTCTATTATTTAAATTGTTTTCTGCAAAAATAATTTTCCATTAAATGAACACAATATCAATTTGTAATTATTTTTTATTTCGATATTTACTATATTACTACTTCTACTATTACCATTTAACGAATGAATTAAAATTATCAATTTAATCAATTTTTTTATTTAAAATACTATTTATAATAATTATTATAATAATTACAATACTATTTTCTTGAATCTTTTTTATCTTATGTTCTTTATTAGTTTAACTTTACTTTATTTATTTTATATTAATTTTTTTTGTTTAGTTTTCATTTATTTTTTAATTAACCCTCCTAGGGTTTAATTAAATTGCAGAAATCGGTTAGAAAATGGTTCAATTTTCCCTGCATAGAAAATTTTATACCTCAACATATGCTTTAATAGCTTTCGGGGTCGCTGATTACGAATCCAGTGTCCATTTTTGAAAATTCAAAATGGTGGATTCAAAATGGAAATTTTTTATTTTTAATCAAAAATTTTTTTTTAAATATCCGCTTTATTGGATCCGCCATTTTGAATTTTGAAAATGTGATGCCAGATTCGTTATCAGCGACCCCGAAAACCCCCCGAGTAATGATTTTCATAAGCTGATTTCATAAACTTTTTGATTAAATGCAATCATCCACTTATTAAAAAACTTGCTTGATTAACTAACATTTAAAGTTATGTAACTTTGATAAAAAATTTTTTTATCATTGCTAACAAATATTTTTGATAAGCTTATAGCATTAGCTACAAACGATTTATTTATTATTCATTGTTATTTTTTTGTTTACTTAGTAATTTTTTCTTATTCATTAAACGAAGAATGAAAAATATCCGCCTCGCATGTGGGATCGAACTCCCGACCCCCCGACGCATGTCCGAATACAACACACGCGCAACTAATCCTCATGGCTACGGAGGATTTTACTTATTCTTTATTATTTTTTTAGTCATTCTGTCTTATTATTTATTTTTTTACTCATTTTTTTTATTTCTTTGTTAATTTTATTTATTTTTTTCTTTTTTTATTCTTTTCTTTTATTTATTTTCTTTTTTAATATCTTTTTTCAGTAAAAAACAAAAAAATTTTGAAAATAGAATTTAAAAATAATGATGACAATAAAAATGTATTAGATAAAAATTTGTGAGAAAAATTTGCAAAAGGTTTACTGGGTATTATCTTCTCTATTGTCACGTTGAGAAGAAATTTTCGTTATAAAAAAAAAAAGAAGTGCACATATATATAGTGGTTATATAAATCTTTATTCTTTATGAAGGACCTTTTCTTCAAGCAGTGCGCACAAAGTATCTTTTTCTCTACATTAGCACATTTTTCAATAAAAGGAGAGCGCTCCTCACATTTTCCGTTTCTCCTTTTATTTATTTGATTGAAAGTTGAAAAGATGGAAATAGAAATTTTTCTCGATGAACACAATCCATCAATGTAAATTTTTATGCGCGGTGAAAGAATCAATTGGCTCCGCCTCTTTGCACAGCTTCTACATTTGACTCTTTTTTCCTTTTTCTCCTATTCTTCCCTTTTTCTTTTTCTTATTTTCTTTTTTTCTCTCTCTTCTTCTTTCTTCCTTTCCCACCTCTTTCTTTTTTTCACTTTTTTTCTTTATTTATTCTTCTTCTTTTTCTCTCTTTCTCTTTCTTTTTTCCTCTCTATTCTTCTTCTTTTCTTCCTTCTTTTTTTTTCTTTCCTCTCTCAATTTTTATTTTCTTCCCTTTCCTTCTTTTTTCCTCTTTATATTTCTTTCTTTTTTATTTTCCTCTCTTTCCTTCTTTCTTTTATTTTTCATTCTTTTTTTATTTTTTCTTTCCTTTCTTCTCTATTTATTTTCCTTCCTTTTGATACTTTTATTTTTTCTTCTCTCTTTTCTTTAATTCTCTTTTTTTCTTCATTCATTTTCTCTCTTTCTTTCTTCCTTCTGTTTTTCATTTCCTTCTATCCCTTTCCTCTCTTTCTTTCTATTTACTTTCTGTTATTTGTTCTTTTTCTTTTTTTTCTTCTTTCCTTCCTATTTCTCTTTCTTTCTTTCTACTTTTTTCTTCTTTTCCTCTCTTTTTTCTTGTTTCTTTCCTCTTTCTTTCTTTCTCTCTCTCTTTTTGTTTCTTCTTCTTCTTCTTCTTCTTCTTCTTCTTCTTTTCCTCTCTTTTTTTCTTTATATTTTCTTTCCCTCTCTTTCTTTTTTCTTTTCTTCCATTTTTCTCTTTTTTCTTCTCCTTTTTCGACGTCAGTCATCTTTCTTTTCTTCAAAATAGAGAGAAAGACCTTGTCCTCCTTATCGTCCTTGCCATCCGCGTACAAATCATCCTATAAATCTCATACATATAAACACAGTTTTATGTGGGATTTCACCACCTTGGCCTCAACCCGTAACCAGCCAACTAAGAAGCAAAATGAATAGCTAAAAATCAAGGTAACAAAGTGGGCTCACATTAAAACAAGATAATAAGCCACGTCAAACTTAGACGAGAAAGTATCTTTTACATTATAATATTTCAAACACGTTTATGATTAAAGAGACACAAAAATTTCAAGGCCCTCGAATACACATTTTTTCTTAATGTTTCATATTTTCCAAAAAAAAAAATATATTTATTTACTATTATATATAAATAAAATTATTATAATAATATTAACAATTATATTATTTATAATTTTATAGAAATAGCATACAAAAGAGAAAAATGACTATAGGAATTTTTTATTCTTCAGTATAAATAATAAAATAAAATAAATAAAAAAAATATTTTCAATCAGAATTTAGAATTTCTAAACTTGCAAATATTTTTTTGTTCGGGAAACAAATATTCATTAAAGTTTACTAGCGATGGAACATAAAAAAATGTCATTGACTCTGTATATATACTTTATCACTGATAAACGATTTTTTTTCTCCTTAAAAAAAAAACAAAAAATATAGTCCATTCTAATCTTGAAACACTGTAATTTTTGTGTTCTATACAGGCTATGGCCACATTGCACCGAAAACTCGAAACGGTAAAGTCGTAACAATATTTTATGCCATTCTGGGTATACCTCTGATGCTCTTGTGTCTTTCAAACATCGGTGACATCATGGCATCAAGCTTCAGGTACAACTTTTTTTCTACTGCTTTTTTTTCTTTTTTTTCCCTGCGCATTTTATTATATTTTCATATTCCAATTGACATTTGAACGTTCCATCCATAAAATTTTATGCAAAATCGATTTTCATATTGCAAAAAAAAAGAAGAAAGGATAAAAAAGAAAATTCTTTTGGTAAAGGAATAAAATGTAAGGTATTTTTAAATGCTTTTCAATATTACTGTAACATTTTCTATTCACATTTTTTTACTGGGTTTTTTCTTTTTTTTTATCTCTGAAACATTGGGGCGAAAAAGAGAGATTTTTTTCGCAATAACAAAAGTTTAATTTTTGCAATTGAATTTTTGTATTAAAAACAAATTGGTGAGAGGAAAATGTCTTCCCATGTTATTAAAAAACAAATTAACAAAAATTAAATTTTCTTTGCGCTTCTTTTGGAAAATGAGACGAATAAAATTTTTTCCTTCTAAAAAAGAATAGAGAAAAGGGGAAAAAATTTGTCTCCCTTAAATTTTTTAATTAATTAAATTAAATAATTACTTAATTAATTACCAAACAATAAATTAAGCAAATTTTATATAGACAATTTGTTTAAATAAAAGTTATTAAAAATAAATATAAAAGTTGATAAAAAAATCTAAAAAATTTTTTATAGAAATTAATTGAATTTTGAAACTATGTATAAATTTTGAATGAATGAAAAATTACATAATTTCTATTATTTAATTAATTAATGACTGAAAAAAATTTAAGTGAGAAAAATTCTTTTCTCTATTCTTTTTTTTAGAAGGAAATAATTTTTTTTCTTCTCATTATCCAAAAGAAGGGAGCGCAAGAAGGTATTTTTGGAAAATAATTGTTGTTTATGTTGATTTAAGTTCCTGTTCATTTGCATTATATTCCAAAGCATCGCGTATAAAAGCAGAACGATAAATTTTTAAGCTTTAAACCACTACACAGTGGAATACAAATTTCTACTCTTCGAATTATAGATGCCTCGACTATGCAGTAGCTTTTAGTTCATTAAATGCTGCGCATTAATACGGTCGAATTTTAGCAGACATTACCGTGGCTTTTAATAATGATCGAATATACGAGCTTGTTCCATTATAACCAGTAATTCCTAGTCCTAAAGTTCGAAGGCGAAAAAAAACAATGAATAATCGAAAATTACTGTACTAGTATTATTATTATTATTATTATTACTTCGTCTATCAAGTGAAAAAAGTGACAAATCTTTGGAATTAAAATTTAATTTTTGGAAAAAATTTTTATTTTTATTATTTATAAATAATTATAAATATTTTATTTATTGGTTTTTTATTATTATATTTGTCTTTTTATTCACGTTATTAATAGACTTTTATAATCTACCGATTGTTTTTATTTATATTGTACTTATTATTTGATAATAATAAATAAAAAGCAAAAAAAATGCAATAACTTTATAATAAATAATGAACGAAAAAAGCAATAATTTGCTAATAATAAATAAAATAGGAAAAAGTGCAATAATTTAATAATAATAATAATAATAATGAAATACTTTATAATAAATAAAAAACGAAAAAAGCAATAATTTGACAATAATATAAATAAAATACGAAAAAATGCAATAGTTTTTTAATACTTAATAAAAAAAATGAAAGAAATACAATAGACTTGAATTAAAATTTATGAACTCTAATTTCAGAATAGAAAATAATTCACAAGTTTAATAAATTTACATTATATTTAGTGTATATAAGTAAATTATGAATTATTCGAGATTTTAAATTGCCATTTAGAGTGTGCACAGTTTATTTATTATTATAAAATCTAAATTGTAATTCATTAACTATAGAGAGTGCATTTTACCTAAAACATCTAATTATAAATTAATTAACAAGTATTCTCATTATTTAGCGACCATAATTATATTTTCCATCATTTCAAAGAAATAAATTTCGTTCCGTTTTTCGCTTAGACCCATTTAATTCACAACTAAAGAGCACTATTATTTATTCATCCAATATACAACCTAATTATTTATATTTAATAAATAATTTCAAAATATTTAAAAAAAAAATAATTCTCCATTGTAATATTCTCCAACATTTTAGACGTTCAAATGACAAATTGTTTCTGCTTATTCTCATTTATTTAAATAACTCATTTCTTTAAATATTTTTTAAAATTACTTTTAAAGAAGGAAAAAAAAATACTTAAAATTCAGTATTTACTTAGTTATGAATTAATTTTTTTAATGTACGAAATAAATTTTTTTGGATAAAAAAATAGTACCAAAAGTGGCAATTAACTTAGAGAAAAATTATTTTATACAAATAAATATACACACCTTTTTTTTATTTTTAAATTTACTCCGAGGACGTCGCCTCGGACTAAATTTAAAAATAAAAAAAGTATCAAAAGAGTCATAAAATATTGGTAACAGTTTCAAAAAAAAAATTGTATATGTTTACAAATAATAACTATGTTTTGTGTTTGAGAATAAATAGTACATTGCACAACTAGTGGCGAAAGTGTGATTTTTCGAGAGTGAAGTTTGCTGCTCTCGCTACGCTCGAGCCGCAAACTTCACTCTCGAAAAATCATTCTTTCACCACGAGTTGTGCACTACGTTTTCTCCAACGCCTTGCGAGGAAAGGTTTCTTCGTGAGTTTCGTATAATTTTAATTAAAAATGTTCTTATGTTTAATATAATAAAAGACGAATGTCTTTTGGGAAGACATTCGGGGAAGAAGTTAGGGGAAGAAGTTAGATACAAAATAAATCTCGGTCAAAGAACAAGAAAAAAGAATAAATTCATGATTTACTTTCGCCACGCCAAATTTACTTTCGCCACGCTAAAAATTACTTTCGCCACGCCAAATTTTACTTTCGCCACGCTCTTCAGAGCAGTTGAGAAAAGTTCTACTTTCGCCACACTTTTCTACCAAGAAAAGTACTCCTTTCAGAGCCAGAAATTCCAAGAAAAAACTCAACTGCCATCTAGCGGCGACCTTGGCGTTCGCAAGTGGAGAATAGCAACTCCATATTGAATCTCAAAATATTCGTATAATAAATAAAATCGTAATTCTATTATTTATAATCGAATCCAGAGAGCTTAACTATTATTATAAATGACTCAATTTTTATTTTGCGATATTTTTACTATCTCCAATTTTTTAGTCTTGAAATTAATTTTTCCAGTACATAAATTGTTATTCAAAAACTATTTAACGAAATACTTTAAAGGTTTTTTAAACGAAATGTTGACGACTTTAACGAAATAATTAAAAAGAAAAATATTTAATATAATTAAAAAACGTTGGAGAGGTATATAATTATTTATTTTCAGAGAAAATGTTGGAGGGGGTACATATTTATTTTCCGAAAAAAATATTGAAGGGGGTATTTATTTATTTTGAGAAAACAAAAAATATATGTCCATAAATACATGGAATGTATAACAGTAAATCTATGTTCTAACCTATATTGTAAAATAACGAGAAAATTTCATTTTGACATATTTCAAATAATTTTTCTCTCGACAATGTGTTTCGCAGATTTTTGTATTGGAAGGTCTGTTGTTACGTGTGCACTCGACCTCCAAAGAAAAAGAGACCTCGCAAAAATTTCTCCAGAGCGCAGTCTGTCCGTCAATCATCGTATGTATATCCTGTCATTATATCTACCAACTACGTTTTCGTACATATATAAACACTAAACTATACTTGCTTTTCTTCTTTCATACAATTATTACGTCTTTTGTCTTATATAGCAACAATTTTTTTGATTAATTCATTTTTAATGAGAGTGAAAACTCGAGTATCCGATTTAAAAAGAAAAGAAAAAACGGAGAAGGAAGGAACACGATTCCCATCATTAGACGATGTAATTGAATTTTCAAAGTTTTTTTTTCTTTTACTTACAGTATAATTTTAATTATTACAATTATTAACAATAAAAAAAATATTTCTTATTAATATTATTTTCACTATTATTACTAGTAAATAGTAATTAAGTTAATTAATTAAATTTCAGGAGATTTTCGGAAAATAGAGCACCATCTTTTCGGCGATCTATTCGAACTAGTCAAAGATCGGCAGATTCGGCTTTGGGACTTTCTGGAAGTACCTTACGAACATCGCATTCCGATACTGAATGCAGGTGATGGGAATATTTACATTCACTTGTCAAAATTGAATATAGAACACAATAATAATATTAATAATGATAATAAGAATTATAAAAATTATCAATTCAATTATTCTTCTCAAGAATTTTTAACTAAAATTCTTTGGACGAATTTTCATAAAATTGTTAAGAATAAATACATTTTTCGAGAAAGTCGATTAAAATTGTATTAAAAATAATTGAAATTCTGTGATGAGTTTTATTATTTGTGAAATAATTCTTGAAAAAGTTCTTTGAGAAGTTAAAAATATGAAAAATTCAGATATTTAAAGATTATATTTTGAAACGCTTTTCAAACTCTAATTATTTAAAAAATTTACGGTATAATGCTTTTAATATTCAATTATTATTTAAAATTTTAACTGAAATTCATTTTTAAATCAATTTTTATTAGAAAATTCTACTAGAACTCAATTATTTAAATACAAAAAAAAATAATTTATTGAATAATTGAATGTTTCTTTAAATTTAATTCTCATATAGTATTTCATCAACAAATTTTTAAATAATTGATTTCGTTTGAGAAACAATAATAAAATTTTTAAGAATAATTACATTTTTCAAGGAATTCGAATTAAATTGTATTTAAATTAATTGAAATTCTGCAATGATATCGAGTTTTATTATTTATGAAAATAATTGAATTCCTAAAAAGAATTTTATTATTTACAAAAATAATTGAATCCTTGTAAAAATTTTATTATTTGTGAAGATAATTGAATTTCTGTGAAATTTTTATTATTTAAGAAAATCACTGTAAAAAGAAGTGTGTTTTAATGCATTTAGCCTTCAAATTTTTATGCACTTTAAAGTGCATAAAACAGTAAAATACATTACATTTGTGACCAAAACGCATGAGGGTAATGCACTTCAAAGTGTGTTCAGATCTGGGACATCATTTATGCACTTGAAGTGCATTCCAGTAACACACTTCTTTTTACAGTGATAATTCAATGTTTGCGTAGAATTTTATCAGCAATTGTTTTAAATAATTGAATTCTTTTGGAACATTTTATTAAAATAGTAGATATTAAAAATTATTCAATTCAAGAAATTTTTTTAAAATAATTGAAATTTTCTAAAGAATTTTACTAAAATTTTTGGAAATAATTGAATTTAGCAGAAGAATTTTATTATTTCTAAAGATAATTGAAATTTTGACAAGAATTTTATTATTTCTAAAGACAATTGATATTTTGACAAGCATTTTATTATTTCTAAAGATAATTGATATTTTGACAAGCATTTTATTATTTCTAAAGATAATTGAAATTTTGACAAGAATTTTATTATTTCTAAAGACAATTGATATTTTGACAAGCATTTTATTATTTCTAAAGATAATTGATATTTTGACAAGCATTTTATTATTTCTAAAGATAATTGAAATTTTGACAAGAATTTTCTTCTATTTTTGAACATAATTGCATTTTTGCGAAGAATTTTATTTTTTCTGAAATTAATTGAATTATGGAGAAGAAACTTATAAAAAATTTGTAAATATTTAAATTCCTGGGAAATTTTTATTGCTGTTTTATAAAAATAACAAAATTAAATGTTTGCGTACAATTTTATTAAAATTGTTTTTAAATAATTGAATTCTTTTGGGTAATTTTATTAAAATAGTAGATATTAAAAATCTTTGTAATGAGGAAAATTTTTGAAAATAATTGAAATTTTGGCAAGAATTTTATTAGAATTTTTGAAAATAATTGAATATCTTTATTTATAAATATAATAATTGGGATTTTGTGGAGATTTTGAAATTTTTTTTTAAATTTTGAACATAATTGAACATTTGTAAGAAGAATTTTATTACTTTTGAAAATAATTGAATTTTTGCAATCATTTGTAACTTCTTCAAAATAAAATTTTTTAGTGTTTTTTACCTAAAATTCTTCTGTAAATCTATTATTTTTAATAAAATCATTTATTCTCTAAAATTCTTTAAATTATGTCGTATAATTTACAAACTCTTCGTCCATTTTCAATTAAATTACTGAGTTTATTGACCTTTTTTTTAAAAAAATTGACTTTTACGGATTTTATGCAAATTTACGGACTTAGTTCGAGCCCCGAATTATAATAATAATAATAGAAAATAAAATAATAACAGTTGTAGGTAGTAAATAAATTAGAGAAATTTTTGTTTATGATGCAATTCGGATTTGAAATTGCAGTTGGTTTTGGATTTTGCAATTTCCTCTTTGAAAATGTAATTTACATTTATATATATATATATAAATGCTGATAGTTTATTACATTTAGGTATCAGATTCAAAGATACGATGGTATTGATCAGAGGAGGCCGGGTTCTTATCTACCATCAAGCGGAGCAAACTTGAATGTAGATACGAGGCAATCGACATTCTCCAGGTATTCCGACGTTCCTGTCTCATCTCCAAAGATGACCAGAGGTACGAACAAGTTACGCGAAGAGGGTGCGAGTTTCCCCTTAGGCGTAAGTTCACTTATAATTAATTTTCAAAATTAATCAAAAAAAAAGAAAGAAAATTGTCTCAAAAAGAATTTTTTTCTTTTTTCTTTCTCTTTTATCAGAATATCAATTTTTATACTACTTTCTCATTTTTTATTCATTCTATAATACACAGAATCTTCTCAGAAGAATAAAAAAGATAAATTGTAGAAATTTTTTTTTAATTTTAAATATGTGATATTTTAATATATTCATTTTAATAGAATAAATTACAAGGATAAGTAATTGCTGATAAATAGCGAAGAAGACGACAAGATATGGTTTCTTTTTCGTAAGAATAAAAAAAAGTATCAATTTTATTTTTAATTTTAAATGTGATATTTTGATATATTCATTTTCATGGAATAAATAACATAGATGTATAATTGATGGTAAATAGCGAAGGAGAGAGTGAAAGGAGGGGGTGGGGGTATTTGATTGATGCTCTATGCAAAAGGTGTAAAATTAATTCCCTTCGAATTAAATTTTCAGGACCCACCAGGTTGACAACGCAATCACTCGATAGGCGATTATTGGTCAACCCCCATGATAATGATCGTTCACCTGTGTTCTTCAATAAGTACGCCCTCGATGATTTCGATGAACCAGTCAACGTTCACTCAAAATGGAGTACTCTTCCCACCAACAGAGGTTTCATTAAAAAAAAAACAAAATACTTTTATTTTTTTGACAAATAATTCTAATTATGATTATTAGTAATTAATTTCTAACTCTTCGGTTGTGACTTTTACTTTTCATTATTTAATAGATAATAATAATTTTACAAGTTATTAATATTATGTTAGTAATTACTAATAATATAATAACTAGCAACAATTCGCGCGCGGCTGAGTTCTCACTCATTTTTTTAAATAAAATTAGCAATTGAAGCGTTGGGTGCAAGAAGGGCGTATCACCAAAAACTTCAAGTTTTTAAACTTTAATAGCTCAAAAACTGTACTAAATATACTTTTTTTTAATTAATTATTTAATTAATCCACTGTTAAACTATCAAATTCAAGTGTAAAATTAAGGGAAAACTGCAATTAACTAATAAATAATAATGTTTTTCAAAACCAATTTATATGCCTAACGCCCTTCTTGCACCCAACCCCTCAATTTTAAAAATGATAGAACGTAAAAATTTTTAATTCAAATTTTTGTTTTATAAAAATAGAATATGCGAATTGGAATATATAGTTTTAAAATTATTATAATTATAATAATCATGTATTCTGACATAGTTCTGACATTTTTGTGTTTTTTTTTGTTTGACTCATAAACAATAAAATTATCACGAATTATAATACAAAACATTCAATTTCTGACAAAAATTTCTTTTTAAATAACTTAAACCTTGAACAACTATCATAAAATAAATAAATTATTTAATGAATAATTTTACTTAAATACCTCAAAATTAATTTAATTTTAAAAGAGTTGCGTTTACAATTTTCATTAATAAATGAACTTCAAATGGTTTCAATTTGAAATTTTATAAAATTTCAATGTTGAATGAATTTAATTGGAAATTTTAATGAACTTAGATTTCTGAAAAATTTTAATAATTCAAAATCTTCTAAAATTAGTTAGATTTGTCAATATATATTTAATTAATTATTAAAAATAATGGATTTATAAAAGAATTTTAGTTAAAAACACTGAAAAATTAAATTTTGAAGAAGTTACAAATGATTGCAGAAATTCAAATATTTTCAAAAGTAATATAATTCTTATCACCAAATTCAATTATGTTCAAAATTTAAAAAAAAATTTCCACGAAATCCCAATTATTATCTTCATAAATAAAGAAATTCAATTATTTTCAAAAATTTTAATAAAATTCTTGTCAAAATTTCAATTATTTTCCAAAATTTTCCTCATTTCAATGATTTTCAATATCTACTATTTTAATAAAATTATCCAAAAGAATTCAATCATTTCAAACAATTTTAATAAAATTGTACGCAAACATTTAATTTTATTATTTTTATAAAAAAGTATAATAAGAATTTCCCAGGAATTCAAATATTTACAAATTTTTTATAAGTTTCTTCTCAATAATTTAATTATTTTCAGAAATAATAAAATTCTTCGCAGAAATGCAATTATGTTCAAAAATGAAAAAAATTCTTGTCATCACGTTGTCTTGATTCCTTTATAATTGTAGCTTCTACCCGCTTGATAGTATTAAATTCAACAATGATTTTCAATATCGACTATTTTAATAAAATTTTCCAAAAGTATTCAATTATTTAAAACAATAGCTGATAAAATTCTACGCAAACATTGAATTATTTTCTTAATTATGATAAAAATTTCACAGAATAGAAGTTCAATTTTCATAAATAATAAAATGTTTACAAGGATTCAATTATTTTTGTAAATAATAAAATTCTTTTTAGGAATTCAATTATTTTTATAAATAATAAAACTTATCGCAGAATTTCAATTATTTTTAATATAATTTTAATTGAATTCCTTGAAAAATGTAATTATTCTTAAAAATTTTATTAAAATTCGTCAAAAGAATTCAATTATTTAAAAATTTGTTAATAAAATTCTTTATAAGAATTAAATTTTAAGAACCATTTAATTATTCAATAAATAATTTACGTTTGTATTTAAATAATTGAATTCTCGTAGAATTTTCTAATAAAAATTGATTTGAAAATGAATTTTAGTTCAAATTTTAGATAATAATAAAATATGAAAATAATTTTGAAGAAGTTACAGTAACAATATTCTTATAATATAAAATAATGATTTTAACACTCGGTCCTCTTTAATTATTATAAGACATGAAGAAACCGATCACTCCGAGTCGTCAACTTGGAGTAATCGTTCTTTTATGTTTTATAACAATATTTTTAAAGTTGATTAATTTCAAAAAGGATTGAATTTAAAATTTTTGAAAATCTTAATTCCTATGGAAAATTAATAATTAAATATTTAAAATATTTAAAAAAGAAATTATTGTTCTCGAATAATTTTACAATTAAAGATATTAGTAAATAAAATTGAGAATTTTCTACAAAAATATTAAGAAACGGAAATATCTAATGTTTTTCTTCCCAAAAGAAAAAAATAAGTTTATAAACAATATTGTTATTGAGAAATAAAAATCAAGCATAAAATGTGTATACTTCCTACTTTTTAATCAAAGTTTTTTTAACAATTAGCAATTTTCTAGTATTTTTTATAAATAAAATATAAAAAGGAGAATAATTTGCATAATAATTTAGATCAGTCAAACGAAATTTGTTATAGAAAAAAGCATGTAACAAACAAAATGGGTATATTTTTTATTTGTTAATCATAATCTTTTTTAAATTTTCTAATTTGTAATATTATTTTATTATAAATCATGAAAAAAAATATTTTTTAAAGAAAAAAAAACAAAATCATGCACAGAAACTAACTTCAAACTGCGGACAGAATGAATGAAAGAATACGGTGATTAATATAGTTAAATACTTATCAAAAAAATTGCTACATTTATAAATGTAGCAGTTTTTTTAAATTTTAAATGTGATATTTTGATGTAAGGTTATAATTGATAATAATACCATAATTATTAATATTATTATAGTAATAATAATTACAAATTATAAATATTATAGTTAATTGTTAACAAGAGAAATTTCGATTTCATGGGGTGTAAAAAAGTGTCCTTTTCACCCCGCATTGTAATTAATTTCTCGAGATGAAATTATGTGTAATGCGAGTTATTATATGGTTGAAGTATAAAGTGAGAATATGGTGGTTGTTTCGGCGATGTAATTTATCGCTTTAATATTTGCATACAGTGAATTCGGAGAAAGCTTGCGGCAAAATAGAAGTTCCGGACGACCTAGAGGAAGAAGAAGAAGAAAGGAGACCACCAGCGTTAGTAACGAGATCGTTGCCAAGAAGATGTCTCTCAGTTGAGGGTGCAACGAATAATAGATCCGGAATGAACCAAACGGTGCGGCCTGCTTCAGTTTTCCTTGAGATGGATAATCCTAGAAGGCTTCCCACCTCCACAAGATCTAGACGTCCTCGAAACTACTACATAAGTATATAAATCTTTTTTGTTTCCTTCTTTTTTTTTGTTTCGGAGTTTGCATAATTTAGACAAAATGTGTGCCATCCAAGATGAATCTCGAGAAATATGATCCTCCTCGTGTATTTTTCGAGGATTCAATTTTTAATTCTGTATTTCTTTTCAGCCGAAATTAATAATGTTATTTGTTTTTTTATCATTATTTGTCATTAGTATTTTTTTACTATTTGTTATTTTTATTGCTTTTTTTAATTATTTGTTAGTATTTGTTTATTATATTCTTATTATTATTTAACATTTGTTGCAAATATTTAATATTCCTGTTATTATTGTATTTTTCTCTATTTTTATTATTTTTTTTCGTCGTGATGAAGCGTCGAATATTTTATTAAACGTGGGAAACAGAAAAAAATCCGCAATCGCGAGGAATCGAACCCTGGCCCCTATCATTACGAGTCCATTAGCGAAACCACTGAGCTATCTCACTTGGTTACCGTTTTTATTTTTATTTATCATTTTCGTTTATTTTTCTTCCCTATAAATACACAGTACATTTTATCTTTGAATCGCAATTTATAAATTCTAATGAAAATTTTATAAATAATAATAAATTAAAATAATAATAAAGTAGAAAATAATAAAGTTAGGGGTTAATATTTGGATAACTAATTTTCAGCACGACCCTATAGAAGGGAAGCGCCATCGCCACGAATAATGTCGCCAATGGGTTTTGCCGTTCATCGACAGGTTTACGCCGATGATTACGATGTAGATTACGATTATAATCCAACAACGGCGGCAGAAGTTCAAGATCGAAGATCAGTGATAAAACCAGTGCCAATTTGGCTCTGTGTCTTTCTTGTCGTTAGCTATATATTCGGTGGTGCTTTTCTCTTCAATTACTGGGAGAATTGGGTCTTTCTGGACTCGGCCTACTTTTGTTTCATTACACTCACCACAATCGGTAAGAGAATCTCAGGGAAATGAAAAAAAAGAAAAACAAAAAAATAGGGAAAACAAAATAAAAGGAGAAACAAAGGGAAAGAGGGAAAAAGAAATAGAGAGAGAGAGAGAGAGAAGAATATCTCCTTAAGGAAAAGGCTCAAATTAAGAACGACATTTTTTCTCTCCCATCCTATTCCTTTTTTTCTTGTCTCATATATATTAAATGTGAATTACCTCTCCTGTCGCACAAGAAAACTAAAATAGAAAATTTCTCATCTCGTTTTGTGTTTGAATTTTAAATGCTTATTTTACATAAATATCTAAATTTTCAAGGGTCACCAATGACTAAAAATAGTGTCAACTCAATTTTTATTTGTAGATTACTAAAAAGAATCCACTTTACTGACAAACAATATAAACACCTCCCTTTTTTGTTTGTTAATCAAAAAACTTTAGGTAATATTAGAAAAAAATTTCGGTACAAAAATATTTTTTTTGCTTCCCACTTTGCTTTTTCTCAGAGGGACAGCAAAAGAAAATTGTTATTCTTTCGGAAGAAGATATGGGTTTTTAAAGTTTCTTTTAATTAAGCAACAACACTTGTGCGTCCTTTCTAATGCGATAATGAAAAGTAGTTAAGAATAATTAATAACCAACTTCATTTTCAGCGCGCGACTTGCATTTTCCGCAAAAGTAAATACTCTTTTAATTAATGTTTACAAAGTGGTGGAAAAAAAGAAAACAAAAAAAATTCGGAAATATGTTTAAAAAATTCTAGTTTTTGGTGATTGTAGTTTTTAATAATCGACACTTTTCTTCGTTGCCGTTTCTACTAATGAAAATATTAAATTTTTCCCAAATTGTAGTTTTGTACAAATTAAAAATGTCCCAAATTTTATTTTTTCACAAATTACAAATGTCCCTAATTGTAGTTTCTACTAATTAAATCTTTTACTAATAGTAATTCCTAATAATTAAAACCGCCCCTAAATTGTAGTATTTACCAAGTAAAAAACTCCCCAATTGTAGTTTTTACTAATTGAATTTTTTCCTAATTGTAGTCTTTTACTAATTAAAAATTTGCCTAATTGTGGTATTTTATTATTAAAAAATTTTCCAACTTGTTGTTTATGTTAATTCGAACTTTTACTGATTGCAGCTTTTTACTAATTATGAATTCTCATAATTGTAGTTTCCACAATTGAAAATTTTACTGATTGTAATTCTAACTAATTAAAACTGTCCCTAATTGTAGTTTCTTCAAATTAATACTGTGATGCATTTATTGATTGAAGTTTTCACTAATTAAAAATATCCCCAGTTTTTTTATTAACTAAAAAAGTGCCTCTCATTGTAGTTTTTTTTACCTAAACAGATCCTAATTGCAGTTTTTACCAATTAAATTAAATTGTAGTTCCCCCTAAATAAAAACGTTCCTAATTGTGCTATTAACAAACGTAAAAAGTACCTAATTGTAGTTTTTTAATAATAAAAAATTATCCTAATTGTAGTTTTTGCTAAATAAAAAGTCTCTAATTGTAGTTTCTTCAAATTAAAATTATTAGCGTTTTGTAATTTCTACAGAAAAATAATTTAGTCTTTAAAATAAAATAATTCGATTCACTAAAATTATTACATCTTCGAAATAATAAAATAAATCTCTACACTAAAATACACAAAATCTCCAAAGTAAATCAATGAAAATTGAAAATTAAACTAATCAAATTTCTAAATTGAATTCTAAAGAATTTAAAAAATAATTGAAACCCTAAAATAAAACAAATGCTTAAAATTTCCTATAATTAAGAAAACACATCTTTCTCGTCATAATGCGCTGGATAGAATGAAAAGTGGTTAAGAATAATTAATAACCAATTTAATTTTTGATGCGAGACATTTGAAATCATCCCTTCTCTCTCTCTTTCTCTCTCTTCTACATCAACCGCGAAATGTAAACAGTCTTTTTAATTAATGTATAATAAAGTGCTTTTAAAAGTAAATTTACCAGAGAAAATCGAATTTTTCATTTTCCCGAAAGACACTTTTATATATGTATATATACATAAAAGACAAACTAATATGAAATTTGAATTCTCATGTAAATATTATGATTTCAGGATTCGGAGATTTTGTACCTGCACGAAAACTCAACGCCGAGCAAGGAATAGCCTTGTGCTCGCTTTATTTGCTTTTTGGAATCGCTCTTCTAGCAATGAGTTTCAATCTCGTTCAGGAAGAAGTCATTAATAACGTGAAAAGCGTAGCGAAGAGACTTGGAATTATCAAGGAGCACGATGATGACGAAGAAGACGATGAGGACGATGAGTATGAGTACGATTATGGGGAAGATTGAGAAAACGAGAGAGAGAGTGAGAGAGAGTACCACCAACTCAACGGTTTAAGGATTAAAATCTCTTAATAATATCTTTACTTCTTCTGATTTCTGCCAACCGAGATTCCTCTTAATAGAACCCTTCTCCTTTTTTTTTCTCTTCTTCTTACAACTCTTTTTCAGCCAATGTCCTTCTCCAAATTGCGATTTTTTTTCGACCTCTTACATTTAATTAAATTTTATTTCTATTCGTTAGTGATATTGGAGATTTTTACTTTTTTCCTCAGATTTTTTATTTTTATTTACTTAATTATTTGCTATTTTTAGGAAAAAATTTTTCATTTCTTTATTTATTTTCAGTTCTTTTGCTTAAAGTAAAAATTGCATTAAAAAATAGAAAATAGTAATTACAATAAGTATTAGAAATGAAAAAAAATATTTGATTTAATTTTTTTTAATATTACTTGTAGATTATTTATACAATTTTATTTTGTTTGTATTTCGGTTAAAAGTGCTTATAGTTCAGTGACGCCACTACTAGATGGTACTGGATTTTGAAGTAAAAAATTTTCTGTTGGTTAAAAGAACGTCTTTTTTATTTTCAAAAAAATAATTTTAATTTTTCTTTAATTGAGTTCAAGTTTTTTAAGTTTAAAAGATTATTTTTTCAAATAAAGAATTGAGAAATCATATTTTTTATTTTGTTTCTTCGTTTGGTGAAAGTAATTTTAACTCACTGATGCCACCACCAGATGGCTCTAAGTATTAAGTAAAAACCTTTCTGTTCGTTAAAAAAGTATTCTTTTTTTCTTTTCAAAAGAAGAATTTTAATTTTTTTTTAATATTGAGTTCAAGTTCCTATAATTTGAATGTATGTTACAAATAAAGAATATTTTTGGCATTGTTTCTTCGTTTGGTGAAAGTAATTTTACTTCAGTGACGCCACCGCTAGATGGCGTTTCTCTCGATTCAAAAATGACTTTTTCTTTAGTTTAATTTTCACGAAAAGAAGAAGAAGAAAAGAATTAAAAGGAAAAAATAAAAAAAGTTATTCATTGAAATTAATAAAAAAAATATATTTAATTAATTACTGCGAATGCATTTATAAAGAAAAAAATTGATACAACAAAAAAAGAGAGTCTATATTGGAAAATATTCGTGTAGTTTAAAAAAATGAATCAAAAAAATTCAAGAACCTTTCAAAATAAAGCAATTATTTTTTGTGTAACTTTGTTTCATATTCAGCTTCTTCTGAAAGTTTCTTTAACCTTTGTAGACATGAAAGCTTTACAGTTCCAATTTCAAGCTTTCAAATCGAATTTTGCCCGGTGGGACGCAAATTCAATTATTCAAATTGAAGAATTTTATTTAACATAAATTCACCAACGTCGAATATGTTTCGTTTCAACTTCATGTTTTTATTTTCTCTCCTTTTTTTTGTTTCGTTTTTTCTACTTCAATTAAGCTTTTGCGCAAAATTTGTTCTTTACGAAAGAATTAATAAAAACTAAAGAAAGCATAACAAATAGAAGACAAAAATAAAATAGAAACAAAAAAGATAAAAAGGACACAAACGAAAAATAAAAGGAAACAAAAAGAGACAAAAATAAAAAAAAAACAAACAAAAAGAAGAAAAAGTAGGACAAAAATTAAAATAAAAAGAGAGGAAAAAAAACAAAAAGAGAACAAAAGGAAAGTGAAAAGCAGACAAAAAGAAAATAAATAATTATATTTTACGACTATGTACATTTTTAATAAAAAGAAAAACAAGTAAATAAATATAAAGATTCTCGAAAGTATGTTTGCATAAACAAGAGTGACACTATGTTTAGATCAGAGCTTTTAATGCATTAGCAAAATCACAAGAGCTTTACAAATTCATCTGGCGAGAAAGAAAGGTTTTTCTTTATAATTGCGTTTAGAGAAAATGTTTGTTTCGTGAAATCAATATATTGCATGTATGTATGTGTATACTTCTTCTCATCGTAAATATAGTGGTTTCATTGAATCGTAAAACAGGTAGGTAAATATTATTTGAGGCCATGTGGGGAAAGACCTTCGATTCAATCGAAAATGTATATACTCTATTCACTTCATATAATGGTTTTAGTAGTTACATTTAACTTTTCAATTCAATTGTCAGTGGTTCAACGTTAATTAGACCAGCTCGAAAATCCTCATCATTCTATAAATAATCACACATTTTACCCACCAAAACACGTTTTTAATCATCTCTCTCTCTTCTTCACTATCCCTCTCATTCTCCCTCTGTCTCTTTCTCGCTATGACAAAATCTTCCTTTTCTTTTCACGATTTTCCAATTTTTAATTAGTATTTTATTATTTATTTTTTTTATTCATAAAGTACAAGGTATTTGTTTATTTATTACCTTCTTCCATTATTCTTTTCATTTTTTTCATTTTTTTATTTTTATTTGCAAGAAATATATTTCTTTGGAAATAATATACCTACGTTTTGTGAATTTTATTATTTTTATTACATTTTGTATGTATTTTTAGTATTTTTATTTTTTTACATTATCGCTATTTTTTCTATTGTTCGTAAGAACTTGCTTTTTTAAATTTTTTATTCCTTTTTGTACTAGATATACCTATATTTTCAGTATTTTAATTTTTTATCAATATTTCAATTAATTATTTACACAAATAGGCACAAATGAAAGAAATCAAAAGTTTCTTTCTTCTCTTTCAAATAATAAATTTCAAATTATTTAAAATTTTATTTATAAATTTAAATAATAATTATAATTTTATTTATTCGAAAACTCCATGTCAACATTATTTATATACATTATTAGTTAATTAATTAAAATATAAATAAAAATTTTTAGTTTCTTTCTTCTTTTTCAACTACAAATTCCAGATTTTTTTCCAGAGTTACATTTAGGAAAATACAAAAATTAATTATTTAACTAATTGTATTATTATTTTTAATTTATAAATAATCATTACAGACAAAATAAAAATCATATCACTGAACAAGGCACACATTCGATGCCGAAATGTATGAAATAGAAAATTTTGCATTCTCTTATTTCACGAACCCAAATGGCAAATTTCGTAAAAAATTAAACAATCATTTTTTACATTTTTCTTTTCTTTCAACTAAAAATTTTCAATTTTTATTGCGAAAAAATCTCAACAAATAAATTAACTATGAATATTTTTGTATCTTTCCTTTTTTAGTTGATAAATTTTTGAAAAATTACAATTTATACAAAAAATCTTTTACTAAAGTACCATATGAATATTACAATTAAATATCAAATAAAGAGGGGGTGAGGGGGAGAAAATAAAAACCATTTTTTCCTTCTTTTTGAACAAATGTTTTATAAATTCAAAATTTTTTTTTATTGATTTATTTATTTTTTTTTAATTATTTCAAAAAAATCTGGTTGTGAAAATACCACTTAAATATGACAATTAAAAATCGAATAAAGGGTTTTGAGTGTAAGAGGGGAGAAAAAGAAAATCGAAAAAAGTTAATATGTTTTTTTCCCCTTATTTTCATACCAATTCTTTAAAGAATAGGGGAAAGGCTTGCAGGTTGCCATACCTAAGCTTTTTGCTCATAATTCATTAAAAAAAAAATAATTTATATGAACATACCATCGGAAAGAGGACCTAAAAAGTTACAAATTTGACTCATAGATAGTTTAAATTGGCAAAAAATAAAATTTTTACATCAATTTTTAAAAATGATGTAAAATCAACGTTTCGAAATTTAGGCTTGCAGGTTGACCCACCTTGAAAAATGAATAATAATATAGAACAATTCCAATAAATTTATTCAATTTCACTTACATTTAATGTTTCTAAACATAATAATTTAAATTTAAATTTTTTAAACAATTTATTAATATATTTTTTTTAAATAAAAAATATTTTTGAAAAATAAAAATTTTTTTCAATTGAAAATTAAATGAAAAGCAAGATATGTGAAAAAAAACTGAAATTTTGGAAATCGTGTAAATTTACTCCAAATTATTATTGCGGATTCGCATTTTGGACCTGCAAACCGTAAAGTGACGAGTCAACCTGCAATTTTGAACTCTTTTTTTAAATCGATGAAAAAAAATATGAATTCATAATATTTTAAAAATTCCTTTCGGATTATCAAAATTAATTAAAAAAGCAACTCATAAAAAAAAATTGTAACTTTAATTATCCATAAAAATATTTCATTTGTAAACACATAAAAAGTCACATTTCTAATTTTTCAATTTTTCCACAAGCCAATTTCTGAATTTGTTTAACATTAACATTTTTATTGCTTCTTTTTGCTCTAAAAGATTATAAAAGGTAATAACTAATCATTTGACAACAATATCAGTCGCGTTTTTAATTATGGCATTTCTACAATCAAAAATAACACAAGTGGGACAACCTGCAAGCCTTTCCCTTACGAAATTTTCGAAAAAAAATTTTTTTGGCGAAAGTACTACGTGAATATCACAATTAAACATCGAATAAAGGGATTTTGGAGGGAAATTTGATTCCCCCTTGTGTGTATATATACATATTAGAAATAGAGAATAGAGGTCAAAACTACAGTCAAATGGACTTTAATTGTCATCGATTTTACTCTCAAAGAGCAATATAATCATAATGCATTTTGAAAAGCTCTTAAAGCGCATTTACATTTATGCGCCTCCATAAATCACAACACTTACATGTCAAATATCTCATATTTGACTAAATAGCGTGTTTACAAGATGAGTTTAGTGGTTATAATCACCCAGTAAATCATTATCAGAAATCATATCCATGTTTATATATATATAATTCTCTAAATAATTTACATTGCAAAAACAATAAAGAAAAAAAAATAAGAAAAAAAAGAAAAAAAAGAGAATTTTCTTTTGTATTTTTATCTTTTTGATTTTTTGTATTTCATCTTTCTTATTTTTATAATAATTATGTAAATGAAATGAATAAAATAACAAAGAGGAATTTAGAAGAAATGATGTTAAAAAATAGATGTTTTTTCTTCTTCTTTTTTTGTATTTTATCTTTTCTTCACTGCTGTTTTACATCGACAGAGGTTTTTGCATTATTTATCGATTCTCTTTTTAACTTTTTTTTGCATATAGGATTTGATCCGTTGGAACAACAAGTGTGCAGGTGTAGAGGCGACTGTATGGCCTTTTTCTAACATAAATAACAGAAAGTTTGGCATTTATCCAAGACTATCAAGCAATGTCTGTTGAGAGACAGAGA